AGGGAAACCCAGCCAGACTGAAGAGGCTGAGGCGCCCTGGCTGGCTTGGGACTCCTGCCCCCTGTCTGGCATGGAGTCCTGCTTGGCCTTTCCATCACCCACTCGCCAGGTCTTGAACAGCTTCTACAGTGCACAGGCACAGGTGGGTGCTTCGTAAACACGGGCTGGGGTGCTGCGGCTTCTCTCCACCCCACCAGCGCCCTGTCCATGCAGAGGCCTTGGAGCAGCTTCCCAGGGGGGCGTGCGGCTCTGGCTCCCCACAGCACCTGCCTCTTAGCCATTCCCACTGCGGACGCCCAGCCTCTGCTTCCAGCCTCCTCGCTCCTGGTTGCCACCATATATACCACTGGAACCTGTCCTGGCCACACCTCCTGCCCTGGCTTGGGCCTGGGTTCCTTCCGGAGGTGTCAGGGTGAGGCTCGGGGCTTTCCTACACCGGCCGGGACAGCCAGCCGGCGTCCCTGGTGGAGGCGGAGGGGCTGTGTCAGGTGGTGAGGGAGCCTACCCCCCATACCCACTCAGGGAGGCAGTGATGTCTGCACCCCCCACCTGACACAGCTTCAAAGCCACAGGGACTGGGGGCTGGCTCCCGCCCGTCCCTCCTCTTGGCCTCCATCAGTGATCAGTGGGTCTTACAGGCCCTGGGCTACCTAGAATCTGCCCCCCCAACCCCTGACCCTGGGTGGTGTCCAGTCCCAGCGGGGATGTCCCCACCTCTGCTGCTCAGCCTCCTCTGAGGAGCCCACCTTGTGCACTGTGGCCCGGGACTTGTGGGTGTGGTCCTTGCTGGGGGGACTACACACTGGGGCCCAGCGTTTGGTTCCTGGTAGAGAAGTGGGGCTGACCCTCAGAGGAGGGGGTGAATGGGGAGCAAAACAAGGTCCAGTCTGCATCTGTCCTGGAGCTGTCCTGCCTTGGTGGGGAGAGCTAGGGCTGACGCCTAGCCTTTGGCTTCCTGCGTGGCTATGACTGTGCTCAAGCATGGTCTTCTGCCCCAGCCTCTCCAAGCTTCCATTTTCTCCACTGCACAACAGGGCAGTCTGCCCCCGTGGTGGCGGGTGGCCGCGGACACAGGCCAAGGGCATGGTAGCTGCTCAGAGTCCATGCCAGGGGCTGCACTGGACAGAGGGATGTGAAACTGCTGCCAGGGGCGCGTCATACACCCTGTCCTTATCAGGAGCCAGGCTGAGGGATCCCTTTTGTGGGCATTTGTCCATCCATCCGTCCATCATCTGTCCATCATCCGCCCATCATTCCATCCGCCATCTGTGATCCTCTCTCGCTCCCTCCCTCCTGGAACCCCGAGTCGCCTACAGGGTGTAAGACACCACGACAGCGAACATCGGTCCCTGGGGCTCGGGGTGGTCTCTTGGTCTCTGCACTGAGGGTCCCAGCAGACCCACTGGGAGTGGGCAAATGCAGCTCAATTTTGAGGCATGTTTCAGACACCCCAAAAACTTAGTTCAGGGGCAAGAAGGAGGAGCGGACCCCTTCTCAGCTGTCCAGACCCTCTTCTGCAGGTCGTCTTGTGTTCCCCGCCCCAGAGGCAGGCGCGTGCAAGAGGCCGTTCCCCGTTTGTTCTGCATGTCCTGCCTTCTCCTTCCCTCCTCAGTGGCTGTCCAGCTCCGGCCCTCTTTCTAAGGCTCCTTCCCTGCGTGCCCCCCAAAGGGGCTGAGTCCCTGCTCCAGCGAGGGGTGTCCATGCGCTGCCTGGCTGTCTTGCAGGTCCCCCCAAGTGCCCATCCTCATGCTGCTGAAGGAAGCCCTCCCGTCGCAGGGTGGGGGGAGAGCCCACCTGTCGCGGGTCGGGGGAGCCCTCCTGTCCCGGGGGGCGGGGAGCGCGGGGCCGAGAAGCGGCACTTTCTCGGCTTTGTTCTGGGGCCTGCTCGGTGGCAGCGTGATCCCTGCGTTTCATAATTAATCACCCCTCCTGGCGCCTGCCATTCTGCAGCAGCGCCCCCAGCTTCTCCTGGCCTTGCTCTCGGTGGGAGGGCGGAGTGAGAAGCGGGTGCGGGCCCAGCTGGAGAAGGCGGCTTGGGCCGGCTGCAGCGCTCGCGGGAGGCGGGGGAGTGTCCGGGCAACGTCCGGAATGAGGGTGGCCCTCTCGCCGCTGGGCGGTGGAGCTGGGCTGGGAGGGCGTCCAGACGTGGGGTCGCAGCTGATCCGGAGGGGCTGCGCTGGGCACCCGGGTCTCCTGTTCACCGAGAGCGAGCAGCGGCCGGGGGCTGGGCCAGGAAGCCTCCTGTCAGCGTGGCCTTTGTGGGCACAGGGCCGAGGGCCCCGCTCACCTCCCAGCCACCACTCACCTGGCCGCCGGTGTGCAGGAGCCCTGGGCCTGGCCGAGCCTCCAGCTGCCCTTTGGGGGGACTCGTGTCCATGTTGTTCTTCCCGGTCTTCCCTGACCGCTTTGGTTCCGGGTGGACAGGACACGTGTGGGCCTCAGGGGGTGGCAGCTGCCTTGTGCTGCCTGCCGGCGGGCTTGTTCCGGCAGAGGGTGCAGGGCACGGACGTGGGGGGCCAGCACAGTGAACTGTGGGCTTTGGGGCGCTGGTGGTGCCCGATGCTCCCCCCCAGGGGCCAGGCCTCTCGAGGTTCCTCCTCCCATCATTTCCCTGCGCTCCCACCTGCACACACTCCTGACCCCCCAACCCCCCCCCCCAGGGCTCCCTCCTGCAACCCCCCCAGCCCCCACCGTCTGGGGGCCAAGCCAGAAGCGGCTGCTGAGGAGCTGGCCCCGCGGCTGAGCTGCCGTATGTGGAGGGAGGGCTGGGGGAGCAGGTGTGTGTGTTTTCCTTTCACTCGTTAACCAGGACGCAGAGGCCAAGTGGAGATAAAAGTTAGGAAAATGTCATCCCTTGACATTTATGCTTTCAGAGGCCTGGGTGGAGGGTGGAGGCTTTTGATCACGGCCGGAGCACAGCAGCAGGGGTCCCAGATCCCCGGTCCCCGCAGTGAGCAGACCATGCAGGAGGTGCCCGGGGTGCCCCCGCCCCATAGCTCTCTCGGGGCTGCTCCCAGCAGCCGCTGTCCTGGCTGGGCCCAGTGCGGCATCCCTGGGGGAGTCGGAGGCCGGGCGCCCCATTTAGGGAGCTGCCCCTGTCCGGTGCCAGGATCTGGAGCTGGGCCCTTCACAAACCACCGCGACAGGCCACGCCTGGAGCCCAGTGACCAAGGGCGCGGGACGGAGGTCACAGGCCAACACGGCAGGCCTGGTTCTGTCGGGGAGCACGGGACGGGGCCATGGCGGCGTCTGGCCCGGGCCCTAGCTCCCCGGCTCCCCTCTGTCTTGGAGCGCTACGCTCGGGACCAGGTGTGGGTTTGCACCAGCTGCAGGTGGCCCTGGTTTCTGTCTCCAGGACCAACACTCACCTCGCTGACTGCGCTGTGGATGCTGGAAAGGCCTGAGTGGCTCAGGGGTGGGGACCGCTTCCTCGGGGGGTGGCTCCAGGACCCAAGGTGGCCCAAAGGTCCAGCGGCGCCTTCGCAGAGCCTACCAGAGAGCTCAGGACATGCAACCTCACTGTGACCTCCGCCCTCCAGAGCACCTAGGATAACAGCCGGGCTGCTCCCTGTCCAGAGAGGCCCCGGTGGCTCAAGTCCAGGCCCCGGCCCCGCGGAACACGCCCCCTGAGTCAGGGCTATGGGGCACAGAGGAGCCCTGTCCCGCCGAGTCCCAGCTCCCGCCCCGCCCAGACATAGTGGCCTGGAGGGCGACGCCCAGCACTGCGTGTGCCTTGGCGGACACAGACTCTTTCCTGTGGCCCGCGCTCCCCTCCCTTAAGGGTGACTGTGCAGCCCAGCTGGGGCTCTGGCGCGTGTGCTCGGGCAGACTGGCCTGGTTGGGGCGTGGGGGTGCTCCAGGGTGACACTCAGGGAGGCCCATGCGATGCCTTGGATGGCCAGTGCCCAGGGGTGTCTGTTAATTTCACAAGAGGTCATCACGTCTCGTCCCTGGTCATGTGCAGGCCCCACGTGTCCCCCATGTGCACACGCAGACTGTACCTGCACGTGTGGGGTGTACCCGCCAGCTCACGCACACCCAGCTCACGCACCGCACCCTCACAGGTGTGCACACGTGTGTCATGCACACATACTGCTCACGTGTGTTCCTGTAGTAGTCTCAAAGTCAAGGCTGGCATGATGTCTAGCCGGGCAGGTGGCCATTATCCCGTGCCGCTGTCAGCAGCTTCCTGCTGCACCTGGGAGCCTGTGCCCTGCCTCGGTTTCCTCACCAGCGCTGCAGAGTCCCAGGCCCACTTGCTGCCTGTGCTTTGGAGATTGTGGAGTGATGGCACTGGGGCTTTGCGGCTGGGGCCCAGGGGTCCTGTGTGTGTCTGGAGGAGGCTGGTGGGGCCATGGGCAGGATTGGGCTGGCAGTGGCCTCTGGGGAAGAGTAGCCACTCGTGGCTGAGCACTTGGCACAGGTCTGCGGTCTGGGAGTGACCCCCAGGGACCCTTGTGCCAACTGTGCCTGGAGCTCTGTGCCCCAGCCCCCCAGGGAGCAGTGGTCAGAGGGAGAGGACTGGGCCCTGCACTTGGACCTCAGGCCGCTGTGTGACTTTTCCCAAGTCACTCGGCCTCTCTGGGCCTGCGTCCCCGTCTCTGAAGCGGGTTCACCGACACGGGCAGTCCCTTGTGTCGTAGCTTCCAGGACAGCAGCTGGAGTGATGCTCAGTGAGCGTGGCCCACTAGCAGCCCCACCAGTGCCGTCTTTTTGGTGGGAAAATGAGATTTAGGAGGGGTCTAAGGGCTGGCACTGGAGGCCTGGGCCTAGCCCTGCTCCTCCCAGGCTCTGTGCTGAGCTCCACGGCCCCATGAGTGTCCACGCGCAACTTTGCTCACTTGACAGAGGGCGGGGCATCCGAGCAGTCCACGCCCTGTCGCTGCTGGTCGAGAGGCTGCAGGACTTGGGGGCTGCTCTGTCCGGGCCAGTCTCCTTGCCGCGCGTGGCCTTTCACTGGCCCCCCGTGAGATTACAGAGGCCTCTTTTTGTCTCCCCAGGTCATCTCTGCCGTGTCAAGACTGTCCCAGCACAACATCGCACAGAACAAAGGGATCAGGTGAGCCCAGCCGTGGGCGCCGGCGCCGGCCAGGGCCGGGTGGAGCAGATGCCCTGGCCTGCATCTTTGTGGTGGATCTGGACGTGCCTTCGGCTGCCTTGCGGTGCTGGAGGGGCGGGAGGAGGGAGCCTGGCATACACCGGGGAGGGCTTGCGGGTGTGTTACTGATGGCTGCAAAATCTCTTTCGATTTAGGTAATAAGATCAGCAAATTAATCCTTTCACAGATCATTGCCCACCTAACTGCCCTCTCCAGGCGCCAGAACCCCTCTTGCCGGCTGCCGGTGCTGCTGTGTGGCCGGGCTGGGCGGCGCCAGGGTGGGTCGCGGTCCGGCTGTGCGGCCCTCTGCGCGGGCTGCTCTGTTCTCTTTCGCTCAGCCTCGATGGCAAAGCTCGGCCTCTGGGACCCCTTGAGGAGGCCCCGCGCTGGCCTCTAACGTGGGGGCGGCAGGCTGCTCCAGATGAGAACTGGCCGTTGCAGAAGCGACCTCGGCTCAGGTGTCCAGAGCCTTAAATGGGAACTGGGCTCCAGATTGGGAGGGTCGAGCCCAGGACCCTACTTTCCTCCACGTCCCTATAGGACTTAGGGGACTCTGGAGGGATCAAGAGGCTTGGGGGCCGAAAGGAGGCCTGCTGGGGTCCTGCTGACGTGCAGCGAGGCGTGAAGGGGGGTGAGGGAGGGACCCCGCCTGTGGGGGTGGGCACAGGTGTGGGTACCCAGCCCGGGCGCCCCGTGAGGCTGGCGCCCCTCGGAGTCACTGGCGCAGTTGCGGCGTCCTCTGCGCCGTGTCCCCGATGGCTTGGAAATTCCTTTGAATCGAGTGTTTTGTTTCTTCTGAGGCGAAGTGCAGGCTAGGCTGTCTGCAGAGGCTCCTGAACTACACACTAAGCACGTGAAAGCGTATTTGTACCACGCTCGGGGCGCAAAGAATAAGTAAAACAAAACCCGTCCTCACCACCCGCTCGGTCCTGGAGCACCCGCGGGCCTCGGGCCTCCAGCCCCGGGCCGTTCTGTCTTTCTGGACGCTGTGGGGCAGCTCCGGCGGGGACGGCTCCCGTCAGTCCCTCCGGCGTCCTCTGCCCACGAGCCGGGTCCCAGCCGCGCCTCCCCGCCGCGTCCTTCCTGCGCGTGTCCTGCCGCCCAGCCCTGGTGGGAGTGATGGGAGCCCTGAGCGAGGCCGTGAGGAGTGCGAGTCCGTCAGTGTCTCCCCACGTGGGCCCTGGCGCGGGAGCCCAGCCACGGCCCTCGTGGCATGGACACCGGCCTCCAGCAGCCTCGGCCAGTGCGAAGCCGCGCTCCGGCTCTGCAGGCCCATCCACCCCCTGCAGGCGCTGGGGGCCCTGGCCCTCGTTTACAACTGGCCAGGAGACCCTGCCTGTGGCTGGAGGGGACCTGCCTGTGGCGGTGCCCTCGGGGGCTGGCCCTGTGCCAGGCCATCAGCCTCTCCGTCAGCAAGGCTCTTGGGACAGCCGAGACCCCAAGACAGCCACCCCAGGCCCAGGCAGGACGCCCCAGGGCCCGGGGCTCCTCCGGAAGCTGGGCAGGGCCAGGCCTGGCGGGACGTGGGGCTGGGGTGCCCCTTACCGCACTGGAGCCGGGGGGCGGAGGGGAGGGCGAGGAGGAAGGTGTTCGCAGAGACCTCTGAGGTCTGGTCTCAGCGGCGCTTCGCCGCCCTCCGCCCACCCGCCTCTCCCTCTGCTCACTGAGCCCCACGACCTTCCCGGGTCCTCTCCTTCCACGTCCTGGCACAGACCCTCCCACGTCGGCCAGTGCGGCCCCCCGGGTAGCACGCCGAGCTGGGGTCATCTCCCGTGTCCACACCGTGGCTGAGCGGTTGCCGAGGCGCAGGCCGCGCCCTTGGAGGGCAGCCCCTCACCTCGGCCCCGCCAAGAGTGTTTCTCCGTGGTGGCAACTACAGGCGGCTCCGGTTTGGCCGAGCCCTTTCCTTCCCTGAAAGCCCACGGGACACGCCTGCCGCCCCAGCTCGTCCATCCTGCCCCCCGGGTGGGAGCCCAGCGGGCGCCTTTGAAAATGATCATTTTCACAACCTCGCACTTTGCATAATGAACCGATTTGCCATAAAAGCCCCAGTTACGCTCCTCAGAGGCTGGAGAATTGGAGACTCGCTCTGAGCCCCCCCCACCCCCGCCGCCACCCGGTGCTGGCTGGGGTGGGCCGTGGTGGGCGTGCCGGGGCAGCCCCCAGCTCAGCCTGTGGGGCGCAGCCGGCGCCGGCCCTGCAGGTTAGGGGCCCTGAGGCTCTGGAAGGTCGGAAGGGAGGAGAGAATGTGGGCGAGTCTCAGCAACTGAGCCGGAGGCGAGGCCCAGGCGCCCTCAGTGCACAGGGGCCTCTGTCGGTCACTCGCCAGCAATGGCCCCTGCGGGGGCACGGGGGGGTCGGTCCCGGAGCTGCTGTCCGTCCCTCAGCGCGGGGTGAGCCTGGCCCTGGGCCGTGTGGTTCGACCTGAAGCTTTGTGGGCTCCCCTGGCTGCCGGCCGGGCTGGGGCCGAAGGGTGGCCTCACACCCGGGCTGGTGCCTCTGGAGGGCCGACGCCAGACACCCTGGGGCTCAGTGCGGGGACTGTCCAGGCTTGCCCAGAGCAGCTCAGAGCTGGAACTTGTAGTCCTCCTGTGCTGACCTGCTCCGCCCTCCTGCCCTGGCCTGTCCCTGTTCTCCCGTCCTGACCTGTCCCCGCCCTCTAGCCCTGGCCTGTCCCTGTCCTCGTGTTCTGGCCTGTCTCAGTCCTCCTGGCCCGGCCTGGCCCCAGTTGGGTGCAGCCACTGTGTGCTGCTGTCCCTCAGGGCATGAGGGGACAGATCTGAGACCGGGGGGCAGGCCAGAGGCACCCAGGTGGGTGGTCAGTGTGCCCTGCAGATGAGGAGGAAGGAGCGAGCCTTGTGGGCAGGTCTGGGGCACTGGGCCGAGAGGTGCTGGGGAAGCTCTGGGCTCGTCTGCGGAGAGGGTCAGGCTGGGGCAGCGCAGGCCCCATCTGGGCTCTGGCTGCGAGGGGCAGGCCCACGGTCGCCTAGGGCAGTGTCTCCAGGACGTCGTCCAGGGCACTCTCCGGCCCCAGGTGGACAGTGGGGGCTCCTGGAGGCTGGGGCCAGCGAGGCACTCATGTGGCCATTTCAGGGAGGAAACAGCTGGACACGTAGAAGTGGGGTGCAGGCCAGAGGTGTGGGGGGTGAGAGGGGTCCCAAGAGGCAGAATGGGGGCAGAACAGGCAAATCCACTGAAACACACTGCTGAGGGGGCAGCAGGGAGTCAGGAGAGGTCTGCTGTGCCCTGTGGGCAGCTCCCTGGCCGGGGATTGAACTCCGTGTTGCAGTGGTGACAGCCTGAGAGTCACCCCCAGGCCACCATGGAGGCCCGGGTGCCTTCTATCCGTGTTCAGAGCTGCCCTGGGGAGCAGCTGGGGTGTGGCGAGGCCAGCCAGGAATGTGGGGGGCGCTTGCTCTCCCAGGGGCGGCCTGGGAGAGCTGCAGTGGTTGTCTCCTGTGCCAGTCACCCCAAAGCACCCACAGTCCCAGCACGGTGAGAACCTGACCTGCTCTGTGTCCCAGCGGCCGCAGTGGCTCTTGCCTGCGCAAAGGGCGCCCCTGCCGCGAGGTGGTGGTGGGAGGTGATGGTGGTGCGTCTGGGGCGGCCCCTGGGCCAGCAGCTGGGGCCTGGCAGGGCCATCTGCACACTTGGCGCAGGGATGAGACGGGCACCTGCCATGCTGAGAGGCTTCCTGCTCTGGCAAGAGACGCCCGGGGGAGTAGGTGCGGCCTCGTGCACTACATCTAGGGATGCTCTAGATCTAGATCTAGTCCTCCCCAGAGGACTGCCCCCTGTGGCACCTGTGTCTGGGGGCCTCTCTGGCTGCTTTGTCCTCTAAGCCAGTCCTGGTTGCCCACTGCTCCAAGCCCGCCAAGAAACAGACTGTTCCCACCCGCTGAGCTCCGGGGTCCCGGCTGGCACGGCCCGTGTCCACCCGTGTCCACTTGCCGGCTTGGAGTGGCTCTGCAGAGGCCAGCACTTCCAGCAGCTTCTGGAAGAAGCCCTGGCAGGGGCCAGAGCCTGGTGTGTTTGCCCCAGAGTGAGCTGCCCCTGCCCCCTCCCCACACAAGAGCACTGCATCGGGGTGGCGCAAAGGCCAGCTCGGGGCAGCTCCCCAGACTGTGAACAAGGGGGCGGGGAGTGCCCTGAAGAAGGAAGCAAGCCCTCTGCTGCCTTTGCTCAGGGGCTGGGCTCTGACCCCCGAGGGTGCCCCGTTTTCCGATCTCTAGCTCTCCCCCCGCCCACGGCCACACAGGATGGCTGGAAGCCGAAAGTGACCCCGTGGAGGAAGGAGTACTGTTTGGGGGGCCCTTTGAGAAGCAGAAGTGGGGCCGCGCTGTGTTGTGGGGGCCCTGTGGGGATTTCTGGACAGGCAGCTGCTGCTCTGCTTCCTGCACGGGCATCCCCTGAATTCCCTGGGTGTTGCAAGCAGGAAGCTCACGTCCTGTCCTCAGGAAGCATCAAGGGTGGGCGGAGCCCAGCAGGGGCCGGCGCTCTGGCGGTTAACCCAGGGTTCAGGGTTCGCGCAGACAGCCCTCTGCTCCGTCCCCGCCCCCCTCTTGTACATCGCAGGTGACCCCAGCAGGTGGCCCCACCCGTCGGCGCCTGCAGGTGGGGAGCCATTGCGGGGAGTCGGGGTGGAAGCCGCACCGTGGGGCCAGGACGCCCAGCTGGTGGCGGGACAGGAGCGGGGAGACGTGGCCGCAGAGCCCCGTGGCCCCAGCCCCTCCTGGGCTTTCCGTGCCGGCTGGACCGGGCCCCAGAGGGGGCTCCACTGCCCTCTGTGCACGCGTCTCCCGCACTACGTCGGGGCTGGTGTTGCCAGTCACAACTGGGGGGACCTGAGTACTTCTGGGTGGTCTCTTGAAAGCTCCCCTTGAGGGTGCCTCCTCGTGTCCAGGGCAGGCTCGCCATCATGTTGTTTGGGGGAGGGAGCGCAGGAACACCTGGCGTGCGTCCCTCTGTCACCCGCTCCCCTGTCCCGGCCCCCCAGCCCGGCCCTCCTCCCGCCCGGCCCCGTGCGCCCGCTCGCCTCCTGCAGCCCGCAAACCCAGCCCCTCGACCTGCGTGTCCTCTGGACACTGCCGCCCCAGCATCCCCCGCCAGCACCTGCCCACCCGCCCACCCCCCGCCTGTCCATCCCCGTCCACCACTGTCCATCCTCCACCCGTTCCCCGCCCGCCAGCCCCCCAGCCACCCCCCATCCATCCGTCCCCCTGTCTGTCCACCCGTCCCTCTGTTGTGGGTGACGCTGAAGGAGAACCATTGTGCCCCCGGACGTGTCACCGCGTGACCCTCCTCCTGGTCACCTGACCATGTCCCGGGGCAGGTCACTGCCGGGAGGTGGCTGAGACGGGTCAGGCACTTTGGGGCTGCCCCGAGCACCCTGGGCTGGTGGGCTGAGGGTGGGCAGCCGTGGCTGACGCCACCAGCGCCCCCTGCACCCTCTCCTTTGGGTGGGGGCTGGCAGCTGCCCTCCTGGTCTTTGACTCACCTTGAGGAGGTCCGGGGAGCCCCACATTCCTATTTCTGGAATTGCCCCAAAGTCTGGGGGCAGGATTGTCAGCAGGACGCGCACTATCCCCTTCCTCGCCAAGAGGGGCCTTCGGGTGCAGGAGCAGGCGTGGGCGCCCCCAGAGCCGGGCACAGGGTCCTTGCTCTGCACCTCCCGGGGCTGGTTCTGTGTGGCAGTTGGGGACCCTGCTCCTTGCTCCCCGGCAGGGCCTGGGGGCTCTCATCCCAGGGGTCCGTGATGGGGCACGGGGGCGGGGGGCGGCGGCACTGCTACTGAGACCCACTCACCCGCCCTCCTCTCCCGCAGGCCTTTTCCCTCGGAGGAGACGGCAGAGAACGACGAGGATGTCTACCGCAGCCTGGAGGAGCTGGCAGAGTAAGGGGGCAGGCCTGGGCCGGAGGAGGGAGGGCAGGAGAACCTCTCCACGTGGAGGGGGTGTCGGGTCCTTGCTGGGGTACTGGGGCTTCTGCAGCCCCTCTGCCAGATGAGCTCTCGCTTCACACCTGCTCATTTCTAGAAGACTCCCGGCTTGTCCGGTGGCGTGGAGACTCGGGGGGCTCTTGCAGAGCTGCAGGGATGCGGGGGGAAGGGCTGGCCTGTCCCCGGGGCTGGGGTCCAGGCCAGGCTGGTGGGGGTTCGGGCAGCTGGTATCTCCAGAGCCATCCCGAGCAGAGGATATAGCGGAGGCGGTTTGTGGGTTCGGGGGTCTAGAGCTGAACTTAGGCCTGCCGCTAAGCACAGGCGTCTCCCCTTCTGCACCCCACTTGGCCCTGCCCACTCCTCTAGGAGGGCCCTCCCCCCTGCCTGCCCGTCCTGGCGCTTCTCCTCGTGGCTCTGGAGCCCGGTGCCCACTGGCTTCCCTGGGCCGGGGCTCCCCCAAACCCGTCCCAGCCGGTGGGGCCCGACGCTTTCCGGGAGGGCAGGGGGTGAGGAGGCAGGGCCCCAGCCTGCGGGAGGGACGGCCCGGGGACGTGACCGGCTGCCAGCCCTGGCCCACTGCCCTTGTGGGCGGGGGATGGGGGGAGCTGCTTGGGGCCTGCCGGCCGGCCCGCACTACTGTTGGACAGCGGGGCCCGGCTCCCCCGTGATGGGCGTGTCCTGGGCGGCCCCCGCCTCTCCCATCATCCTCCAGCCCAGGCGCAGGGTCGGCCATGACGGCCTCACTTGCTGGGGGGGCCCGTGCGCCCCTGCATGCGCGCCCTCTGGACCCCCCTGCAGGCCCGTCTTCTTGGTCTCCCGCCGAGGCGTGACTGGTCTGTGACGTGGCCATAGTTTCGGGTGCACCATGGTCCTTGAGTCGCCTCTGTTTTGAAGGGATCCCCGCAGTCAGCCCGGGTGACCCCCTCACTCACGCCCAGGTGCTCGTTACTGTCCTCGTGGTGAGGGTTTGTCAGACCTGCCCTCGGCAGCTGTCCCGCCACCCCGGTGTCCAGGCCACGGCTCCGGGGCCAGCGCGCCGGGCCTGTTTGTTCAGGGGTGTCTCACGGCACCGTCACCCGCCCCCCGAGATCGCCAGTCTGTCCCCGTGTCTGAATGTGATTTATGTGAACAACCCGCGGCCCCCAGGAAGCCCCATCAGTGCCTTGGCCACCTGGAGGGCCCGGGGGTGCTGGGGTGTCCGGTGCACTCCACGTGGGCTCCGGGCTGGAGGGCACCCCGAAGGGCCCGGGGCCTAGCGCCCCTCGGCTGGCTGCGCCTGCGGCTTAGGCTGTCCGGGTCAGGGGGGCTGCAAGTTTCAGGCGGGTGGGCCGAGCTCTGGGGGCTCCTGGGCGCCAGCTGAGTGAGGGGCTGCTCACCCCACTCTAATGGGGACGGGCTCAGGGAGGCGCAGCTGGACATGGGCCCCTGGGGAGGGGACCCGCTGGCCTGGACCCTCCTTAACCCAGTGCAGTCTTCTGCCCGTTGCCCGGTCTCCTGGGGGGCTGTGCAGCAGGTGTCCCCATTTTACAGGTCAGGAAACTGAGGCACGGGGGGGAAGCCGTGCCACACGGCCAGTCATGGCAGAGCCACGATTTGCCCCCAGTCTAGGCCCTGGCCGCCCCCCGCGCGGCCCTCCTCCCGGCCAGCCAGGCGCCCTCCCCCGCCCAATTCCTGCAACTCGCTGCACCTGGTCCGGCGCGTTCGGGCCTGCGGTCCCGCCTGGAGTCAGCCACCCCGTCCCCTTCCCCTGCTCCGCCGCGGGGCGCGGGTCACCTCCTGTGCCCAGCCCGGAGCGCGGCCTCCGGCGCAGCTCAGGAAGACAGGCCCGTGGCAGTTCCGGCGGCCGCATCCCTGCCGGCGCGGGTCGTAAATTACAGGCCGGGGCGCAGCTGAGTCTGGAGCTTGCGGTCGGGTCCCAGAGGCTCCAGCTTAATAAATTTTTCATGGTTCTCCCCCCTTTCCTTGCACTGAAAAGCAAGATTTCCTAGCATCCTGTCCCCACGGACTTGGGGTTGATGCTTAGCGATTACGGCAATTTCCAAGACAAGAGCGGGCAGCCCCCCTTTCCTGGCTGGCCTGGGGGAGCGGGGAGCAGGGGCGGAGCTGAGGCCAGGCTGCATGAGGGGGCCGGCTCGTCCCATCCTCGCCAGGGAGGCCACCTGGTGTGCCCCCGGCCCCTCCTGGACCCCTGACTCTCTGCCGGCGTGTGGCCGCAGGCCAGGGCCAGCGTGGTCCGCATGCGGGGTGTCCCATGTCTTCTCAGGGCCCAGCGAGGGAACTCCAAGTGCGCCGACCTGTGGTCCAGTCTTTCACCCTCTGGCTGCTTAGCGCTTTTGTGCCATCTCAGCACTGGGAGCGGCTATCAGGAAGGACACCCCTGCCCGGTGCCCTGCGCTATGCGGCCGTGTGGGCAGCTGGGGGGTTGGAGAGGCGGTCAGAGTGTCCCTGGAGATGGGCGAGGGTTGCCGTGTGGGACCCCCAGACTGCGCCTTGGGGAGGACGTTCCTATGGCCCATCACTTCAGAGGGCCCGTGGGCCCCACGAGCTGCCGCAGGGAAAGCCCCTTCCCTACCTGGAGACTGTCCTGCTCCTGCCCTGCTTGTTCCTGATGCCCATCCGGCCCGGGACCCTCAGCCCCTGCGCGTGGACAGTGACCCCAGCCTTAGTTTCCCCATGTGCAGCATGAGGAGCCGGCATCTGCGCCGGGCGCTGCTGGGAAGACGGGCGGTGCTGCCCGGCGGGCTCTCCATGAGCGCCTGGGGTGGGGGTGCATAGCGCCCGTTTGCCAACCATCCAGTTTCCGGATGGCCGTGTGGCACTGTCCAGGACAAGCCGCCTCAGCCCCGTGTGATGGGCACTTTCTAGTGGCTACACCCCCCCTGCCCCGGGTGCGCCCACCGTTTGTCCATTCCTTCGCTCAGCCAGTCAAGGCTCGCACACAGGGGGCCTGAGCCGCCTGCCGCAGCGCCCGCCCGCCGTGGGGCCGCGTGCTCAGGCTGGCGTGGGGCTCAGGTTCTGCTCTCTTGGGCTGTGGCTCCCTCCTGGGCCCGTTGAATGCCGTGCAGGGACCTCACAGAGCAGCTGGTGGGGGAAATTAAGACAAAACGTTGCCGCTTGAAAATGCCTCATGAAGCGAACGGGCCCGGCAAGGCCTGGGATCTGCTGCCGTAGCCCCTGCTGCCTTTGTCCCTCTTGCGTGCCTGTGTCCTGGGGTGTCCCTGGGAGCCGGAGGGGTGCTACTCAGGTCTCACACCTGCCCAGATGCTGGGTGGCCCCAGGCCAGGTGCAGCGGCTGGGAGGCAGATTGGCACCCAGAAGAGGGATGAGCCCGGGAGCGCCCCATGGGGGCCTGGACGGGCTGGCTGAGTCCTGGCCTGGAAATCAGGGAAGGCTTCTCAGAAGAGGTGACGGCTGTGTCTTGAAGATCAGTCTCCACCTTCACCTGCACTCCATGCAGCCTGGCTGAATGGAGGGAGGAGGCTGGGCCCAGGGCGCACACGTGTCCCATTCTGGGCCCAGCTGGCCCCCGGCTATCTAGGCAGCATCCACTGGGGTCACACCTGGACAGGCCAGGCTGGGAGGGCTTCTTGTAGGAGGTGTCGCTGGAAGTGCATTTTGCAGGGTGCATAGGATTTGCCAAAGCACTCTTCAGGAATCCTGCCCTGTGCCTGCCAGGCCACTCTTGGCCTTATTTTGGCCTCAGTCCAGGCAGCCTGGGGCTCAACTATGTGTTAGAGTGACCCTGGGGGCAGGCGGCACTGGACTCTGGCCTCTGCTGACTGTGGTCTATACAAGCTGCCCGACACCCTTGCCCTTCCGATGAGGCTGAGGGTGGGCTGGGCAGAGGGCAGCCCATCTGCACCCCTTCCTGCAAACAGGCCCCTGGCGCCCCCACCGCCCTCCTCATGGAGGCAGCTGGCCTCGGCCGGGGCCCTGACAGCCCCTCGCTCTGCTCCCCGCCACCCGGGACACCTCGCTGGCCCCTTGGTGTGTGGGCCTGAGCAGAAAGGCCTGGGCCCGCCCAGCCAGCACTGCGGAAAGGCCTGGCTTCTCCATGAGACAAGGACCTTCCACCCACTAAATATGCAAATGTGTGCAGCAGCAGAGACGGCGACTGCACACAGGCTTACTTTCATTTTTAATCCCTACCAAACCGGGTCCACTCCGGGCCCAGCAGCCTGTCACATGATTCTGTGACCTGCAGGCCGGGAGGCTGCGTGGAAGGGGTCACGGATGTGTGGGCATCTTGCCACTGCTCAGGAGGGAGCAGGGCTGAGGACTTGTGGCCAGGGAGGGGGACTTGACTTCTGTCTAGTGAGGCCCCCTCCCAGCGTTTCTTCTGCTGCCGAGAGCACGGAGACCCCCACCCCAAGTTACGTGCTGTGGTCCGCACACACCTGACCCACCTGGCTCTTTAGAGGTCGTGCCAGGGACTGAACAAGCAGCTCATTAGATTTCACTGTAACGTTCCTGTCATCCACGGAACTTCTGCTAGAGTGACTACCAAACTCCTATTCATCCTGCAAAACCCAACCCAGTGGCTGCTCCCTCCAAGAAGCCATCCTAACCCTGCCCAGAGGCTCAGAAGCACCAGGATTTCCCCAGGCACTGCACTGTCACCATTTTCCTGTGTGTGCTGTGTCCCCACTGGAGATGAGCTCCCCATAAGGGAGGTCCCTAAGGAGATAGCACAGAAGAGCTGTGGCATAGAGGAAGTGATGGAAGTGGGCAGTGAGGAGCCAAGTGTGCTCCCAGGTGCACTTCAGGGGATCCCCTTGGTGCCCAGGCACTGCCCCATCCGCTCAGGCTTCACAACAGCCCTGCGAGGTGGGAGCTTTTGCTCTTACTTTGCAGTTGAAATCAAGGCTCAGAGAGGGTAACCTGCCTGGGGTCACACGGCACTTTCCGTGGCAAAGGAGGGATGGAAACCCTAAGCTGACTGTCCCTGCGGCTGGCGCCCTGCCCCGTCGTGACTCTCCCTGGCGGTGGGGCTCGCCAGGTGCTTGGACAGAAGCTCAGGGGGCCTACAGGCCTCCTGGGACTGGGTTGCTCTGCGCCCCGGGGCACTAGCTTGCCCTCTCCGCGCCGTGGCTTCCCCACCCGTCATAGGCTGGGGCGAGGGCGGGCGAGGCTGGTGTCCAGCAGCGTAGAGAGGCCTTTATCCCTCTGCGTCCACAGATCCCCACCTCACAGACCACAGCCGGCTCCTGAGCTCCGGGAGCCCCACCCTTGCCCCCGCCTGTGGCGTGGGGTTAGGTGTCCATTTGGTTTCCTAGGAACGCGTGAAGGGTGGGCTGCCCGGGGCGGGCGCCAGCCACCTGTCCACAGCGATATTTTACGTCCGCTGCAGCCACGCGGGCCCGCCCAGGGCAGCAGGCCCAGTGTGTTCATTTGCTTTGGTTTTCTGTGGGTGGCAAGGGCGTGGCGGGCCTCTGCGAGCAACTGATGGTCTGTGACAAAACCGGGGCGGCGGGCGAGTTCCTGGGCGGCTGGATGTGGGGCGGGGGTGCCGTCGGATCTGGAGGGCGGCAGGCCTGCCGGGGCCCCCCGGGAGATCCAGGCCATTGTGAGCACTGAAATAATTGTGGGGATTTAGCATCTGTCAGCGCAGCTGCCTCCTGGAAATTGCCTGAGTGAAAGGGGGCTGGGGGAGGCGGGAGGGGCTAGGGCGGCAGAGGCGTCCACGCCACGGCCAGCTGTGGTCTCGCGCGATCTGAGTCCAGTCCTGGCTCCTGCCCCAGTCCCGGCTCCTGTCCACATCATCCTCTCAGGCACCTGGACAGAGGGTGAGCGCTGAAACCTGCGAGGCCAGATGGGCTCCGGGGCGCCCACGTTCTGCACTTCCGCCTGGCCGTGTGGCTGGTGCATTGGCCTCTTGAGCTCCTGTGCTGGGGCCTCGCGCTCCCTCTCCGAGCAGGGCCACGCCCTGTGCCTCCTGAGCACCCACTGTGCACGAGGCCTGGGTTACCTGCTCACCTGTGGCCTTCAAGGGTTGGTGCCTCCCACCTTGCAGGTGGGGAACTGGCTTTGTGCATCCTGCCCGGAGGTGCAGAGCAAGCGATGGCAGGTCCATGGCCCTCTCAGACTGACTGATGCTTCCACCTGGGGGCTCACTGGCCAGCGCCCCTGATGGATAGGGGCCAGGCCCCCGGCCCTATGGCCGTTACTGACTGGCTCAGCGCCACTGTTTTCCAGGGAGTGTGGCCTCTGATTGTGTGGAACCTTCAGCTGCTGGAACCCCCACATCCACCTCTGTGGCCCCGATGCGGCTGGGGAAGAGTCAGGATGCAGCAGGGCAGCTCCCAGGGCCCACAGAGGGTGTGCAATTGCACGTGCGTGTGCTCGGCCGCCTGGTGGGCTTTGGGGTTGGCTGGACGTGGCTCAGGTGCACCAGCCTTGTGGGCCTCGAGATAGCCGGTCCTGCTGCGGCTCTGAGGGGCAGGTCGTAGCTGCTGTCACAGGAGAAAAGACACCACAGCTTCTCTCCAGTTGGGCCCCCGCCTGGTCACTGCATTGTGTTCCAGGCCTGTCACGCGGGGGGCTTCATGGTAGGGTCCCACCCCCACACCTGTCCTGTCCCATCCCCTGTCTGACAGCCACAGGCATCAGGTGCCCTGGGCCCAGCTGGCCATGACATCAACTGACCTGCTTTAGCGGAGGCCTGTGACTTGTCATGCGTCCCTACCCTGCTGGGGACTCACTTTTGTAGACACCCTAGCTGGGACGCCGGTGAGGGCGGATTTCCCTGCCACTGTTGGCCGCCGGCGAGGGTCTCCTGGGGCCAGAGCCTGTCGCGCACGCGGGTCTCAGGCAGAACCGACGCCCCCTCCCGCCTCGGCGGCGAGGCCTGAGGAGCAGAGTCCGTGCCTGGTCCTCCGTGGCCCTGGACCTAGCAGGTCATCGGCCGCGGATGCGTCCCGAGTAACCTCCACCTGACAGTCCTCGTTTCTTCGTTGCCGAGAAACAACTATGCTTGATTTTACTTTCGCAGTTTTGTTTTCATTAAAAAAAAAGCCGCCGGGTGGTTTATTTCTCCTTCTCCCAAGTGTGAGGTGGTGCCGGCCGCTCCTCTGCACACTTCCAGATGGGACGCGGGCGCCGAGCGGGCTGCTCGTGCTCACCGACCTGAGTCCCGGAGTGCGGGGGCGTCTCTGCCAACTGCGTGCTCTGGGGCCGAGGGTGGGCTCCGCCGTGCTCCCCGGCGGACCCTGGAGGACGGACTGCGCGGAGCAGCCGGCAGGGTGGCGTCGGCATTTGGAGTTTCCGCCCCGTGGAGACCCCAGAATGCCGCTGTCCCTCTCGTGTCTCTGGTGGCTCATCTGAACCCCAGGGAGTCAGGGGAGAGGAGGGAGAGCAAGGCGTGGGGAGCGTCTTCATTGATTTTGAGAAAGAGAAGCGGCAGCTGAGGACGAGGCAGTGGCTGTATCGGGGGAGCTGCCCGGTGCACCTTGTCAGTGAGTGAGTGTGCAGCGCGGGAGGCGGCTGCGTCGCTCACCCTCACCTGGACGGGAGGTGCTGCGGACGGTGAGGTCCGGACGTCACTGCCTTTGGCCCGAGGGCATCCTCTGTCACACAGAGTCGCCTCTCGCTGGTTCGCAGTGAGAGGAAAGACATGGGGGACTGAACGAGCAGCCAGAAAACGAGGCGGGACATGTGGAAGCTGGGACCCAGAGGAGGCAGGTGTCCTCAAGTCCTCCTAGACCTCACATACCCCGGAGAGACCCCTGGGGTTCCCCGCATAAAATGACAGAGCTTGGGCTCTTGGGGGAGAAGAGGCGTTGCGTCTCAGAGCTGGCTTGGGTGGGTAGTAGGGGCCGGAGAGGACTTGGGGCCGGTGGGGTGTCCGGGGACCCCACCAATGTGGGGTGAGGGAGGGGCCCCTCCAGGCCAGCTCTCAGTCACCCCCCCTTCATTGTCGGCTCGTGGCCCACTGAACTGCCGCCAGGCTCCCCTCCTCACGGCCACGGGGCACAGCCTGAGCCTGCGGAGAGGGTTGTCATCACGCGGCTCGCGCGCCCGTGCCCTCTGCGCCCCCCACCCCTGTGTCAGCGTGCTCGGCGTGGTGCTGGCCTCGCTCTGTTCAGGACAGAAATCTGGAGTGGCAGGTTCCTTGCCTGGCCCCCCCGTAGTGGGTGGAGTCCAGGTGCTGGATTTGTGGGGTCAGCATCTGGAGAGGCAGGGAAAGGTTGGGGTCAACATGAGTGACTGTCCCGGGGCCCACCCAGGGGCCTGGACCTGCGAGACGGTCAGTAAGGGAATCTGGAGTCACAGACGGGCTCCTGGCTGCCTCGCGGGCCCAGCCAGGGCTCTGTTCCCGTCGGACACTACCTTGTGCCAGGTCTGAGCTGTCCAGACACTGATGCCCAGGAGGGCAGCTCGGGGTGGACGCAGCTTGGGGGAGAGAAAGGCTGGGCCAGTGGTGCACGGATCTTGGGGGGTCTCTCGGTGATGTGGCCATGGGCTGTCTCCCTCCAGGGGTTCTATGGCTTAGAAAGATGGGGTCTTTCAAGTGCCCCTTGGGGTGGGCCCCTGAGGGCCGGCCCCAGGCGCTGGCTCTGGATCGTGGCGACTGTGCCCTTCCCTGGCCTGTCACACAGCGATGGCCTGGCTGGCTGCTCCTCAGCCCTGGAGTGTCCGCAAGACAGGGAGGTGTTCCGGAGCAGCGACATTCTCGCCTTCCATTGCTCCTAGGCTGCTGCGGGCTCTGACCTCATGGGGCCAGGCTGCTGTCTGGGACTCCCCAGAGAAAAGCCCCAATGTGTCACCCGTAGACCCGTTGCATCTGGCGCTGCCGGGGAGGTGCTGTCCAGCCTGAGTGTGTTGGGGGGCAGGTGCTCTGCCATCTTCGATGTCTCTGGACTCACACTTGGCCCCTTTGAGCCCCAGCTATGAGACAGCGGGCACAGAGGGTGGCCCCTGGCACTGCCCGCCTCTGGACGGCACCATCGCAGCAGCCAGGCCAGAGTGACTCCAGGGGCCTCTCCCGGGCCCCGGGGGATGGTGGGCGCTTGGGCTGCCCACTGATTGATGGTGGGATAAGTGCCCGCGGCTCTCGGGCTCGGTGCCTGGGGATCCAAAGCTGGGTCTGGGTTTGATCCGGGGAAGAGCTGGGCTCGCCCGCACCTGCAGGTGCCTGGGAGATGCAGCGAGAGGGAGGCCTGTGGCCACATGCTCCTCCCTGGTGGTCTCCAGAGGGATGTGCTTTGGACAGGGGCCCTGGAGAGGCCGGCGCGCCGTCTAGGCAGGGGGTCCGGACCTTGGTGGCTCCCTGACCTGAGTCTCAGGATAGAGGGACAGCGTAGGCCGAATCAAGGCGGGTCACGGCTGCAGAAGGCCTTGCTGTGCGGTGAGCCGTCACGGCCCTCGCAGACTGTGTGCTCCTGCTGCCCTCTGTGTCCTCCTGCCTGGTGGGCCCTGCCTGTGGGCGCTGGCCCTGACCTTCACTCCTCGCCTGCAGGGGTTGCACGACCAGCTGGGCTGAGTGCTTGGGGCCCTGGGGCTAGGTGAGGGCCGGGAGGCAGGTGTGCAGGCCCAGAGCTAGGCCGTGCTGTCCACCAAGAACCCCGCCAAGCCGGGCGTCACTCCCGCCCCGGCGAGCATCCAGCGCCTGCTGGAGGGCTGGGGTCAGAGCTCAATCGCGTGGCCAGAGCAGGGGGTGACCTCCCCACACAGCCCTGGGAGGGGCTGCAGCCCAGAGGGGAGGTGGGGGTCCCTGCATGCGTCCCCTGGCGGGCTTGCTCTGCACCCCAGTTCGGGGTGGCTGGACCCCCTCCCCCCCATGCCTTCTGACCCACCTTCCGGTGCAGCGAGCACGACCTGGGGGAGGACATCTATGACTGCGTCCCGTGCGAGGATGAGGGTGACGACGTGTACGAGGACATCATCAAGGTGGAGATGCAGCAGCCCATGGTGAGCCCCCAGCCCTGCACCCCTGGCCTTCTCCTTGGTAGGGCCCTGGCCCTTTCTTTGAAACCCCTGAGCCATCTGCGCCACCAAGAGGCACTGGTCCGGAGGAGAGGGCCCAGGGGTATGCGCTGGTCCTTCCCGGCGCCCATGGGTCTCCTCTGGGCGTGTCCTGGTGACCCCTCTGCGGCCCGTGTGCATGCTCCCATCCTCCCTCCCAAATGGCCGGGGAGACCGGCGGCCACACGGCTGCTGTTGGGCCCTCCGGGTCGTGTTCCATGGCCTTCTCCAGAGGGCCCCCAGGCTCCCCGACCTGCCTGCGCAGGGAGCCTTGAAAGGCCCTTGGGTGCCAGCCCCACGCTGCAGGCGGCGTCCTGCCCCTTTATGCAGAGCGAGGGGACCAACATGGTCTCCATTAGCCAGCTGTGTGTCTTTTTTGTGGCGAGGTTATTTATTTCCAAGCTGGCATTGGCTAATAATCTCTTGGCTGCCACTTTGCTGCAGCGAGTTTATTGACAGCAGCTGCTATGCAGAAGGAGGGGGTCCTGCCAGGCTGGGATGAGGGATGGGGAGGCGGCCACAGCCTCCTGGGCCTCCAGGCCCTGGGGTGACCGAGATGCCCCTTGGCTGTGGTGGCTTCCGGTGCTGTTTGCTCTCGCAGCCGAGGTGGGGGTGCTCTACAAGCAGGCTTCCGTGTTCCCCTCCAGACAGGAGCACCAGCTGGTGGTGGACAAGCTAAAAATCTGGGGGGGCAGGTCCTGCAGGCCTTCCCAAGAGCCTTTCCCATGCGGATGGCACCTGCCCCTCTGCCGGCACCGCCCCCCACCTGCTCTTAGGAACGGCCTTCTCACTGTGTCTCCGAGAGGCTTGGGGGTGCCCCCTGCGTCGAGCAGGGCTCTGGCTTCCAGCAGGGTGTGGTCCAGGTCCGGCCAGGCTCCTCCCGAGCAGCTCCCTTCTAGCTTCCCAGGGCGGCCTTTGGTGGGAGGACGAGCCCCGGCCTGGCTCCTGGGATCCCGCTGAGCCTCCCCGGGGCTGGCCTGGAAGCTGGTGGCTGGGTTTGCCAGCAGACCCTTTGGAAACTGGACCGTCCTGAGGCTTCCTGGGGCAGGGGCTGGTGCTTCTCCAGGCGATGCTCCTGGGCCATAAAGCTGGAGAGACACCCCCGCCGCCGCCCCCCGCCCCCGCCCTGGCCACTCCAGGGCCCGCCGCTGTCCCTGGTCCTGAAGCGCGCAGGCCAGGAGCTGGGCTGCACACAGAGCCCGGGAGCCCCACTCTGCTGGCATCCTGGCGCCTGGCACTGGCCTCACAGCTGTCCTGTCCACTCTGGCCGGCGGGTCTGCCTCCTGCCGGGCCATCTGGTTTATTCCCTCCCTGTCGGGGTGGCTCTGCGGGAACAGTCGGAGTGGAGGTAGCGGGTGGTGATGTGGCCAAGGGAAGAGGCCGGGACAGGCGGGGCCGCTGGAGCCGGCTGGGGGAGATGGAGCAGCTCTGGCCCGGCTGATGCGGGCAGAGGGCCGCAGGGTGGTCTCGAGGCTGCTGGCCAGTGCGAACGAGTGCCCTGACTGCCCCAGCACGGCTGGAAGCGACAGGGCTGACACTGCTAACTGTTCTGTGTTCCCTCCCATGCTCTCCAGATTAGATACCTGCAGGTGAGTGCTAGCGGGGAGGCCCGGGAAGTCCCGCCAGCCCGTCCCGCTCTGCCTTTTGGGGCAGAGTCAGACCTCTGCAAAAGCGGGGGAGCCTGTCCCCAGGGCTGGGCGCCTCATTTACACATTTAGGGGGTCATGGCTCCTCACCCTCTCCACGAGCCCCGAGAGTAAGTGTGCAGCCCTGGCTGGGCAGTGGGGCTCTGCTGAGCCTGGCCCCTGGGCATGTGCTCACACCTTGGGCCTCGGTGACCCTGGCAGCAATGCTGGGCACACACCCCGGAAGGGGCTTGCTCAGCCTAAGACTTCAGGAGAGCGTCAGAATAGTGCCCACTGCTGCCGCTTCCCCATGGCTTCACAAGCTCATGGTCAGGGCCACCTTCCCCGCAGGCCGGCAGCTGCCCCCTGGCCCTGGGCAGAGGTGGTGGACACTCGGGGAGGCCTGCCCGGGCCATGCTTGGTGTCTGTCTCCCAGGCACTTGCTGGCTGACATATTGGTGGACAGATAAGGGTCCTGAGGGTCTGGGCACGCTCTCCCCTGCCTCCCAGACAGTCTGCACACAGTAGGCACTTTAAGCAAGTGACACCAGCTGTGTGTGCTGGGAGGGGCCTGCTGAAGGCTTCACCCTGGTCTGCTGAAGACTGAGACTCGGGAGCCTGGGTTCTAGAAACCTCTGTGCCTCTCTCCCTTATCACCAGGCCTCAAGTTTTTTCCTCTACAGAGGGGGGCGGGAGGTGTTGGTCCCCTCCTTCTCCATCTGCCCCCGCCACTGTACACTCAGCGTCCCCAGGCCCCGTGGCCAGGCCCCACGTCAGCAGGCAGTGGCCGGGTGGGCCCTGCCTTACACCCGCCCTCTCTCTAGAAAATGGGCATGACGGAGGATGACAAGAGGAGCTGCTGCCTGCTCGAGATCCAGGAGACCGAGGCCAAGTACTACCGCACCCTGGAGGACATCGAGAAGGTGGGCCAGCGGCCAGCGGGCCAGACTCCGGCAGGGCGGGCGGTGGGGCGGGCGGGTGCTCTCCGTCAGGTCCCTCCCCAGGAGGAGGCGCCCTCACCTTCCCTCTGCAGCCCTTGCGCTCTGCCTCTGCCCCACCCTGGCTGCGGGCCCTGCTGGGTTGGTCCTTGTCCAGCGCCGTCACCCCGGCCCTCTGCCCCCAGCGCCACGCGGCCTGGCCTGGCTGGTCTCTGCCCCTGCTCCACATCAGCTGTGCTGGTGACGGCTTCTGCCCCGGAGCACATGAGCATCCTGGATGCGCTTTTACCTGGAGCTGAGCGCCTCCTGTGCGCCCTCTCGCCCGCGCCTGAGCGCCTCCTGGACTCTCACCTGGGCAGGCACTGCACTTCCTCCTCTGAGAAATGGGCTAGCAGCTGTGGGGGGCTGTGTGATGAGTCAGTCCCCTGGGCAGGCCTCTGCCCCCCGAGTGGCTGGCCATCTTCTGTCCCGCCCACCTCACCCGGCCTCCTGTGGGCAGCAGCTCGGGGCCATTCCTCAGGCCACTGCCAGTGCTCGCTGGGGAAAAGCCACCAGCATTGTTTTCCGGGGAGCAGCTCCCCAGAGCCCTGCAGGTCTCCCCGGAGCCTCCCATGGCCCCGTGCCCTGCTGGCCACACGGGTGTCAGTGAGGGGCTCCCCTCCCCACCCCCCTGGGCGCAGCGCACGGGCTGAGAGGGTGTGCTCGGCCGATGTGGCGTGTGCAGCGGCCTTGGGGTGATCCTGCCGATAACCCTCCCCGGCCGTTGTCACCGGAGGGGAGCCGAGTCGCGGGGAGGCCAGTGCCAGCATCTCCTGAGCGGGCGGCTGAGCTGCCACATCCAGCCTCCAGGGCTTGTTCGCCAGCAGGGGTCTCCTGCTCCACGGGTGGCCTAGGAGAGGTCTGGTGGCCTAGGAGAGGTCTCGGGCTCGGACACAGACACACTGGGCTGCCGGCCGGGACCCGGGGGAGGAAGGGGCAGGGAGGGGTTGGCCTGGTGGTCGGCCCTGCGGGGGCCTCCAAGACAGGCTGGGGCTGGAGGGCTCGGGCTGGAGATCACCCCTTGGCGCAGGCTCAGGAGTCCACATGTAGGTGGAGCCATGGGCTGCTCGCTGACCGCGGGTGTCCCTTTGGGTGTGGCCCACACCTGCCTCCCAGCCTCACCCCTGAAAAGTCCCAGACAGCGGTGGCAGCTGCAGCTCAGTCCTGTGGCGCGTGCAGTGGCTCCATGCAGTGCCCGCTGTGCTGCCCTTGTCCTGCCGGGTCTCCCCAGAATCCCACATTCTGCAGGATGCACTGGACACCCCATGTGCCAGGCCTGTGCAGCCGCCCCAGGGCGCCATGCGTCGACCCTGGGCCTTGGCGGGGCTTTTGGGGCCCCCGTGGTGGCGGCATCCTGCAGGCTGGGGTGCAGCGAGGGGTCCTCTCTTCCAGAACTACATGGGCCCCCTGAGGTTGGTGCTGAGCCCAGCGGAAATGGCGGCCATCTTCATCAACCTGGAGGTGAGGGTTCCCGCCCCGCCACGGCGCCTGGGTCCTGCCTCCTGCTCGGCCGGCGCCCCGTGGTCCGGAGAGCCTCGTCCCTGCCAGTGCCGCTGACTCTGGCCGTAGGGCTGCCGGCTGCTGGCAGGTGTGGCTCAGACACGCACCCCCGGGGGCGAGGGTTGAAGCAAGCCCCCCTGCTCCGTGGAGGGACTCGGGCAGGCGGGCCGCGGCAGATCACCTGGCATTGCCGGAGGGTCCGGGTGGGGTGATGGGCTCCCCGGATGCTGTCCCCTGCTTCCCGCTTAACCCTGCCACTGGGGTGCTGAGAGCTGGTGTGATGCTTGCCAGCCCCTGGGCCACCACTGGGTGGGTGCTGGGCACAGGGACTGCCCCAGCTGGGGCTGTATGCAGTGGACAAATGACCAGGAACAGAAGGGAGTCAGGATAGGGGTACTGGGGGAGCCCTGGCTGCTGCCCGCTGGTCCCTGCCTGCTCTGAAAAGTGGGGAGACACCTCTGCAGGATGAGGCGCACAGGGCTGGAGTCAGCAGCCCCTGGCCCGTGTCCCTGGGCTGCAGGGAGCCCCTGTGCCCTGCTCACCGGGGAGGGTCGCCGGGATGCCCTGGGCCCTGCCCTCGGCCCTTCCTGGCACCATGTCAGGGGCTATCATGGTCGCGGGGGATGAACGTGCACCCCCACAGCTGTGTCTGTCACCTGCGGGAGCGCAGCCGTCGTCATGAGGGTCCTGGGGAGGGGAGACCCACGTGCCGCGAGGGCGGGGCCTGACGTGCCCCCGTGGCCTCTGTGCCAGGAGCTCATCAAGGTGCACCACAGCTTCCTGAGGGCCATCGACGTGGCCATGATGGCGGGCGGCGGCACTCTGGCCAAGGTCTTCCTCGACTTCAAGGAAAGGTGAGTGGCTGGCCTCGTGGCTGCCTGGGGCTGGGCAGCGGGCAGCTCCCAGGCGGGGTCTTGCTGTGTCCTCGGGGCCCGTCCTCCCTTGGAAACTGAGGAAACAGCACCCGCCCTACCGTCACCTGGGGGCGCCCAACTCCGGATGGGAGGAGCCTTGCGGGCCCGTCTACCCGCGCCTGGGGCTCAGCATTGTGCCTGCAGGAACCAGGCCCGGAAGGGGCACCCGGTGCGTCTGCCCCAGCAGCGCTGCACCAGGGGCAGAGCCCCGCCCTGTGCGGGCCTTTGGGAGGGGGTGGGGTGTGCAGGCAGGAGGCTGTGGCTGAGCCAGGCCCCAGGGCACCTCCCTGCGTGGGGCCAGCCAGCGAGGGGCCATGGGTCCCAGCCCCTGTCCTCTGGGCCACTGGGCTTGCAGGGGTGCTGGGCTCCCGGCCCTGCCCAGGATGCCTGGCGTCCACAGGACAGAGAGGCTCTGAGGCCAGCTTGAGCCCTCTGAGGCGTCCGAGCTGCCTGGATCCAGGCAGGAGGGGTCCTGACTCGGCACTGGGGACCAGGCCCAGCCTCCCCACCAGCGGCTGCAGCCCTTGTAGCTGGTGCCTCGACGGGCCTGGTGTCTGCCCCCTGTGGGCAGCGCCCTCCTCTCTGCTTTGCCTCTTTAGGGGTGGGGTAGGGGTGAGCGCCATGTCCTGACCCTGGCCATGCCCTGGAGTAGAAGCTCGGTGGGGAACCTCCTTGGGCCAGGGGAGCAGTGGGGTACCCCTTCTTCCCAACATTTGGGGCCCCTCCTCCTAGCCTGGTGGTGGCTCTGGAAGGGGGAGGAAGCAGCACTGGGAGGGCCAGGCCCGAGCACGGGAGGCGGTGGGGCCGGGTGCTCATGGCTGGGGTGCCCGGCCCGGCTGAGCCCCCCGCGCACCCCCAGGCTCCTGATCTACGGGGAGTACTGCAGCCGCATGGAGCACGCCCAGACCACGCTGAACCAGCTCCTTGCCAGCCGGGAGGATTTCAGACAGAAAGTCGAGGTGACGGGCAGCCCTGCCAGCTGGGGGTCCCCGAGGTGGCAGCCCGTGGCCCCTGTTGTGGGGAGGTCGGGACAGGGCGTTTTTGTAGATGTTTCAGTGGATGGTTTTTCCCCTTTGGATTTTGTTGCGCGGGGGTGCCTCTGGGTGCTGAGTCACCCTGGTTCTGGCCTATGTGGATGCCCCAGGGTCCCCGGGTAGCAGGAGCCATGGAGCCCCCCTTCTCCCCTTCGCACCCCAGGCTCTTATTCCCACATGAGCCCCCTCCAGGCCCCGTCCTCATGTCCCTTGTTGGGGCGCCAGGCTGCTCCCTTGGGGCAGGGACCCCATGTTGTTAGGCCTCCAGAGTGAATCCTGTGCAGGTCCCTTTGCCCCAGCAGTGCTGAGGCGGGTGTGCCCTTGGAGATGCAGGGTATCCCCAAGTGTCCGAGCTACCAGAGGGGAGCTGCCTCCTAGGAGCTGGATCCCTGCGGGTCTCTGGCCAGCTCAGGAGGAGCCAGTCCAGGCCCACTCAGAACCCGAGTCTTCTCGTGGTCACTGAGGACCCAAGCCTGCCCACCCCGGGAGCCACTGCCCAGTTCGGGGAGCCGGACTGGAGGCCAGGCCCCCGGGCCCTGGTTCAGAGCTTGGCCTCCCCCTGGCCTGGGCATGGGGTTGGCCTCCGGTGCCTGGGTGGGGTGCTCCCACTGACTGGCCCCCGACACCCCAGGAATGCACCCTGAAGGTCCAGGACGGCAAGTTCAAGCTGCAGGACCTGCTGGTGGTCCCCATGCAGAGGGTGCTGAAGTACCACCTCCTCCTGAAGGTGAGGCCCGGGCCCGGACCCCGGGTTTTGATTAGGCCAGGTGCCCTCCAGGGGACCGGAACGGAGCCCCTAGATGAGTGAGGGTGAGATGTGAGCCAACAAGCGACGAACCCGCTTAGGCCGTGACTGCTCGGTGTGTACGTGATTTGTGTGTGTGTGTGCATGCACGCGCGTGTGCAATGTCGGGCTCTCTCTCTATATTATGTCATACAAAGGAACACATTAAAATCAGTTACAAGATGTGGAAACCTGACATAGAAAAGCTGAGGTCCTCCAGGCCCCGGGAGCACCTGCGGTTGATCACGTAAACCTCTGAGCTTCTTGGTGGCCATGGTAGAAAGGGAAATCAGGCAGACAGACCTGGGGAGGGGCTGGTTTCTCCCAGGTGCCCTGGGGGCCTCTAGTGAGTCAGCCGGTCCTGCTAGCTCAGCACATTTCTTTGTGTCCCCCCGCGCATCTCCCATCAGCCACATGATTTGGGGATGTCCCTGCCGTGAAGTGGGGGTGGCCTGGAAGAGGGCCTGCTGTCGGTCTCCTGGGCCTAAATCTGGAACCAGAGCCTGGGCAGGCAGGGGGCACCTCTGTCCCTCTCTGTGTGCACCCCCATGCCAGCTGGGGACAAGGGCAGAGGCTGGTACCCCCAAGGAGAGACACATGTCCCCTCTTGCCCACCCCCAGGAACTTCTGAGCCATTCTGCTGACCGGCCCGAGAAGCAGCAGCTCAAAGAAGCACTGGAAGCCATGCAGGTGGGTGGGTAAACTGAGGCAGAGCACAGCTGGGCCAGCGTGAGGCTTGTTGCATGGAGTTCTTCAACTTGAATTGGGCTCTCTGGCAGGCCTGGCCCTGGGATCACTCATCCAGCAGCACTGTGGCAGGGCAGGGGTGACACCCACCCAGCAGCACTGTGGGTGGCGGGGGGAGCTGCAGGCCAGCTGGCCCCCCGGGAGTCCCTGCCACTGGCTGTCCCCGAACAGCCCTCCAGGCCTGGTGTCTTCTTGGGGCACCTCCTGTAGCACCTGTGGCCTGTTCCACCACCGGCAGCCTTGGGGTTTCCTGCCTGCCCGGTGGGTGGGCTCCTGTAGGAACAGGCAGAGGCTCCAGAGTGGAGGCTGGGACTGGCTCCCACCTCGGCCTGGCTTGGGGATCCCGGCCAAGGGCTGGCCTCTGGGGGGTGGGGGTTCCATGTCATGCCACCTGCAAGGCTAAGGCTTCTCTGGAGCCCCCAAAATCTGCGACTTTACAAGCAGACAGCAGTGGGCACTGCCCCCTGGTGGCCAGCAGGAGGGCTGCGGTGTGTGGACAGGCCCAGCCAGCAGTGTGGGGTCATCAAGTCTGTGGGGTGCCCACCCCCCAGAGCTGAGATGCTGGTGGACCCAGGCTTAGGGACCCGGTTTCTTCCAGTCTAACCCAGAAGAACTCCAGCGGAGTTTGGGGCTCCCAGCTCACTGGGGTGCAGCTTTAGGCTGGCTTTGCCTCCCTGCCTCCGTTTCCTCCCTTGTCAAGTGGAAGAGACGATTCTCACCCCTACCCTGGCCACCCCTGGGGACACAGAGGGGCTTTGGGGAGCCCTGGGCCTGCGGGGTGGGGTGGACCCTCAAGCCCGCCCAGCAGGGGCTGCTCATCCCCCGTCCTTGTTTTTTCCAAGGACTTGGCGATGTATATAAATGAAGTTAAGCGGGACAAGGAGACCCTCAAGAAGATCAGCGAGTTCCAGAGCTCCATCGACAACCTGGTGCGTGGCGGCCCCCAACTCGCGCCACCGCCCTGGCCAGGTCTGGCCGCCCGCAGGCTGGCCCTGCTGCCCCGAGGGCGGCTCCGGGCTGGCTCCCCTCTCCCTGCTTGTCGGTGTCCATGCCTTGCAGCCCACCCGGGCTCGTGCCCTGGGCACGAGGGCAGCCTGCTGGCTGCGGGGCTAGGCCCGGGTGGGGGGCGGTGTGGCGCCCCGCTGCCTGGCCTCAGGAGGGGAGGGGGCTGCTGGCACGAAGCTCCTTCTGCGTGGACCCCTGGCCCCGCCCTGCTCCCCGCTGTCCCCTGGAGAGCCGCCCTGCTGACACCGGGGCTGCGTCTCCCCGGCTGTGGGGCTGCCCCCGGCACTGCCCGCTAGCACCCCCAGGGATGACCGGGAAACCCGGCTGCAGGACCCCCAGGCCTGCTGGCCGCCGCTCACCCCTGCCGGAGACGGGCAGACGGGGTGCTGTGCTGGGGGTCGGCCGGGGTCCCCACTCATCACTGACGCGTGGGGTGCCCGCCGCGGATGCAGACCTGGCTTCTTTGCCAGGGAGACCCAGGCGTTGGGGTTTTCTTGAGCTTTTCCCCCTGCGTAAGGCTCTTCCGTCGGGGAGCGGAGCCACGCAGAGGAGGAAAATGTCTTTCTAGGGCCCCAGCGAGGGGCTCTGCGGCCACTCGGCGCCCCTGACAAGCGCCGCTTGTTCTCTGGGGCGGGTTTCTTGGGGCGGGACGTCTGACTTGGCCGCCAGGTCCCTGCTGGGCTGCACACAAGCGCGGCCTGTTAGCCTGGCCCGGGCCGTCAATCGCCCCTTGTCCCGCAGCGCTGGCGGGCGGGGGCAGGGCCGGGAGCCTGCAGGGCTAGAGCTACCCCGGCTCCCCCCCCCCCCCCCCCCAGGAGCCCCAGGCACTCTGGCTTCCTCCCCCACCCCCACCATGGGCGTGTGCCCGCTGCCCGTTGGGGTGGGGTGCGCGGGCAGTGGGGGCTCCCCTGGTTGGCACAGGGCTCAGGGCCTTTCCCTCTTCCCCAGCAAGTAAAACTGGAGGAGTTTGGGAGGCCCAAGATCGACGGGGAACTGAAAGTCCGGTCCATAGTCAACCACACCAAGCAAGACAGGTGAGTGGGCGGCGGCCAGGCTGGTGGCGCGGGGGTATCCAGGCTCCTGGCTGGGCACTGCCGCCGCGGGTCTGGAAACAGGGCCTTCCTGTGGAAAGAGCCACTGCCCTCCGGCCTTGTGTTGTTCTGTTAATTGCTTCCTTCCTTCTCTGGGAGAGCGTCTGTGAGCCACGTCAGCCAGTGGCCGGGCTGTCCTGTCCGTGGCCAGCACTGGGCCAGGCTGGGGAGCCACCAGAGGCCCGGCCCGCGAGCTCAGCGCTGTGGCATGCGGAGAGAGGGTCCAGACTCTTTGTGGAACAGCTGCATAGGGTGGGAGCCCAGGCTCCAGATGAGCTGGCTTGAGTCTGTGTGCACCTACTGTGTGCAGGGCAGGGGCTGCAGTCCCAGCAGATGTGGGTCCTGTCCTCACGGGGCTCCCAGTCTAGTAGGGGGTGGGCAGGTGAATAGGCAGTGACCCCCAGGGGCCAGTGCTTGGGCTTGGGGAGTCCCCATGAGCCTCGAGCCAGGGGCCCGGAGCCCAGGAGGGCTTCCTGGAGGAGGTGTATTGGAGTGGCCGAGACCTGGCTGAGGGGACAGAGTGAGCCAGGCAGGGGGGCGGGAATGTGGGACAGCAGGTGACGGGCTTGGGGACTCAGCCCTCTGGCTGCCACCCCAAACACCCATGGCTGCCCCGTGGCCTTGGAGGACAGTGTGCGCCTTGGACGCAGAAGCGCCCCATGCTGACGGCCCCTGGCCGCTGTGGGGCCAGGTACTTGTTCCTGTTTGACAAAGTGGTCATCGTCTGCAAGAGGAGGGGCTACAGCTACGAGCTGAAGGAGATCATCGAGCTGCTGTTCCACAAGATGACCGACGACCCCATGAACAACAAGGACATCAAGAAGGTGGGGCAGCGGGGCCACAGCCGCCATGGGCGAGGGCTGAGGTGGGGTCAAGGGGTGGCCTCGAGGAAGGGGCCGCTGGTGTGGACTCGGTGCTGGCCAGCCCTGCCGCCTGCTCTCTGTGGGATGGGCTTCCCTGTCCGTCGCCCTCTGTCACTGTGACTTGTGCCGAGCCAGCCTCCGTGGGGTGACCCCGCCTCTCTGGGGAGTCCTCCCTTGAGGACTCTGCGAGCCTGGGAGTTAGCCCTTGGCTGCCCGGCTCTAGCCTGCCCGGCCCCCTGCAGCAGGCAGGCCTTCTCCCTGTGTGGCCTCACCCTCGAGGGGTCAGTGGGGGCCTGGCTATGACCTGTGAGACCGATGTCCAGCCAGGAGGAGGCTGTGGCTGTGGCTGGGACCACAGTGGATGGGCGGGGCCTTGTCTGTGGGGGTGGGGCCATGGCCTTGGGGTCAGGGTCGTGTCCATGGGCAGGGCCAGCTGTGGAGGGGGTGGGGGCGCATCTGGGGACGGGCCGTGGCTGCTGGGTGTGGTGGTGGCCGTGGGCAGTTTGCCACACCTGGTTCAGTTTGGCTTCTGCAGAGCCTTCTGCCCGGGGCCGGCATGGTGGTCAGAGCCAATGTTAAAAACCCCAGTTTCTGCACCTGAGTTTACAGTGTGGGACGCTGGTCCACCTGGGGGAGCTTTGGGGGGTGATTTGCCTAACCCTGTGTACAGAGAAGCTACAGAGCCCCTGGAACAGTGAGCTGAACCCCTCCCAGGCCCCCCGCCCTTCCTCTCCGGGAACGAGGCTGTCGTCCTGGTTCCCACCCCCGGGCAGCCAGCAGCGGCCAGTGTCCCGGGCCGTGGCCCCCAGTGCAGGGCTGGCCGGGCCTCTTACTGACCAGTCCCTTTTCTCTTCCTTATGCTTCCTAGTCTCATGGGAAAATGGTAAGCTCCGGCCCCATCACCCCGTTCTGGGGTGAAGGCCTGGGTGGGTGGCTTTGCCTCCCGCTCTGCCCCAGCCCTCCCGTGTCTCCCCCGTCTCTCTTGGCACAGGGGCGCACGCCTTCCGAACTGCCGCGCTCCTCTGGGAGCCCCGAGGGTGGGCGTCGAGGGAGTCGAGGCGCCCCAGGCCCCTCCCTTCCCAAGCCTCCCCACCCCCATGGGCTCGCTTGAGAGTGAATTTTTTTAGCCTCATATTTAGGAAGTGAAAGTGGGTGCGCCGGGGGCGTGGACGGGCTGGGTGGCCCCTGAACCCTTGCTCCCTGGGGACCCGCCCAAGGGGAGGGGGAGGGGACCCGGGACTTCTTGCTAGAGCGGTGCACACACGCACACACCCACTTGTGTGCACACTCAGACACAGATGCTTGTGAGTCACACGCTAGAGGCTGTACACACACATGTGCAAAGCTGGTACAGTGAGCGCACGTGCACCCACACGCCTGTGAGCCAACACCAGTGCAGGTACCCACACACGTGTGCAGAGCAGGGGCACACACGTATCCACACACGTGTGAGCCGACACCAGCGTAGGTACCTCCACACATGTGCAGGACAGGGGCACACGAGTACCCACATGCATGTGCGGAGCAGGGGCACACGTGTACCCACACGCATGTGCCCCTGGCATGCCCCGTGCGGCCAGTCAGCACCTTGCCCCCCTGCAGTGGTCCTACGGCTTCTACCTCATCCACCTGCAAGGGAAGCAGGGCTTCCAGCTCTTCTGCAAGACGGAGGACATGAAGCGGAAGTGGATGGAGCAGTTCGAGATGGCCATGTGAGTGCAGGCCGCGCCCGCGCTGGGTGGATGCGGCCCGGGGCTGCGCCCTCGCAGGGTGCTCCCCACGCCTGAGACTGCGGCCGTCCCACTGGCCCCAGGGGCACCGTGGCTGTCTCCCGGCCCTCTGGCAGGGCCCTTTTTCGGCCACCCCGTTCCACGGCTCTTGCTGCCCCCGCAGCTGAGTCCACTCCTGCCTGGCAGAGCCACAGTGGTCACAGCGGTGCCTGGGGCTCAGGGCTGCCCAGATTCTTGGGGCCTGCTGCCTGCTCCTCCCATCAACACTACAGGGCTGCTTTTGCAAAGTCCCCACATGTGGGGACCCCCGATGCATCAGGCCTCGTGGGCCCGTGTGGTGGGGTCCTGAGCGTGGGCACCTGGGTCCCGCCCGCGGCAGGGAGTGGGGCCTCCCCAAGTTTGCCCAGGGCTTTGGGCCCCCTTGAGTCTACTTGGGATACCGGGATGCTCCAAATCATCCAGACTGTCGGGGCCCCTGAGCTTCCTAGGGGAGTTGACCCCCTAGTCTGGCCGGGGTGTCCTGGCAGAGCCAGGCTGTGGGCCCGTGCGGCCCACACCCTGCAGTGGCTCCTGCAGTGGCATCCTGCTGGCCGCACGCCTGCCGCTGGAGTGGCTCAGGGGACCGGCTCTCCCTGCACCCAGGTCGAACATCAAGCCGGACAAAGCCAACGCCAACCACCACAGCTTCCAGATGCACTCGTTCGACAAGACCGCCAGCTGCAAAGCCTGTCGGATGTTCCTCAGGTGGGCCGGGCCTTGCACCGCCCCCCTTGGCCCCTGGCACCCCCAGCCCCAGCCTGGTGCGGGGTCCCAAGGACTGGGGAGGAGCCGTCATGGGCATTCCCGACCTGCTGGGTGTGTGGGCAGGCAGCAGGGCATGGCCATCCTGGGAGTGCCTGGGGCTCCTGTGTGGGGTGGCAGTGCCAGGCGAGGCTGTTCCAGGGCGGAGCTGGGCCCGGCTTCTGAGCGGGGCCCCAGGCTTTGAGGGGCCCGTCCCGTGGCCCTGGGCCCTGCCGAGGTTGTGCTCACCACCTGCCCTCTCTGCCGCCAGGGGCACCTTCTACCAGGGTTACCTGTGCACCAAGTGTGGTGTCGGGGCACACAAGGAATGTCTGGAAGTGACGCCTCCCTGCAAGATCAGTGAGTACCCCCAAGCGTCTCAGGCCCCGCCGGGCTCCCTGTCTCGGGTCTTGAGGCTGCAACTGCTCTTTCCCACCTCCTGGCCCTGGCCCGCCTCAGCGACTTCATGGGTGGGCAGGGCGTTCCCCTGAGGCTCGGAGCGGGAGGACGCCTGCTCCCTGCCCCGAGTGGGCACAAGCGTTCTGAGGTGGCCCGAGAATCAGCACCCGTCCGATCTTCCCACTGGAGGGGCATTGCGTGAGTTCTGGAAGGTTCTGAGCCGCCACAGACAGGGATGCCTTGGGGTGGGTCTAAGATGACCCCGGGTTTTCATCCTGAAGGCGCCAGGGCCACGTGCGCCAGGGGGGCAGCCCGACCCTCCGTGTGCCCCTGAGATGGCACTGTCCCGTGGTGTCCTGGGGGAGGTCAGTGTCTCGGGGCCCGGGCTCGCCCCGGCCGGCTGCACTCGTCGACCCCTGGGCCCCTGGCTGCGGCCGTTGCCTTTAACCTCCGGGCTGGCCCCAGGAGCCTGTGTCCCGCCCGGCCGTACCCCCGCTCAGAGCTGGGGTCAGGCTGCCATGCAGCAGGTCTCGCCTGACGGCCTGGGGCCCTGCCTCCCGGCCTCCTGCTGCCCAGAGAGCGTCCTGCAGGCCGCTCAGGCCTGGCCGAGTCCGCAGGGACGCGTGCGCACCGCCCCCTGGTGGCCGCCGGGCCTCGAGCTGCGCCCACGCCCGAGTCTCCCGGTGACGCGCCCGCCGTGGGGGTCGGAGGGAGGAAAAACCGAGCAGAAGAAATAGAGTAGCAGACCCCATCCCGTAAACTCGCCAAGAAATCCCCAGAGCGATATTTTGTTATATTTATTTTCACGTGTTCCTTTCTTTAAAATAAACTCCCCAGGCCTCGCTGTGGCCTAGGACTTAGTCTCGGGCGCGCACCACCACGGCTTGAGGTCGCCCCCGGCCAGGGAGCTGCCCGCAGGGCGCAGCAGACCCCGCCTGTCCCCCGCTGCTCCCCTCAGCAGTGTGTTCAGTAGGTCCTCCTGCTCTGCTCCCCACGCTGTCTCTGGTGAATCCTCTCTCTCCCCGCATCTCTGGCCTGCACCCCAGTTCTATGCAAAAAAGAAGATTAAAGATAAAATCAATATACCTGCTCTTTAAAAAAAAAGTAAATAAACTCCCTGCGTCGCCCCCCGCTTAGGAAATTCGTGCCTGTCACAGAGACCGCGGGAGATGTAGTGAGGAACGGGGCAGGGGGACGCTGCCCCCCGCCAGCGCCCCGCGCCCGGCTCCTCGGGGGTTGCTTTCGTCGTGATCTGCCGGGGCCTCGGCAGACGGGCGTCTCGTGGCTCTTGAGGCCGAGGTTGTCCCGGGCCTCTCCCTGTCCCGCCAGCCCCGTGGGTCCCATGTTACTGTCCCGGCTCCGCGGCGCTTTCCCGTTGGCGCTGTCCCTCCCTTGGCTGGGCTCCGCCTGGCGCAGTGGCTGCCCAGGCTGAGGGCTCAGGGGTGGCCTGGGCCCAGCTGGCCCGGAGAGATGCGGCTCCTCCCCGGGACGCCCTGGCCCAGGCAAAGCCTCGCAGCCGGGACCGGCCCCCGTCCCGCCGTGACGTCCGTCCCGCCAGCTGCTCCCTCTGAGCCGTCTGCAGCCATCTCCGGGCGACGTGTGGGGTCACGTCGGCCACGGTTGGCTGTGGTGGCCCCGGTGTGGCGGCAGCTGGCTGGGGCCAGCCTGGACCTGGGCCCTCCCCCTGGGCCGTCCCAGGCGCCGCGTCCTTCAGCGGCCACAGCCGTGTGTCTAAGCCCGGCTGGCGTGGTGGCGGCTCCCGTGCCCACGCTCCCTCTCGCCCGCCCGTGGCAGGCGTCACTAATCAACCGTGGGCAGCTCCCTTCCGTGCCGCTGGGGGAGGGGCCCATGCAGGAGAGCCTGCCTCCTGGCCCGGGAACCCCGGGGCAGAACTGGCCGTCGGGGTGGCGAGAGGCTTGCGTGCTGGAGTGTCCAAAACTGCAGCCCGCCCTGACCAGGCCGGCTCCTGCGCGGGTGGGTGGGCCGGGAGCGGGCCGGCGTCCCCCGTCACACCTCCCGTGTTTCCCTTACAGGCTCTCCCGCAGACGTGGTGAGTTCCCCAAACGGCTTACTCCTGCCCCTGCCCCCACTCAGCTGGTGTGCCCGCCCGGCCTTGTGTGGGGGACGGGGCCGGCACCAGCACGCCCCAGATGGGGACAACAGAGCCCAGGCTCGGGGCGGGGTGGCCAGGGTGGGCTTCCTGGAGGAGTTGGGCATCCCGGGGGGTGGGTGGATGCCCCAGGCTGTGGAGGTGGAGGGCACCTAGTGAATGGTACTGGGGGTCTGATGGGAAAGTGTCCCAAATGCCTGTGGGTGTCCGGCCCCTCCTCCCCAATTCCTGCCCGGACCTGCTGCCTGGGGCGTGGGGAGCAGGGCGTGTTGGCCTGGGCAGCCTCTCGTGCTGCCCCCTCATCACTGTCTGTCCTTGTCCTGCAGGACGCCTCCGGAGCGGGACCAGGTGAGTCTGCGGGACCCGGGCCCTCCCCGCTGCCATCCACGTGGTGCCCCTGGGAGCCCAGCCTGGGCCTGATGCCCTCCTCACTGCCCCCGCCAGTCCTGGCTCCTGGCCCCAGAGCCTGCGCCATCCCTGGCCCCAGGTGCCAGACACTTGTGATGACACGGCCCAGGCTGCGGGCAGAGTCCTCCCTGCCCGGGACGAGCACCGAGCTGCAGCCCGGAGACCCCGAGCAGAGGCCATCCCCGGCCTGCGCCGTCACTGCCCGCCTGGCGCTGAGGCACAGGAGCCAGCTGCGGAAAGTTCAGGGGTGCGGCGGCCTGCCCGGGCCCAGCCCCAGCTGCGCTAAACCTGTACCTCGTCTTGAAAAGCAGCGCGAACAGCCCCTGTGTGGCGGGACCCCGTTGGGAGCTGGCCTGGCATGTGTGGGCCCCCGGAGGCAGCCTGGGTTCCCCTAGGACTGGCCTGCAGGCTCTGGGGGTCCCAGCAGGCTCCCCTCTTTCAGCCCTAGGCTGCCCTGATCAGCTGAATGGCCTTGGGAGTTGCTGGGCCTTGCTGGCCCCGGTCTCTCTCCCAGGGGAGGCACAGCCCTCCACTGCTGCGCCCCCTGGTCTCGGGCAGGAGGGCGGTCAGAGCCCCGTGAGTCCAGGCCGGGCCAGGGATGCTGCTTCTGTCCGCAGCTCACTCAGGGACGTGGAGCTGTGGCGTCTCGGGAAGTCCAGGGAGGGGGGCAGGGCACACGGTGTGTCTGTGGCTTGGCAGTGGCCTCGCCCAGTCCCCCGAGGGGTCAGCACTGGGAGGGGAGCCGCCGGAAGAGTCACCCACGGCTCCGTCCTCCGCAGGTCCCAAGATGGTGGCCGTCCAGAATTACCATGGTAACCCCGCCCCCCCCGGGAAGCCGGTCCTGACCTTGCAGACGGGCGACGTGATCGAGCTCCTGAGAGGCGACCCCGAGTCTCAGTGGTGGGAGGTGGGTGCTGGGCCGGGGGCGAGGGCCTGGCTGGACCCCAGGCCGGGGCGGGCTTTGGGGAGAGGCCCCGGGTGGAGAGGAGTTAGCAAAGCCTCGGTTCCACCTGGGTGTGCACGCTGGGGGTCCGAGCCGAGCACTCCTGGGGGTGCTTGCTTTGATGTGATAGGAGCACAGCCCCTGGCGTCCCCACCCTGCTGAGATTGCACCCCATGGACCCCAACAGGCTGTGCCACCTCCCCCTGCCCTGCCCTGGCTGAGGCTGCCAGGCCCAAGCTCTACACAGTGACTGGGTCCCAGCACTCCCCAGACCCCCTGGCCAGGGAGGCGGAGGCGGGCGCAGGCCACGTGACGATGGCTCGCGCCTGAGCTGTGAAACTCCCTGTCCAGTTGCGAGGCCCCGAAGCGGAGCCCTTCAGAGCCCACCCCGCCAGCTCTGAGCAGGGAGCGAGGCCACGGGGTCGGCTCAGCACTGGCCTTGGGAGCGTGGCCAGCAGGGAGCCAGGGCGCCTCCTGCCAGCGAGGTTGTGTGGGCAGCACCCCCGCCAGACCCACGGGGTGCCCCAGACAGGGCTTTGCGTGGCTGGAGGTTCTGGGGTGCAGGAGATCTGCCCTTCAGCCTCCCACACACATGACCCCCCACCCCCCTCCCAGGGTATGGTGGGGCTGTCGGTTTTGGGGTGTTGTGGCTTTGCTAGCGTGAGCCCTGCCTGGAGGGCGGGGGTCATCCAGGCAGCGGGGCAGGGATAGCCATGGGGGGCCTGGATGGCCCGGTGCCCTTGCGGTGGGGGACGGCGGCCAGAGAGGTGGTGCCTGGCTCGGCTTTCTCACCCGTGAAGTGGGGGCGCCCTCGCACGGCCTGCCCCAAGGGTTGCGAGGCCCGCAGGGAGGTGATGCTCCTTGTCTTGCCCCTGTCCGTAGGGTAGGCGGGCACACCGCCCTCAGCACCGCCCCGCAGGCCCTGAGCATCTTTCTGCCTCCAGGGTCGGCTGGTGCAGACCAGGAAGTCGGGCTACTTCCCCAGCGCGTCCGTGAAGCCCTGCCCGGCAGATGGACGGGTGAGTGCCTCCCCGCGGGGCTCTGGCGTGGGCCGGGGTCCAGCTCCCAGCCTTGTCCTCCGGCTTGGGGGCCACTGGTGACCCGGCTGTGCCTGGAGGGGCGGGGCCTCCTGCTCCAAGCCCTGCCCGCCGGCTGTGGCTTCATGGGGTTAAAGGCCTGAACCCGGCGTCTCTGCCACGGTGGATGGACTCTGAGTCTTCTCAGACCACTGGACGGCCCCTGGGAGGAGACGCCCCAGACGTCAGGGGTCCTAGCTGGGCCCGCTGGTGTAGGAGGCGCAGGACTCCTGGAACTGAGTGGCGGGGGGGCAGAAGGGGTGGGGCCGTCAGCCTAGAATAAGTGGAACCACCCCCCTCACCCCCACCCAAAAAGCACTAAAGGTGAACAAATGAAACTTGCAGAGAAGCAGCAGGAGATGTCCCGTCCCAGCAGCCCCCATCCCCATCGCCCGTCAGACCCTCTCTACCCCCCTCCCCACACCCCTCGGCCTGGGGGTGGAGCCAGTGTGAGAACACAGGTCTCTGCTCTGGCTCTGCTGACAGGGACCGGCCTGCAGAGGAGGAAGTGCCTCTCTAGCACCCTGTGGGCCTGGGCCTCAGTTTCCCCACCTGCGTGGTGAACGGGGTGGGAGAGACAGCTTGGGGCTCCGTGGCCTGGTCTGAGGAGGCCGGGGGTCTGGAGACTGCATGGCTGGCTTGTGTGTGGCCACCGCCTGGATACCCCGAGGTTGTATGGGCTGGGGGGTGGGGCCCCCAGCTGCCTGCGTGCTCTGGCCATGGCTAAGAAATGCCTGCACGTCTGTCCCCGTCCCTGGGCTCCCGGCCTGCCGGCCGCTGCTCACCATCCACTCAGTCACTGTTCGCCCCACGGAGCGGGCCCGGGCAGTGAGTCCACCCGTTGCTCGCAGCTCTGTCCAGCGGCTCCCAGCTGGTCCAGATGTCCCGGGGCTGGTGCTGGCCCCGAGGGTCAGCTCGCTGACGACAGGACCCTCTGTGGACAGCCCCTGGGGGATGTTAACCGGGTTTCTCTCCTGCCAGCCGCCCATCAGCCGGCCGCCATCCCGGGAGATCGACTACACGGCCTACCCGTGGTGAGTGGGGGGCAGCCCCCTCTGCTGCCCCTGGGCCCCCCGGAGCCAGGCCGCCGTGTCCCCGTCCCTAGCGCAGCATCAGGCTGGCACGTTTGGGGTCCTGTCCTGCATGAGGGCATCATGGCGTGGGTATATAAGGGGGCGTGTTCAAGGCCCTCCTTCGGGGCTCACTGAGCAGCGAGGCTGCCTGGGCTCAGCCTGGGTGACATGGTCATGGGCACGTCAGCCTCAGGGCCTGCTCCCACGCTCTGGCCATCCGGCTGCCTGCAGGAAGGCGATGGCCCTGGGGACAGTAGCTCCTTGTGAGGGGTAACCGCTTCCCGAGCGCCTTGGGGTTTTCCGCTTGGGGCTCGTCCCTGAGGCCGCTCTGGGGCCTGCGCCCTTGTGACTGGCGCCTGGGCTCGCCGCTCAGCGGTGCCGTCCCAGCTGGAGGCGCCGGTGCTCGGGTCGGAGGCAGGTCACCAGACCTGCAGCTTTCTGGTGCTGGAGCACCAGCCGGCGCCGGGCCTGCCAGCGTGGACTCCAGCCGGGCCGCCCAGTACTTACAACAGGGGCCTCCGAGCCGATAGGGCAGGGGCGCCCCCACTGCCCGGGATGGCTGCGTTTCAGTGGGGTGCCGGGGAAGCTTGGTCTGCCCGAAAGTCTTCCATGCAGACGCTGGCAGGCTGCAGTTAGGGGGCGCGCCTGCCCACTTTCTAGTTATCCCTGCTTTTCAAATAGCGAAACTATCTTATAAAGGAAATTGGATCAAATGCCCTAACGACACTGCCTCTTGCGGGCCCAGGGTTCTGGGCACAACACCCCTCCCTTGACTGGCTGAGGCCTGGCGTCCGTGTCCCTCCTCCACCATCTTACCTGAGGCTCATGGCAGTCCCAGCCCAGGCTCCTCTGCACCTGTGCCCCCCGCCACCCCTTAGGAACAGGCTGTTTTCCTGATTGCCCGTGGTGCAGCTCAGCAGCCTGCATCCTGGGGTGCCCTGGCCTCGTTCCCCGCCCCTGAAGGGCTGTCCCCGCTGTAGGTTCGCAGGCAGCATGGAGCGGCAGCAGACGGACAACCTGCTCAAGTCCCACGCCAGCGGGACCTACCTGATCCGGGAGCGGCCAGCCGAGGCCGAGCGCTTTGCCATCAGCATCAAGTACGTGGCAGCCTGGGGCTTCAGCTGAGCCCTCCGAAGCGCCCAGCCACCCCCTCCCGGTCCTGGGCTCGTGGGGTTGGAGGTAGCTGTGGGGTGCACTGACCCAACAAGGGCGGCAGTGGGTCCACAGCCCAGGACAGGTGGGCTTGACCCCAGCCCAGTGGCCCTGCCCCAGCTGCCCGGGACCAGGCCCTGGACATCTGCAGTGTTTCGGCCCTGGAGCTCCTGGCTGTGGGCAACGAGAACCAGTAGATGCTGACAAGGACCTTTCTGTGGGTGCAGGGGCCCCCAGCCCTTAGGGCACAGCATGGGCCTGGCACACAGCCAGCATCCAGCTTCCTCTGCATCTGCACCCCAGCAGCAGGGTGCACACCCGGGCCCAGCATATGCAGTGGGCAGCATGCCTGTGCGTGTGTGCCCCTGCCTGGGTGTGCGGGAATCTTCTCCCTTGTTCCAAATCACTGGGGAGAGCTGCAGATGGGCATCCCCTGGCCCCCTGACCCTAGGTCAGGGTTCCACAGTGTGGAATGGCTGCTGAGGGACCCCAGGGTAGCAGTGGTAGAGGTCAGTATCTGCGGAACTAGGAGAGCCCCCAAGTGGACTGCCAGGGGCCCCACGGGTGCCTTGGAACAAATGCAACAGCTGCAAAATACAAAGAAGTCCAACAAGACAATGATGAATGTCCAGCAAGAGGTCAGCTAGGCGTGATCCGGTCACCTGGTCCACAGGACCTGCTCTTGTGCCTGCCACGGGTGGCGGGAGCACGTGAGGTGTCTCAGTGGGGGGTGGGCCCTCCACAGTGACAACTTGGGGGAAGAGTGGGGTGCAGAGCATGGAGGAACGTCTGTGGCAGAGACTGGTGGTCAGCGCCATGCAATGGAGGGACAGAAATGTCGCTGGCCTGATCGGAGCTCACAGATGGCCCCTGTGCCCTGGTCTGCGGGGCTGTCCAGGGAGCTGACGACCTTGCCCCCAAGGGGCTGGGGTGGGGTGAGCACCTTCACAGCTTCTTTAAATCCAGGAGGGACGGAGGTTTCCACGGGCTGACAGGAGTGGAGGCGGCCAGCCAGCTTTCATTTGCTTGTCGACTGCTTTTTCCACTGACTGAGGGCCAGCTGTCAAACCAACCTTGCATTCCAGGAACTCGCCATTAGCCTGGGACGCGAGTCTTTTCACATGTTCAGCTTGCACAGGGGTGTAGGGAAGAGGTGCTGTGTGTGGATACGCTGAGCCCTGTGTCGGTGGCCATGAGGGACCAGGGACTACCCTTTCTCGTGATGTCTTTGGCTTTGGTGTAGGCCGGTGGGGGGTGAGGGGAGGGCAGTATTGAGGAGAACGTGCTTCCCTCAGGTTGCACCGGGATGGAGATTAGCTGGAGACATGAGGACAGGGCGGGTCGTGAGCATGGCGGGAGGGTGGCCTCCTGCGCAGAGGGTCAGCTGGGTGGGCTGTGCTGGGCATGTCTGTGGAGGAGCCGGGCAGCCAGCGGCTGGAACGGAAGGTGCAGAGGCAGGACGCATGTAGGAGCCGCTTCCCAGGGCCTGGTGGGCCAGGGCCAGACTCTGCCTCACCCCGAGCTGTGAAGGCCTCTCCAGTGACGGGGAGACAGGGCAGGCAGATAAGCAGGGGCCGGGGCTTGGCTGGCGTAGCCGCAGGGAGGCATGGGCCGAGGGGCAGGGGGCGTGGGCCGAGAGGCAGGGGGCAGCGTGGCCGCGTTGTGACTGCTGCCCGTGCGCCCTGCCCAGGTTCAACGATGAGGTGAAGCACATCAAGGTGGTGGAGAAGGACAGCTGGATCCACATCACGGAGGCCAAGAAGTTTGAAAGCCTCTTGGTAGGTGACCCCGTGGCTCAGGCCTCCCCCGGCCACCCTGGGGAGGGGCAGTCCGTGCACCCCACTCCTGGCTGGTGGAGGGTCAAAATCTGGGCAGGGGCCCCTCTCCCCCAGCCTTGGGGAGTCCAGGGCCAGGGGTGCCGCCCTTAGGGCAGGTAGGGCTTCCGTGCTGGCCCCGTCGGGACTTCTGTTCCTCCTCCCTCCCGAAGGGTCAGGTGGACTGGCCGTGGTGGACAGCGAGGGGTGGGCACAGCCCCCAGCCTGGCCCCCCAGCCACACTCGCCCTAGTCCTCCTACAGCATCAGAAACAGACCCAAGAGGCCCCGTCGGGCCTGACAGTGTTGCCCCCCACGGCCCGCCCCCCCACGCCCCAGCCTCACCAGAGTGGGTGGAAGGCACCGTCCTCCTTAGGGCCATTTTGATTGGACCTGCTGCTCCTCCCCCCTTGCGGGGCTGCCCTGCTCTTCGCCCTTCTGGGCTGCGGCCGTGGAAAGGCACAAAGTAAAACAAAGTGTCCGCAATCCCTAACACCCCTCAAAGAAGACACCCATATTAGCAACTTAGGTGAGTCCTGACCACTGTGGGCGAGGGTAGCCTGCCCGGGCTGCCCTGTCCAGCTGCTGGCGCCTGTCTGGCCACATCCTGTTACTTCTAGAAGCACTTCCCTGGTGTTGGCACGGATCCCCGTTTTCCCCACCATGAGGCGCTTTGCACTGTGCTTCCCTGCCTGTCAGGCTGCCCATCCCTCCATCTTTTTTCTCTACAAAGGCTGGGGAGCGAAATGACCCGGTCAGAGGTCGTCGTGATACTGACCACCTACCTGGGGTGGGTGCTTGGAGGGGAAGGGGAGATGGAAGAGGGAGGGAGTCTTCGGGGCAAGACAAGTCTCCCAGGTGAACCTGAGGAGGTAGGAGAGGGTGGCCATAGCACTGGAGGCCTGCCTGGAGGTGGTGGCGGTGACCAGCGAGCGCATGCATCCTGCAGGAGTTGGTGGAGTACTACCAGTGCCACTCGCTCAAGGAGAGCTTCAAGCAGCTGGACACCACTCTCAAGTACCCCTACAAGTCCAGGGAGCGTGCAGCCTCCAGGGCCTCCAGCCGGTCCCCAGGTAATGCCCAGCAGTGCTCACCTGGAGGGTCCACTCCCACCTGCTGCCTGCCTGCCCTTGGGAGAGGCTTTCTGTGGGTCGCACTGACCTAGGCCCAGAACCCCATCCTGGTTCCCAACCACCCCCACCTGCATGGCCCAGCCCCCCAGCCCTCCTAAGCTCCCTCCCAGCCCGGCTGCCATGGTGGCCCAGGTGGGGAGTGCCAGCTCTGAATCGCTGCTTCGAGTCTCCCTGGCCGGGAGGTCAGTGTGAGGACAGAAGAGGCACCCATCCCCCACTCCCTCAAGGCTGCTTGGACTTGGGGACGGGGCCGGGGTGGGCTCCAGCCTGCGGGGCTAGCGGCACGGTCCTTGGGCCGGGCGGGGCAGCGGGTGGGTGATGGGTCCGTGGAGAGTACCGCGCATGCCCGCGGGAGGAGGTAGCCCATGTGCCGTGGGGAGCCCCAGGCGACACGAGGCCCACAGGTCCCCAGGTGGGCATCTGGCGTGTCCACCCCTCCGCACCGCGAGGCCCGGATGCCCCGCAGCCCCGCTCACTGGCTCTCTCACCTCTTTGCAGCTTCCTGTGCTTCCTACAACTTTTCTTTTCTCAGTCCTCAGGGCCTCAGCTTTGCTCCTCAGGGCTCCTCCGCTCCCTTCTGGTCAGGTACCGCTGCTGCCCAGGGCGTGGGGGGCCTGTGCCGGCCACCTGGCTGGGCCCGGCACGGGCTGCCCACTGGCCCGCGAGCCCTGCCCGGAAGTTTCCCGGCTGCCCGCAGCCTGTGGGGGCTGGGGGAGGAGGTGGCTCCGCGGGCGGGGTGGGGGCTGCTGGCACCAGAGGACACAGCCGCTTGGCGCTGCTCTGCCCGCCCCGCTGTGACTGCTCCGACACCTCGCCCGTGGCTGCTCCCCAGCCTCGCCAGCCGCCGTCCCTCGTGGCGCGTGGAGAGCTTTGCCTCTGGCAGTGGCAGCGCCGGGTGGCCGCCCTCAGGGTGAAGGCGGGAGCAAGTTAGGCGGCCCTGCTCGGGACTCCGAGGACGGTCGTGGGCCTCGGGTGCAGGGGACAGGGACGTGGCCTGGCCACACGGCCCCCCACGGCCAGAGCCACAGCCCTGGTGCCGTGTCCCTTCCTCCCCGCCATCGTCCCTGGTCGTTCCGGGCTTCGGGCCGAGCTGGTCCAGGTTTCTGGTTTGGCTTGGGGTGCTGGGATTCGGGCAGAAGGGAAATCGTGTCCTGCAGCCTGGGGTCTGGCGCCAGGCCAGGAGCTGGCCACAGGATGCCTGGGCACCAGCACACGGGGAGGCCCCCAGGAGCTGCGGTGGTCAGAGCCTCCACTGGGAGCCTGGAGAGGTCACATGCCCAGACGTGGGCACCCACAGAGGAGCGAGGGGCCCTGGGACTGGAGCCCGTCGGTCCCTCCGGAACCTATCCGCCGATGGTTCTCCTCGCTGGGCACAGGGCTGGGCACTGGGAAGGGGCACGGCTGGGCCTCTGGCCCCTAACCCGGCCCCCGGGTGACGCTGCCCATCTCCCCAGCAGTGTTCACGCCCCGCGTCATCGGCACGGCCGTGGCCAGGTACAACTTTGCCGCCCGGGACATGCGGGAGCTCTCACTGCGGGAGGGGGACGTGGTGAGGATCTACAGCCGCATCGGCGGGGACCAGGGCTGGTGGAAGGGCGAGACGAACGGACGGGTGAGTGGCGGGCCCTGCCCCAACCCCCTGTGCCAGGACCCCTGACCCTGCTCAGGAGGCTGAGTGCCCAGGGAACACTGGCTGCAGGCACTGACCTGGAGCCGAAGGGCACGCAGCAAGGAGACAGCCCCCAGCTGCATCTGCTCCCCTCCCGGCTGACCTGGTGTCCGTGCTCGGTCCCACCCGTGGCCCTTCATGGTCGCTGCAGGGGCGGCTGTTGCTGCTGTCTGCACACTTGCGTGGCCCTGAGTCCTCTGCAGCGGGGAGGCTGGAGGACCTGGGCGTCTGAACTAGGCTCCTCTACCATTTCCAAAGACCCCCGCTTATGTCCAACTGTGGGGCTGCAGCCAGCCACAGGTAGGTACCAGGCTGCGCAGGTTCAGCCTTTGGGTCTCTGTGCTGGTGTCCAGCTGTGGCCGGCACTGCTGGCCCCCCACTGCCAGGTGGCAGGAGCTGTGCTGCCTCCAGGTAGCAGCTTGATTGTCCTTGGGTGGCCTCAGGTCTGATCCACTTTCCATCCCACAACCCTTCAGAAGCCTGAGGCCCCTGGGTCCTAGACAGCCATGCTGGAGGGCCCAGACCACTAGCACTAAGTGTTCTGGGGGCTCTAGCTCCGGGGGCACCGGGCATGCTGAATCAGCACAGCCCTGGCCCCTGTCTGTGTCCTGAGATGAGCTGATTTCCCAAGGGATTCCCACACAGTGCTCAGCATTGGAGCATCTCTGGCTGCTCCTGCTGCCTTGACTGTGTTATCTTCTGAAACGTCTTTCTCTGGCAGCCATAAAGCCGACTTTACCAGTTATCAGAACGCCACTAGGGCTTTTTGGTTAGGGTAGTGTTTTGTGTGGTGTGTGTTTTTCCTCTCGTATTTCAGCTTTTCTTTGTTCTTATATTTAAAGTAGGTGTAAGACAAAATCTCAAGAGGCAGATTTTGCAAGTCCATCTACCTGACAGGCTTTGCCATTTTAAGGGCGTTTGTAGTCCATTTACGTTTAATGAAATGACTGAGCTTTTCTTGGTGCATGTTTACTTTCTTTTTATCACATCTATTTTTCTTTTTTTTTACCTTTGTTGCTTACTTTTGGATTAATCAATATTTTTTTCCATTCCGCTTCCCCCCTCCCTCCCTGCCTGATCGATTTGTTAGTGACTTGTGTTATCTGTTGTTTAACGGTGGCCTCAGAGGTGACAATGTGGCCTTGACTTCTGGGAAATCACCTTGAATTAGTACTTTTTCGCTGCTGCTCAGACAAGGCAAGGACCTTACAGCCTGGGATTCGGTTTATTTATCTCCCAACTTTTGTCGTGGATCTTAATTCTACAAAATTTTTCACCTTATTAGATGTTGTTTGTCCTCAGTTTCACTCTAACGTGCTTGGGTGTGGTTTGTCCTGACTTCATTCTTCCTGAGACATTGGAATCTCTGGACCTGTGGCCTCATGTCCTTTGTCAGCCAGTGCTTGAGGCAGCTCCCCTGCTCCATCCGGGCTCCATCCGCATGCTGGCAGGCCTCTTCCCTGGGGCCGGCCTTATGTTTTCCACGCATCCCCTCTGTCCATTGGCCTGCCTGCCGGCTTCTCAATCTCGAATGCTCTTTCCAGTCTGCTGTTAAGTCTTCGGAGTTGATTTCAGTTCTCTGGCAAAATATTCTGCCTTCCTCACTTTTCTGAAACATACAAATTAGAGTTTATAATTCCTGACGGGTGACAGGAATCTGGAGCAACAAGGCTGGCTTTTGTTGTCTGTTTTCTCTTAGTCTCTGTCCCTTGGTCCTGACTGAAGGTCGAGCTTGAGTGGGAAACACCACAGAAGCCCTGGGTGATGTTATTTTCTGCTGATGGCTGTTGGGTGGTGGAGGGGTCGTCTTAAATTGCTCAGGGCTGGTGCACTGGGGATTGCTCCGCTGGGGCCCCCTGGCCTCCACAGCCTCAGTAGGGCAGGCCTGGCATGGAATTTCGGACTTGCCAAGCCTCCCCCATTTCCACAAGCCTCTGCTTATCCTCATAGGTGCACATATGCACACAGATGTATACACACTCGCACATGTACACATGCATGCACACAGATGACACACACTGATGTACACAGGTGTGTGCACTCAGCCTGCACACATGTGCACAGGTGTGTACACACATGTGCCTGCACACACAGAAGCGTGCACACATGCACAGGCACACCCACGTGCACCCACATGACCCTGCCTTCTTTTTCAGATCGGCTGGTTTCCTTCCACGTATGTAGAAGAGGAGGGCGTCCAGTGACCGCGTGGACTGGCCCTGGCTCACTCCCGCCCTGGAGCCTGTGCTCCACACCTCAGAGGGACATGCCCGCCAGCCTCATCGCGGCAGCCGTGGGGGTGGAAGGGCGTTCAGAACCCTGCGGCTCGCCCCCGTAGCCCGTCCCGGGCCTGTCCTGGGCACGCTGCTTGTACATAGAGGGACGCTCAGCCAGCCCGGCCGCCGGTCCAAGCCAGGCCCTGGGTGGGGCTGAGGCAGGAGCTCACTGCCCTTGGAGCCTCACCTGACGGCAGATGCCGTCCCGGGGAGGGCTGGGAAGCAGCGGGGCCGCCCCTGCCTTTTCTGCTCAGCTCTGGACTCTCAGCTACCCGCTTCCTGCTGCTCCCGGGGGAGGCCGTCCGTGCCCTCCGCTGCCTGGCCGAGCTCGGCCAGCGCAGAGGGGAGCGTTGCCAGGTCCTGCCAGGCCCCTCGGCTCCCTCCAGCCCCCACATGGGGCTGTGCAGCCACCCAGGGCAGGGCCGCTCCCTTGGGAGCCTTAGGAACCATGAAGCTGCCGCCCTGCCCGTCGATGGTACTGTCTTTGCCCTGTGTCCAGAGCGTGTCTGTCCTGCCTGCTGCAGTCAATGCATCGTGTCTACGCCCTGATCCCAGTGGGTGGGAGGAAAACAGGGCTCCCCTCACTGGATCCCTGCTGCTCACACCGTCTCCTGAGGAGGCCCCGGTGCTGCACCCAGGTGGCGCCCCGGGTCTCCTGTGTCCTGGGGGCCCCTGCGGGGTCTCCGAGACCACCTTTGCACAGAAGGTCGGTGCCAGGTCTCCGTCCGTGGCTCTTGCAGCCAGCTGGAAACAAGAGTTCTTGAGGGAGCCCTCCGCCCCCCGGGGGCCCTCCGGCCTTGCCTCTGCCTGCCGTGGCCAGTCCTGCCTCGGCCCGACGCGGCATGAGAGCCGGTGGCGCCGTCTCCCTCCAAGCTCGTGCCAAAGCTACTGCTGACACGGGGGCTTCTTGCGCCCTCGCCCGGGCAGCCCTGTGCAGGAGGTGGCCGGGGGCCTCAGAGGTCCGCGTTTCGCTTCCATGCTCGCTCGTGCTCCTGGCGTCCGGCCAGGGAGGACCTTGTTGGGGGCCCAGGAGGCTGGAGAAGTGAGGCTGGGCAGGGCCACGTTTGGGGGCGGTGGGCCACGGGGGAGTGCAGGGGTGTCTGGAGAGAGCCCGGAGCCCCGCTTGGAGGGAGACCCCGCCCTGCCGTCCGCCTGGTTTTGTTTCTGTTCTTGTTGGGGGTTTTGTCTTGGGTTTGGCGTGTTTGCTTTTTCGGGGGAGAAAAGCGCGTCGTCGCTTCACCCCAAGCTCCCGCTGCCTGTGCACAAGGAGGGCGAGGCTCGTGCCGGCCAAGCAGGGTGCGCAGCGGGGGCCTCGCGGGGCGAGCGCCGGCGCTACGGGGACAGGCAGGGACGCGGCCCGGGTTGTGAATGTTATGCTTTCCTTCTGTTTGTTTTGAAACTCCCATTCGGTTGGGTTTGTTTGCACTGCACGAGCAGGAGGGAGGAGCTGGGTGGGGGTGGTTCGCAGGAGGCGGGGCGCCCACTGGGCGGGCTTCGGCCCCGGGCGAGATTAGCTGTGAACACTTGGGAGCCGCCGCATGCGAGTCGGGGGATCCGAGGGTCCCGCCGCGGTGGCGACCCCAGTGGGACACAAACTGTACATTTGCCAATGGGTTTTTCAGACCATGGTTTCTACTGCAAATAAACCTGAGTTCTTTTCTGCAGGAGTCTCTGGCCCTTCCTGCCGGGGAGGCGCGGGCAGGAGGGGAGCGGAGTCCTGTCTGTGAAGCACAGTCCACCCCACCGGGAAGGCTGGCGGGCCGGGGGTGGTGGGCTGGTCGGACACAGGCCTTGGCGTGGCCCGGCCTCGGGAGGGGGCCGAGGGCCTGGAGGAGATCCTGAGGGGGAGGTCGCGGCACCTGGCACCCACGCAGGACCCTCCAGCAGCCCCGGCGGGAATCGGGCCTCAGCCCTGTGGGCTCACCGCCGTCACCAGAAATGGCTCACTAAAATTTCCTAACGTTTCTGGAATGGGCCTCCACGCGTTGGGAAGATTTGGTTGTTCACATCAGGGCTCGTGGCCCATCAGGGGCCCAAGAGGAGGGCTCCGTTTCCCAAGGTGCTGCTCTCTGGATTGTCTAAATTTGCAGAGGCGACGCTTGTGGCCACAGAGGGGAAGGGCCCGGCGAGCCAGGTGTTCAGCTGCACATACAGCAGGTCACTGGCACCCCCGGCCAGGGCTGTTTGATCCTGAAACCACCAGTTGATACTGGGAGTGAAGTTTCCTTGTGGGGGGCAGAAACAAAAGTGTCAAAACAAGTAGGAAACGGTGGGAGAGAACAGCTTTATGGGGGGAGCACCCCCACTCTGAGTGGGACGTGCTGATGACCCAGGGTGGCCAGACAAGTGGCCGGATCAGTGGCTTCCATGTGGAATGTTAGGTTAGAAAACTAGAGTAATTCAGCATCACTCGTGAGAATATATGCACGACACCCCAAAACTTAGGCCATTTTTTTATGTTCATGATAGGAACAGCTAAGTGATAAAACCTTTATGCCCAATATTATGATCAGAAGGTTGTTCTTCTGCCAATTTCTAATTAAAGAATCTGCTACAAGTTCAGGCGAAAGAGCCTGGTTCATTTGAGTTTCCCACACTTACACACTTATGTTTCTGAGTGCACCAACATAAATGTCTTCTGCAAAATGCTAACTTCAGCAAAAATGCGAAACACTCTATCTTTCAGAAATGGAATCTCCAAAGCAAGGGGTTCCCCTCCCCTGCCCAATTTTTTCTCAGGGTTATTTTCTCACAGCCCTTTTGTAGCAAGGAAGTTGAAATCACAATGGATGGTTGAGCCTCAGATGAGACACAGAGAAGGACTTTGGGAACTGGAAGACAGCTCTGCTGACACCCCCCTGGATGTGGGGTTTAGACATGGGGGTGGGTGAGAAGGTGCCACATGCATGCGTTCAAGTCCAGACAGATCGCAGGAGGAGAGGATGTCGGGAGGGAAGAGGCACCGTGTGACGAAATCTGGCTGGCCTTCCAGAGCTAATAAGATCACAGTCCAGAGGGCCACGATCCCAAAGAGTCCCTGAGGGTAAAGAAATGCAAGTCTGGAACCACCGTAGTGAAGCCTGATGCTGAAGTAATGAGATCTTGGAAACAACCAGCGGGCACAGGAAGGTGCTTTTTAATGAAACTGCAACTATGGAATGGTTTTGTAGCAGCAATAATGGGGTCCAGAGACAGCAGAATAGTATCTAATGTGTCAGCACTCCCAAGCCGTATTTCAAAAATAAGGACAATATAGAGGCATTTTTAGACCAAAAAAAAAAAAAGGAATACTTAAATTCTCACAGGAGAGGGGGCCTCCCTGGTGGCGCAAGGGGTTAAGACGCAACCTATGAAGCTGTCCACAGCCACTGCAGCACCAGTTTGATCCCCAGCCAGCTAGGGAGCTACCCACATGGCGAGGCAGACCTCTCCTGTCTCCCTGCTGCTCCCCTCAGCAGTGTATTTCAGTCAGTCTGCCTGTTCTGTTCCCCACTTTGTCTCTGGTGAATCCTCTCACCCCCCCACACCTCTGGCCTGTACCCCAGCTCTTGTATAAATAAATCTTAAAAAAATTCTGGGCCTCCCCTGGTGGCACAGGCGGTTGAGCGCAGGGCTGTGGAGCTGTCCACAGCCTCTGCAGTGCCGGTTCAATCCCGGCCAGTGAGGGTCCCACATGACGCGCAGACCTCTCCAGTCTCGCCCGCTGCTCCCCTCAGCAGTGTGTTTTGTCAGTCTGCCTGTTCTGTTCCCCGCTCTGGCTCTGGTGAATCCTCTCACCCTCCCGCGTGTCTGGCCTGTACCCCAGTTCTTGTATAAATAAATAAATCCTTAAAAAGTTCTCACAGAACTTTTTAAACTTTCTATAGGAAATTCTAAAGGTATGTCAGACCAGAAGAAAAAGGTCACCATGTGGATGTATCACACCAGACACAATGGAAGACGGAAATAGGCTGGTACTGGACGGCAGCCACTCCCACGGCCTGGGGGAGGGGCGGGCTGTGTTCTCAGGCCTTCCAACACTGGGTGTCTTGGAAGGAAAGGAAAGGAAAAAACTAACTTTGACACCCCTATTAGTTTTCCATCGTTGCCCAACAAATGGCCACACGCTGAGAGGACACCTTGGTTAACCGACCTTTTCTGTGGGCCAGGAGGCCGGCCGTGGCGGGCTGGGTCTGCTCTGCTCTGTGACTCCCACACAGGAGTCCGGGCCAGCAGGCCACGTTCTTTTTTTTTTTTTTAGAGGCAAGCTTTATTTATTTATTTGTTTGTTTGTTTTTTAGTTATTTATACATACATGCACTGGGTACAGTCAGAAACGCAGGAGGGTGAGAGAATTCACCAGAGCCAGAGCGGGGAGCAGAACAGGCAGAAGGACCGAGGTGCACTGCTGAGGGGAGCAGCGGGCGGCAGGAGAGGTCTGCGCGCCATGTGGGACCCTCCTCCGGTGGCCGGGGAGCAGCCGGGGATCGAACCGGTGCTGCAGAGGCTGCGGGCAGCTTCGTAACCCAGCGCTCAACCGCTGCGCCACCGGGGAGGCCCCAGCAGGCCACATTCTTATCTGAAGGCTTAACTGCGGAAGGGCCTTTCCACCCTGGCCGAGGCTGTCGGCAGAGTCCATGGCCTCGCAGTGGCACGGCCAAGACCTGTTCCCTGCTGATTATCCGTCAAGGGCCACACTCGCCACAGCCAGCCAGTGACTTGGTGGGTAGCCCTGGCTGCATGGCCACTTCTTCACGGCCAGTGGGGAGTCTTCAGACTGCTGGGATGGAGCTTCAGTCTCCATCCAGGCAAGGATCCAAGCATGCAGAGGGGGCTGAGAAGTATGCTTTGGGGGTCTGATTACCATGAAAGAAGAAAAGATGGGGTGGGGTGGGAGGAGGCTGTCAGGCCCTCGCAGTGTGACTGGCCATTGCTACCAGGACCAACGTGAAGGGTGCAGACAAGGGCAACCCTGGGGGCCCATTCTGTCTGGAGCACCCCACATGGAGCCCCCACTTGCTGTCAGCAGGAGCCCCTTAGCTGGTTAGATTCTAGGTCACACAGGGGGATGCCACATGCTCTCAGGGAAGGACAGGTCCCACTTCACCTGCCCTGACAGCTTTTGTCTGATACCCTTTGTTTCTTAGAAGAAAAAAATCCTCCCGCTGACCCATCTGTCAGCCAGCAAGGAGGGGTGAGTTGAGGTCACAGGACCGGAGGGCACCTGCAGGTGTGCCCTGCCCAGCTCTCCCCCTGCGACGGGCAGCAGCTGGCTCATTCCCCAGAGAGGACTCTCAGAGGCATGGCTGGGCAGGCAGGGGAGGGTCAGCAGTGGCCTGGCTCCAGGGTGCCCCAGCCCATCACCACTCAAAGGCCGTGGCGTTGGTCTCCTGGGGTTGCTGCTTGGCTATTTAGGCTCATTCCTCAGGGCCATATGCCCGGCCCCTCCCTAGGCAGCCCCCGCAGACACCCCCGGCCGTGGTCTGGCCGGCAGGTGTGGGTGGAGGGCTGGGGGCGCATGCAGAGCGCTGGCCCGGCAGGGAGGAGGCGTCTCGGGTGCCCAGGTATGTCCGGGCCATGTGGGCAGGGGTCAGGCCCATGGCCCGCCTGTCCTGTAAGTCCCGTGGGGGGCATTTGTGGGCTGGGGCCGGCTGTGACTTGGCTGCCCCTGGCTGCCCCGCAGTGCACTCAGGTGAGAGGGTCGCGCTGGGCAGGGGCTCATAAGACTCCCTGAGGCTGACACCGCAGGGTCAGCGTCCTGCCTGCCAGATGGGGACACAGACTCGCTGGAGAGACCAAGGGGAGTCCAAGATGGGCCAGCAGCTTGCCAGGGGCCCACCTCCGTGTCCCCGGCTGGAGCCGGTCACCTCCAGGAGTGCCCTGCAGCCCAGGATGGAAGCTTCAAAGCCCCAAACTGGACTAAGGAGGTGTTTACCCGGTCACGGCCCCACCCCCGCCAAATGCAGCTCCTGTCCCAGGCTGCCCGCGACTACGCAGGGGTCTTTTTCCTAATAAACCTGCCCTTTAACAACGCAGCCTCGCCTGTTCTCTCACGAAGGCCTCCTCCTCCGTGACCTCGCCGGTGCCGCTGGGAGGGAGCTGTGGAACTTTCCTCAGAGGGAGCCCCAGGACCTGCTCTCTGCACCCAGCATCTCACCCCACCCCGCTGCCAGCCCCGGCGAGATCTGAGCAGGGGCTGGTCGATGACAAGTCACAGAGCTGACCTATAGCTGGGCCTGGCCTCCTGGTCACCTCCCCCTGTCCAAAGTCCAGGGCGGCCGTGCTGTCCACTTGGCTGGGGACGGCGTTGCAACAGCGGTTGATTTCGTGTGTGAGGCCGGGAGAGGGCTGGCCACAGGGCCGTCACCCTGAGAGGGAGCCCAGCCCTGCCTCGGGCTGCTGGGCCAGGTTGGCCATCCACAGAGTGACCAGGCTGTGCCCTGCTGCCTGGACCCTTGAACGCCCAGGGAAGCCTTCCGCTGGAGGGACGGGAGCGACAGCATGTATCCACATATTAGGGACTGATGGTGGCAGCACTGGTCAGGCTAGAGTCCCGGTTACCTCCTCCAAGATGCCCTCCTGGGTTCCCGCTAGAGAAGGAGAGGTTGCTCGGTAGGGCTCGCGCACAGCAGCCCCGCGGTCACTGGCCCCTCGCCTTACCTGTCTCCCTGGACCCCAAGCCCTTTGCAGGCAAGGAGAGGGCTTGGCTATCTCTGGGCTCCAGAAGTGCTTTCCCCGTGGGGCCTGGTGGGTGGTGAGGCCAGGCTGGCTGGAATGATAAGGACACGCAGTGTTGCTGGTGAGCTCACCTGCGCTCCCGGCCAATGGGTGGCAGCTGAGCCCCGCTGCTGGCCCAGCAGGAGGAGGAGGGCTGCTCTGACTCGAGGTGTCCTTCTCGACTTCCTCTGGTCGTCCCTGTGGCATCTTCTGCTGGACAGAGGCCCAAGAGTCAGCTCAGACAGGCTCTGCTCGGCACCCCCCATCTGTGCTTGCTGCAGGCCCCGGCAGGCTGCCTGGCTCTCCAGAGAGAGCCCTGGGCCCACCATCAGCTGGAGGCCACATCCCAGGGGGCTGCCTTGGGCTCCCTGACCCGCCGGTCCCCCCGGGGCTGAGCCAGCCAAGGCAGACTGGATGGGCAGGCCGGCGCTGAGGCCTGGATCGCTGCACGTACGTGGGCCCGTACGTGGCCTTGTCCTGGCCTGGCTGCTGGCCCAGCACCTTCTGCTCGCTGCCCCAGGCTGCACAGGCCGGGGCAGGCAGGGAGCACGGGTTCATCTGCAGCAGCAGGCAAATGTTCCAGAGACAAGGAAGTGAGGTCACCTGCCCGTTACCCAGGTTAATGAGGCCTTGGGGTTCACAGCCCCGCTCTGGCTCGGAGCTGCAGAGCTGGCAGAGCTGCAGAGCTGCCCCTTGCCGTTGTCCTGGCAGGCTGCCCGGGAGCCCCGGGAGGGCGGTGCGGCCCGCCCCTGAGGTGGGCGGCGACTTGGCTGGCCCGTGGCTGGGGCGGGGGCCGGACGGCCCAGGTTCCGGCTCAGCCACTGCTCCAGCAGAGGAACAGCAGCCACCACAGCAGCAGTCCAGGCGGTGGCCGGCCTCTTCGGGCCCAGGGGTGCTCAGCTGCCCAGAGGTACCCCGCAAAAGGCAGGGCTCCAGCCCTCCCCTGAATGGGTGGGATCGAGGCAGGCGGGGGCAGGCGGGGCTTTGCCTCTGGCTGCAGCCGCTGGGCTGGGTGGGCCCGGCCAGGAGCGCTCACTGTGTGGAGGCTGGGCCTGGGCCTCCCTGGCCCCCTGCACTGGGTGGGGGTGGGGAGGCTCACCCAGATCTTCATCCCCTGGGCTCCACACTAGACAGCTCAGGTGGATGCTACGAGTCTCAGCCCTGTGTCTGAGCCCCAGCCCCTTCCCAGCTCACGTCGTGTGTCCTGTGCCCTTGGTGGCAGCGACGCCGGTGCTGTGGACAGGGGGCGCTGGGGGTGGGGGCTGGAGAGCACCCTGGTGTTGAGCAGCTGCTGCTTCTGGCCCGAGGGACACAGATGGTCCCGGGGCAGCGGCCAGCTCCACCCTGGTTCACTGGAGAGCGGGGAAGGGGCACGTGGCCGCCTTCCGGGCCAGCAATGCTCCCGTTGGCGTAGCCGGAGGGTGGAAGGAGGCCGGGTCAGGCGGGCAGGTGTGTTGGGCAGCGCCACACGGGTGGGGGTAGAGGTCTAGCCTTGAAACGGCTTCCTGGGCAGTGTGTCTTGCCGGCCTCCCGCCAGGGGACAGGCACCATGCCTGGGGCTGCGGAGCTGGGCCCTGCCAGGGCTGAGGTAGGTGCAGGTGTGCCGGGCCCCGCGGTGCACGGCGGGTGGGCTGTGAGGCTCTGGGCAAAGGGCAATGGAGAGGGCACTGAGATGCCCCCAGCCCCGAGGCCCCCTCCTGGACACCACTTGGGTCAGACTCCCTGCTCTCTCCCCTGGCCGCCACCCTCTGGGAGGGTGCAGGTGGCCAGCACCGCCGGAGAACCACAGCCCCTGGTGCCCCTGGTGCGAGGGAGCAACCCCCGAGGGCAGGGCTTAGGGTGGCGGTGGGTCAGGTGTCTCCCCCAGCTGCCCCCAAAACACAAGGCTGGGTGTTGTCTGCAGGCCAGCAGGGAGGCCGGGAGGGCGGGAGAGCCTGCAGGCCTGGCCCCAGGCCCCTGACCGGCCTCCATGAGCCTGGGTCTCCTTCCCTGCCACGGGGGACGCGGCCCGACCCCAGAGCACTTAGCGATTGTGCGAGCGCGGGCGACAGGCGGGCGTGGGGCGCAGGAAGCTCTGTGGGTACGCTCCTTGCCATCCACCACGCCCCGCGCTGCGATCGCTGCCCTGTCCCTGCGCGCCTCGTCGGGTCCCAAAGCAGGCCCCGGAGCCCCGTCCTCCCCCGCTGAGCAGGACGCTTCACCCCGGGAGACACCTCTCGGGGAACCTGTCTCTTAGAGGGTCGACTCCATTGCCTTCTCGCTGGGTGTGAGATTTTTCTGGCTGGGAGGTCTGGGAGGGCTTCCTGAGGAGGCTCTGGGAGGACGCAGGAGGGGGCGCAGGGAGGAGGGAGCCTGGCCGCCCAGTCTCCGCGCCGAAGGCCCCGGCCGGAGCTCTTGCCACCTTCTCCCTCGGGTCCAATAGGGCACGGAGGCAAAGGCTGAAGTAAAAGGCATCTGCAGAGCGTGGCTCCAGGGGGCCTGCTGGAGCAGGGGGGTGTCCCAGTCTCGGGGCTGTGCCTTCCCGCCCCACCCTGCCCCGCAGCACCGGCTCCTGGGCTTGCACCACCTCCCCTCCCCCAACCCCTCCTGCAGCCTCTGGGGGCTCCCGCCTCCCTGTCTCCCCGGCCCATCCCCAGCCTGCAGCCAGGGGTCTCCTCCTCAAACGCAGGGGCTGCTTGTGCCCCTTCAAGGGCCCCGCCCTCAGGAAGTGTCCTGTGCCCTGACGCGGAGGGGTCTGAGGGGGCTGGGTAGGTCCCGTCCCTGCTCCAGTGCTGAGGGGGCCAACACCCCCTGCAGAGCTGTCGTGCTGTCGGCCCCATGCATGCCCCCCTGAACTGGCCAGGAATTTTTGGTCTCCTTCCAAGGTCCGCTGGGCCCAGCCAACCTGATGCCAGGTCTACCCTTCTGTCCACCGCCACCGGACAGACGTGGGGGGGAGGGGAATGGCCACAGCCTGGGTCTCACTTCTCCCCACCCCCAGCCCGACTCTCCTTAGCCCCCGCGGCGCTTGCAGCAGGAGTCACCATGGCCTCGCTGAGCCGGGCCTTGCGGGTGGCGGCCACACGTCCCCGCGGGAGCCCTGCCCTGCGCCCCCTGACCAGCGCGGCCGGCCCCACCGCCGAGAAGAGCGTGCCCTACCAGCGGACCCTGAAGGAGGGCTCCTCGGAGGTGGCCTCGGGCCCAAGCCGGCCCCTGCCCAGCACAGCCAACGTGGTGGTCATCGGCGGGGGCAGCTTGGGCTGCCAGACGCTGTACCACCTGGCCAAGCTGGGGGTGAGCGGGGCGGTGCTGCTGGAGCGCGACCGCCTCACCTCCGGGACCACCTGGCACACGGCAGGTAGGAGAGCGCCGAGGGCGGCGGGGACCCGCTGGTCAGGGGCTGGGTCTGGGTTGGCGGTTGGGCCTGTGTGGGGGGGGCCTGAAGAGCGGGCCCTGAGATTTGAAGGGCTGTGGTGGGGAGCAGAGCAGATGACCTGTGGGGCCCTGCAGGGCGGAGCTGAGACAGGAGCTGGAGCCCCTGCTGCCTCCCAGAGCAGAGCGCCAGGGAGGACGGGAGGCCTCGGGGCCATGCAGCGTCGTGTCCTTCCTGGGCCTCTGAGGGAGCTGGTGGGCAGGTTTATGCACCAAGTGTGTGCTTATATTAAGCACCTACAGAGAGCATGTAGTAAGCACCTACTGCGTGCACTTCCTCAGGGCAGCAGACCTTCTGTCTTAGCCCAGAGAGCGGACTCCCTGGTCTGGCCACCGTCACGCTGTCCCATCTCAGGGGACCTGCACGTCTCCCCTCAATGCCATGCTACCCCCCCACTCTCCACACTGCAGCTTTTGTGGGTGAAGTGCTGCATTTGGGCTTCAGTCAACCCTGAGGCACCTGCCTCGTCTCTTGTACTGTGACCTTGGGCACCCTTGGTGCCCCTGACCTTCACTATAAAGTACTTGAGCCCATTTCATGGTGCCTCTAGTCACCCCCCACAGACACAGCCCAGGGCTCAGCACACAGTAGGTGGTCAGGACACAGCGGCCCAGAGAGGGCTGGGAGGCCTGTCCAAAGTCAGCCTCCGGCTCCCACCGGCTGCAGGGGAAGGCGGGGGCGGGGGCACCTGGAGAGGCAGGAGGGTGCCCACCTGCAGGGACCCACGCTGCCCGCCCCCAGGCCTGCTGTGGCAGCTGCGGCCCAGCGACGTGGAGGTCGAGCTTCTGGCCCACACGCGGCGCGTGGTCAGCCGGGACCTGGAGCAGGAGACGGGGCTGCACACGGGCTGGATCCAGAACGGCGGCCTGTTCATCGCGTCCAACCGGCAGCGCCTGGATGAGTACAAGAGGCTCATGTCGGTGGGCGCGGCTCCGCGGGGCGGAGCGGGCTGGTGCGGCGGGCGCGCCCCCCGGCGGGCAGGGCTTGAGTTAGGGTTCGGGGTCCCACTGGGATTCAAACCCTGGGCTGCCCTCGCTGGCTCGGCCCCTGAGACCGGTGGCCTTGCCTGCGGGAGTGTCAGTGTCCTCCCCTTTAGACGGGGGTGCGGCGTGGCCCAGGAAGGCCCAGGAACCCCGGCTGTTCTCATCGCGCAGGGGCTCCCGGGAGAGGGGTCAGAGGCAGCAGCCCCCTCCCTGCCCGCCGACAGGCCTTAGGCACCTCGGAGCCAGGGACAAAGCCTGGTGCCGCGGAGGGCCCTATGTTGGGCTGGGGGTTAATTGCTCCCTCAAAGCAGCAGGTCTGCTCCCCAAATTCCTGGGCCTGGTGGACTCGCTCCTCTAGCAGTTCGCCGCTTGTTGGCACTGGCTCCGGCCACAGCCACTGAGTGCCTAGTGGACACCAGGGATGCTGGCTCCTGGGTGCCCAGGCCTCAAGAAAGGGGGTGCTTCTTCAGAAAGGCCCGGTCTCTGGGGTCAATGGTGACCCCGTTCAGCCTCCTCCTCGCCTCCCCTTTCCCTAGCTCACTCCTCAGCTGGGATGGAGGTGCCCACCGAAGCCCCCAGCCCCAACCTTTCAGCTCAATTCCCACAAGGTTGCCGCCGCCCACTGACAGTCGCAGAGACTCTGACTGGCTCAGTCCCCCCAGCCGGGCGGAGTCTGTCCTCTGGCCCCGCCCGGGGACGCCTGATTGCTGCGCTCAGGGACCACATGCGACGGCGTGGCCTTCGCACAGCTCCTGGACCTGGTCCACCTGAGGGTCTCCTTGCTGGGGAGCTAGTCCGTGGGGTCCTGGTGATCAAGTTCCAAATATTAGACCTGGGGGGCTGTTTAACCTGCCTTATAGGATGAGCCCTAATGGGGCGCTGCTGGTCTTAGTGGGGTCCACTCTGCAAACTGTGATGCCCCATTCATGCCCAGGCCACCTGGCCAGTCCGTGCCAGAGCCTCCCTGAGCACAGAGCAAGCCCCTCGCCCTGGGTGGAGCTGACTCCAGGGACAGGGCCGCTGAGGCACGGTGACCCCCAAGTGTCCTAGAGTGGGGTGTGGGAAGCAGAGACTTAGGACCCCGGCAGGGGGCACTGTGGCGGGGCCCGCTGCTCTCCAGGCTCAATCAGTCCCCCTGGCCCCCCTAGCTGGGCAAGGCCTACGGCGTGGAGTCCCATGTGCTGGGCCCGGAGGAGACCAAGGCGCTGTACCCGCTGATGAACGTGGACGACCTCTACGGGACCCTGTACGTGCCGCACGACGGGACCATGGACCCCGCGGGCACCTGCACCACCCTCACCCGGGCCGCCACCGCTCGGGGGGCGCAGGTACCTGCGCTGGCCTGGGCTGGCCCCGCTCCAGCCACCCTGCTGCCTAGGAGCCCGTGCAGGCCCGGGCTGGGTGACCTCGCCCCGGCACGACCTTCCTGAGGCTCGGGTGGCCAGTGAAGGCCCTCAGACCCCCTCGTGGTTGCCGTCACTGTTTGTCTTGAATACACACAGGCAGAAAAACCAGAAAAGACAAATAAGCAAAAACAAAGGACCGGAGCCGCCAGAGGGCCCAAATACCCAGACACACACACACACACACGCACGCATGGCGGGGCGGGGTGGCTCCAGGGCGTCTTCCCGCGGGGCGGACGGCCCTGGCTTTAGTTTGGAAAGCCACTACGAGGACGGGACACCCCGCTTGTGGCAAGCTCCCTGAGCTGAGACTCACAGGCTGTTCTGGTCTGCGGTCCCCGGCCCCCAGAGCGTTGGCCGACGCCGAGCGGGGCTGAGCAGGCGGGGCCGGCGCCTTCGGGACCCCACCCAGTGCCTGTCTCTCCCCAGGTCATCGAGAACTGCCCGGTGACCGGCATCCGTGTGCGGACGGACGACTTTGGGGTGCGGCGGGTGGCGGCCGTGGAGACGGAGCATGGCACCATCCAGACGCCCTGTGTGGTCAACTGCGCCGGTAGGGGTGTTTCTCTGGCTCCCAGGGCCAGGCTGCTGCCCCCTAACCTGGGAGCTGGGGGGCGCGGGGGGCAGGCCTGCATGACACCGTGGCCTCCCGGTGTCCCCCGCTGAGCCAGCCTTGCTCTGCCCGCAGGGGTGTGGGCAGGCGCCGTGGGCCGGATGGCCGGGGTCAAGGTGCCCCTGGTGGCCATGCACCACGCCTACGTGGTCACTGAACGCATCGAGGGCATCCAGGTGAGTGGGGACCCCGGGCCGCGGGACACTGGCCTAGCGGGCGGCATGGAGACCCGACTCCCGGCCTGCTTGGCCACTACAGGCGCTGTGACCCTCGTGGGCACCTCAGCCTCCCACCTGAGCCTCAGTCGCCGTGTCTGAGGAATGGGTGGCCCGTGGTGTGGGAGTTGAGCCAGGTCGTGTAGGTGTCATCCCAGCGCCACCCCCTTGGCCTCCAGGGCACGGCTTCTCGTTGCTACTCAAGCCAGGTCCAGGCCTCTCTGGCGTGGGAAGCCTGTCCTGCTGCCTGATTGCCAAGCTCAGTGCCCCAGGTGTCAGGGAGCCCCAGGCATTTGCATGCCCCCAAATGCGCCCAGTGCTGGTTTCGGGGGGGTGCTGGTTTCAGCCCACAGAACCTCTCGGGAGCCCTGAGAAGCCTCTGCCCAGGGAGGGGCTGGGTGAGCTGCGGCCTGCCTGGTGGTGGTGGCTGGTGGCTTCCTGCCCCCGGGCCTCTCTCCCTCCCCGCCCTCCTACCTACTCAGCAATCCCTTCACCCACCCGCTGCCACCCACCCACCCATCCTGATCTGGTCCCTGCCCCCCACCCCATGAGCTCTGTTCCCGGCCGTGTTCTAGAAACCAGGGCTAATAGAGCAAGGACCAGTGGCTGCCTGGGCTAGGGGCACGGGACAGTCAGGCTGAGCGTTCGAGGCAGGGCAGGCTGGTGAGGGCTCCGTGCTCCCGGGCATGGAGCAGGGACTCGTCCCCGGGGCACCGCATCCCAAGGAAGGGGAGGGGCGAGGTGAGCAAGGCGTGCAGGGATCCTGGCGCCTGGGCACCGCAGGCATCCGGGAGCTGGGCAGGAGGGCAGAGCGCTCAGGCTGAGGCTCCGGGTGCTGCTGGAGCCAAAGCCAGGGCCCTCCCTGGCCACCAGGGGGCACCGCCGTCCCGCGGCCTGGCCTCGGCTCTGTCGGGGCGAAGCTAGCAGGAAAGACAGGATCTCCGTGAGCTGGGAGGTGCCCAGCGCCCCTGAAGGTCCCTCCGGGAAGATCTTAAAGTTCTGCAGAGGAGCAGAGGGACACGCGGGGCCGGACAAAGGGCTCTCCCTGGGCGGCCTCCCTCCTGCCCGCCTCGCCTCGCCCCTTCCCCGGCCCTCCCCCCTCACTGCGCTGTTACTCTGGGGATTGGGGCAGGAGAGACGGGGATGGGTGGGCTGTGTGCCTGCAGCCCAGGCCCTGGTCCGCGGGCCCTGCAGGGAAGGGCGCCATGGACCCTGCTCGCGACCCTTGGCGGGCGCTGGGCCCAGCTTGGCACGCAGGGCTGAGCGAGGCCACCCTGCTCTGCCTCCCAGAACATGCCCAACGTCCGCGACCACGATGCCTCGGTTTACCTGCGCCTCCAAGGGGACGCCTTGTCTGTGGGCGGCTACGAGAACAACCCCATCTTCTGGGAGGAGGTGAGACCCAGGGCCTGGGGGCCCAGACGGGGCTTGGGGGCTCCGTTTCAGAGTGGAGAATCCTTTTCTGGAGAGCTCCCCCAGGCTGAGAAATGGTGGGTCCCTGGCCCCACAGGGGTCAAACCCTTGTGCTCCCAGCCCAAAGGACCCAGCCCCCGGGACCGAGGGGTGCTGGCCTTGCCCCACATCCAGCCTGAGGCTGCAGACGTGTGAGATGCCGACTCCAGAGGGTCGCAAGGACAGTGAAATCCTTTGTCTGTCAGCACACAGCAGTGTAGCACCCGCCCCCGCCCCCGCCCCCCCCCCCGGCCCCAGCTGCTCTCCTGGCAGCTTCTGGGGCCAAATGCAAGCCTGGAGGGCCCCCTAGGCCCCTGAAGTGGGTGTAGGTCACCCCTACTCCTATCTTCATGTATTTTTTAGCCCAAGGATTGACTGACCAAGTGTCCTACGTACTGTTTTATTTTCTGGGGAAAGAGGGAGACTAAGATAAAAGTCCCTGCCCCAGAGTGCCTGTATTTTGGCGGGGAGACATACCATAAAAAAGATGTGATGCATTCTGGGTGGCGAGTGCACCTGGATCCAGTCCTCTGGCTCAGGGTAATCTCGGGGCTGGGCCAAGGACATCTCTAAGTGGAGGCTGGAGGTCCCCAGGACGTGGCCTCTACCTAGCAGCCCCACAGGGACAGCGGCCAGCAAGGACAGAGGGCAGGGCTGCCCCAGCCAAGGCCAAGGCCCTGAGGTCAGATGGACCAGTGCACGGAAGGATGGGCTGGCCTCAGGGGTCCCAGGGCGCTGTGGGGGCTGAGAGCAGAGGGTGACCTGACTCGGAGGACGGCCAGGAGGAGGGAGAGCAGGGCGACCGGGCAGGCCGAGCCAGTGGCCCGGGCCAGGGCGCGGAGGGGGCAGTTGGGCCGTGCTGACAGCCTGGGGCAGGGGCAGGGGCACAGTCGAGGGCACCTGAAGGGACTGGCCCGCCCCCGTCCCCGCCCCGTCGGCCTCTGCTGGCTCCCTCGGGCGCTGTCGCCGGGCGCTGGCCAGGACGCCGCCGCCCACCCGCCTATGCCGCCTCCCAGGTGTCGGACAAGTTTGCCTTTGGCCTCTTCGACCTGGACTGGGACGTGTTCACCCAGCACATCGAAGGCGCCATCAACAGGGTCCCGGTGCTGGAGAAGACGGGCATCAAGTCCACTGTGTGCGGCCCAGGTGAGGGGCCTGGGTCGGCGGGCTCGGCTGGCCTCCTGGATCCCCGAGATGACAGGCGGGGGCCTGGGGCCACCCCCTCCCCGCAGCCGGGCGCGAGGGCCTTAGCCTCCCCGCGGGCCAGAGGCTGAGCGTGGCGGGCAGAGGCGCAGGGGCGGAGGGCCAGGCTGCTCTGCCCATGGACCCCGGGCCCCTCGTCCTCACTCACCTCGTCCCTGGACACCTCCGTGTTTTCTTCAGCAGGCGCGGGGTGAGCCGCAGCCCGGCGTCCCGCGAGGCTGGACGAGACCCTAGACCCCAGCCTCGCCCCCTGTCTCCCCACTTCCTGGAGGGCTCGGTCCTGGCTGGGACCTGTGGGCCCCGCCCCCCCGCCCCTGGACCGTCAGCAGGGACTCACGGTGGGGACGGCCCTGGTGCTGAGCCCCAACGCCCAGCCCCGGGAGAGCTGCAGGGGCAGAGAGGCCAGGGCTAGCTCCACAGGTCAGGGCTAGCCCCACCGTGGGGGAGCAGAGGGCAGCCCTGACCCCCACAGCGGGTTGGGGGGAGAGTGAGCCACAGAACTGGGGGGCTCGTCCTGGGCGGCTATCCCGGGAGAGGCAGGTAGGGCGCCCTGGCCGGCTGCTTTGGGCAGGGAGGGAGCGCCCCGGCCCCGCTGGATGGGAGGCTGGTCACGCCCCCTGCCGCGCTCCCCAGGCGCAGGCGCTGGCAGTGATGGAGGCCCGAGAGCAGCCCCAGGGCCGCAGCGACCCGAGGGGCTTGTTTTAGTTAGGCGGCGAGGCCTGGCGCCCAGGAGCCGTTTTGGGGTCTGTGTGTGTGAGGACAGCTGTCTGGCTTCCCTGCCGTGGGGACGTCTGGCTTCCCTGCCGTGGGGACATCAGCACGGCTGCGCCGGGCCAGGCGTGGACACGGCCTCTGGCCTCAGAAGGGGACGGGGCCGTCCCAGGCGCCCCTGACGTGGGGACGTGGGGGGAGGCAGAGAGCCCGCTCCGGGGCCAGGAGGGGTCAGAGCCGGGCGGGGTGCTGTCTGCTCCGCATCCCACAACATCCAGTGCTCAGCCTGAGTCATTCGTCCAACCCCCAGTGACCTTGGCTCCCCCAGTCCCGGCCCGTCAGCTCGCGCCGCAGATTCTCCGGAGGCTGCGCGGAACCCCCTGCCTGCCGGGGCTGGGAACCTTCCCCGTTCCCAGGGGGCTGCCGGGGCGTCCCCACCCGCCCACCCCAGAGCACCGGGCCCGGCCCCAGCTCGCCCCCTGCAGCCCTGGGGCCCAGTTTCCGCATAGGGGTGCTGTCACCAGGTCCCCCAAGCTACCGGCCCCCCCAGCACGGGTGGGATGCTGACCCGCGGGGCCGGGACAGCGCTGTGACGGGGGTAAGGCTCGCGCAGACGCTGCCTGTGTCCTCGTCACCCCCGGGGGCGGGTCCGCCTGCCACTGAGGGCCGTTAGGAGAGCCAGCTCCCCGTTGCTTGCGACCCCCACGGTGTTTTCCTACCGTAACTCTCTTCTTTCTTCTCTCCGCGGATCCCGGCTCTCTCGCCTTGTCAGCTCCCGGAGGCCGGGGCAGGTCGTGTCCCGATCTGCCTCCTGGGGTGGAGCCCGGGACACTTGTGAGTGGGTTGCCAATATTTGTGCATGGACGAACTCAGGGCACTGTGGAGGAGGGCCAGGGCCTGCTCCTGGCTTTACGGGGGTGGCTACTAAGGCTCAGAGAGGCCCAGCGGCTTGCCCCGAGGTCACACAGCCAGGAAGGGGAAAAGCGGGTTTGAACCCAGGACTGTGGCTGCCCGGTGTGGCTTGTCGTGAACGTGCCAGGCCCCTTTCCCCCAGGCCTGCCTCCCTGAGGGCAGAAGGAGCAGCAGGAAGCTCTGCCCCTCGCTCATTCAACAAGCATTTATCAAGCACCTACTGTTTGCTGAGCCCCATACCACGTCTTGGGACTTAGCAGTGAGCAGAGCCCTCGAGGGGTCCATTCTCCACCAAGCAAGAGTGGCCAGCAATGACACAGCAGGGGGGTGACCAGTGAGGGGGAGCCACACCCTGGGTGTAGGGGGGTGGCCAGGGAAGGGCCCCTTCACCAGTCCGAGAATGGTGACAACCGCAAGACAAACCTGGACCCTGAAAGGCAGAACACGATCCCGGCCAGAACTAGGAGCTCTGTGGAATGTGACAGGAGCAATCAGGAAGGCTGTCTGGAGGAAGTTGCATTGAGCTGGGGAGGGTCTGGATAGAGGGGGGAGCTGCAGACCCCAATCTCAATCACTGCCCTCCTGGGAGACCCCGCCCCAGGTGTGGCCTGGAGGGACTTCTGGCCTCCCCTCTGTTCCAGAGTCCTTCACACCGGACCACAAGCCCCTGATGGGAGAAGCGCCTGAACTCCGGGGGTTCTTCCTGGGCTGCGGCTTCAACAGCGCAGGTGAGTGCAGCCGCATCCCACTGGCACCCCAGGCCCGAAGTCTCAGTGGCCCCTGGGTGGGGCTTGCATCCTGGCAGGGGTGGGGTTGGGACAGATCTCGCTTTGCAATTCCCTCCTGGTGTGAGGTCCAGGGTGTGGGGCCACGGAGTTGGGGCTCGGGGCCAGGGGTGACTGCAGACCAGTGACTGGGCACCCCTTTGCGCCAGGAATGATGCTGGGTGGAGGCTGCGGGCAGGAGCTGGCCCACTGGATCATCCACGGGCGCCCGGAGAAGGACATGTACGGCTACGACATCAGGTGGGTGTGGGCAGACCCCCGATGGGCTGGGTGGGTGGGAGGAGGCTTCCTGAAATCCAGAGGGCTCCCTGGAAGGGGTGGCAGCCAGGGAAGACGGGGTGGCTGCTCGGGTCAGTGTGCAGGATGCAGGTCCGTGGCCTTTACAGCTTCTGGGGCCTCGGTCCCATGTCCTGTCTGACCCACTGGACAGTCCCGGGTCAGCTACAGGGTTTCATGTCCCATTTTTTCAGGTGGGGAGGCTGGGAGCTGGGAGCAGGAGAACCTTCCCGGTGCCTGGGAGCGGGGCTGGGCCGGGATCAATGTTCAGTGTGCAGCGGGGGGCAGCGGGGTGGGGGGAAGCCAGTGGCGTCCTTCACTCGCCGGTGGTCGGCCTCAGCCAGACCCCACGGCCGGCCATTTCACCTCCTCGAGGACCGAGGCTCGTGCGTGGGGGGCGGCGATGCCGTCTGGGAGCGCATCAGTGAGTCTGCTCTGGGCGCCCTCGAGGGGCGCCTCCGGGCCAGAGCTGGGAGGCATCCCAGATGCCCTCCCCACCGCTCTGTTGAGTCATGATGGGGGCGCCCAGCAGGGAGGGGCCTGACAGGCAGGGCCCCAAGGTGGGAGGGTGGGCAGCAGGCCTCACTCCGGCGGGGCTGCCCTGCCCTGCAGGCGGCTGTCCTGGGCCTGTCTCTAGGGGGCGGTCAGCTCCTGCTCCTGGCGGTGACCTCTGGGGGAGACCCCAGCTGCCCGGTAGCGAAGAGGGGGTGATGGCTCAGCTCAGTGTGCCCCCAGCCTCTGCTAACCTTGTCTCTCTCTGGTCTAAAGGCGGTACGCCAGAGGGGGCGTCTGGCCCCCCACAGACACTGAGATCCCCCATGTCCCCCCACCCCCCAGTGTGCCTGGCACAGCGTGGTCCACTCTGCGGCCGCCTTTAGAGCCGTCTGGAGCTGCACCCACGTGTTCTCCCTAGAGATGAATGTTCCAGACATGATAAGGCTGCTTGGGGCCTCAGGGCCGGGCGGGCCCAGCCCATCCCGCCTCAAACTGCAAGCAGAGGCGCTGACGGGGAGGGTGGCTGCCTGGGACCTCGCCATGGCAGCTGGCGTGGGCTGGGGCCAGCTTCCTGCCTGGCAGAGGGTGCAGGCAGGGCCAGGGGCAGCCGGGGGAGCTCGGGGTCTGTGCGAGGGAGGGGGCTGCGGGCCCGAATCCAGTCCAGCCCCACTGCTCTGCGGCCTGGCTTGGGCAGCCTGTGCAGGGGCCTGGCGGAGACGGTGGGGCTCTTAGCTCAGCTAGAAATCACGGGGGGAGGGGCTGCCAGGTTGGATTAGACACCCCCGGCCCTGCAATGGCTGCACTTGGGTCCCACAAAGGCACAAACCGCAGCCTGGTCGCCCTGTCCCCGGCGTCCCCAGCTGCCCGCAGGCTCGGCCTGATGAAGAGAATCGGCTCAGCGTTGGAGCCACGGACTTTGGGGTGGCTGGCCAGAGACCGTGGTCTCCACTGAGAAGGGCCCCCCTAAATTCTAAAATTCCTTCACAGCAACGTTGAGATGATCTGGGTTTCAGGGCCCCTGTGCCAGGGTCCCTGGCCCCGACAGCCTTGCAGGGGGTCTCTCGCGGGCCTGGGGGCTGCTGCCCCTCCCGGCCAGGCGTTGACTGTGCCCCTCGCACGCAGGCGCTTCCATCACTCGCTCACCGACCACCGCCGCTGGGTGCGGGAGCGCAGCCATGAGTCCTACGCCAAGAACTACTCGGTGGTCTTCCCCCACGACGAGCCTCTGGCGGGGCGCAACATGAGGACGGACGCCCTGCACCAGGTACCTCTGCCGGCCGCCCTCACGGGCCAGCCCAGAGTGGGGTGCGGGCGAGGGGGCGGGGAGCTGGCACATCCTCCCCAGGAGGGCCAGGCTGGGCGGCCACCTGCTGAAGACACACGCTCCGTTGGGACTTGCATGGGATGTCTCGGCTCCCGGCGGGCTCCTGCTCATGCGACAGAACCCACTGTGGGGTGTGCCTCCTGCGAGCCACCTCTGCCCATCTTGTGCTGTGCTTTACTGACCCACGACAGGGGCTCCTGCGCTGGGCAGGAGCCCACGATTCGGAGGTGCTTAGGGAACGGCGTTGGACGGCAGAGAGGGAGGCTCAGGGAGCAGGTAGCATTTACACAAGGAGCCTCCTTCATCCAAGACTCGGGTGACCGGGTCCCCAAGGGAGACCAGTGTCCCTGCTCCTCGTGGGGACAGAGGCTGGAAGATGAGGGGCTCTGGGGCTGCCCTACCCTCGCTGGGCCTAGCAGGCTAGCTGGGGTCTCAGGCCGCCCCGGCCTCCGGGTCCCCGCCGGCCCCTCCTTGCTCACGGAGGCTGTGTCTGCACGAGGTAGAGAGCCCCAGCGTCTCCTCCTGCCTACAAGGGCTCTCCCCATGACCCGGCTTCTCCCCACCGCTCCTTGGGTCCTGCCCCCAAATACAGTCACACTGGGGGGCTAAGGACCGAACCCAGGAAATGGGGGACCATTCAGTCGCAGCAGAAGGGGACTCTACATAGGGGTTCTTGAGGCAAGCAGGGTGCAGGGGGAGCCCCGGGGTTGGAACCCCTGGGGCGGTTCTGGGGCTGGTGCGGGCCCCTGTGCCTGCTGCTCCTCGGGCGAGACGTGCGAGTCTGGTCACTCTCCCGCCTCGGGGGCAGACTGGACGTGACGGCGCGCTCCCTCCCCGCAGGAGCTCCTGGCGCGGGGCTGCGTGTTTCAGGAGCGGCACGGCTGGGAGCGCCCGGGATGGTTTAGCCCCAGAGGCACAGCTCCGGTGAGTAGGCCCCGATCCCAGCCCCACACGGGCACTGCCCGCTCCCCCCCCTGCCTCCCCGCCCAGCCTGACGTGGCCCCGTGGGGGCGGGCGAGTTTGCAGGTACGGGGAGCCGAGCCTCACGGATCCGCCGTAAACCGCCCCCCGCAGATGTCCCCGCGGCGTCACTCGCCCACGGCGGCCGTGGCTTTCACAGCCAAAATGGGCTCAGGGCCCTTGGGAAAGCTGGGGTTCCACTGAGAGGCGGCAGCGTGCAAGACTCCCCCAGCTGGCTGCAGAAATGAGAGCATCTCCTCATAATTTTGTTCCTGTATTTTTGGCAACTGTAACTGTTGCTGTTAGTGGGCGGCCAGGCACAGAATTATGCCTGCGTGTCGGTTTGTAAGCTAGGGCTTCGCAGCGTCCTGCACTCGGGGTGCCCTCTTGGGCACCTAGGCACCCCCTGCCTCCTAGGAACTCAGAGAAGCAAAACCGGAGGCCGGTGAGGGTCTGGGGCCGTCCCCTGGGGCAGGCCAGGTGAAGCTCTCAGCCCCCCGCGGGGTCTTTACGCCCAGAGCCGAGCAGATGCCAGCCCCTGCCCGGGCCTGTCTTGCCATCCCTCTGGGGGATGGCATCTCCATAGCAACCTGCATCCCCAGGCAGCGGCGCTAAAGCTCGCCTGAGCGGCCTCTGCCCTGGGGAGGGGGTGTCCGTGGCCACCATTGCTTTTCCTGCTGGCCCGGGGGGCCCAGGGCCCCCACCCAGGAGCACAGGACTTCCCTGAGGTGCAGATCACCAGGTGAGGGACACCTGACGTGGGGAGTCCTGCGGTCCTGGCGGCAGGGAGGAGGCAGGGCTCCGGGCGGCCGCCAGGTGGAGCCATGGCCCCCAAGCCTGGGGGTTCCGCCTGGGAAGACCCCCCCACCCAGTGCTCCCTGCACAGCCCCCACCTCCAGCTGATCTGTCCAGGAGGGAAGCCTCTTGCCCGGAATCTGCGGGGGAGGGAGGAGACGGAGGGGGCTTGGGTGCGCCCTGGTCCTGGCACCCCTTCCAGGACTGTCGGGGAACCCAGGGCACTGGGTGACAAGATGTCGCCCCAGCGGCAGAGGGCGGGGAGTCCCTGCTGGGGCCAAGGGGCGAGGGGGGCTGCACCTGGTCGGGCCAGGGATATGGCCCCAGAGTCGAGGCCCCGAACGCCGGCTGGGGCTGGGGCTCGGGAGCAGGGAGGTGACTCAGAACCCCACACGAAGGAGCCGCTCGCCGTGAGACGGGGGCGGGATGTGGTGGGGCGTCTCAGAGCAGCTGGCAGAGCGCAGAGAAGCCAGGGCCCCTCCGCGCCCACGCCAGGTCCCGACAGGCACCAGCCTGTCACCCGCACCTCAGTTTCCCCCTGTAGACAGGCTCTCCCTCCCGGCCTGGGGGCGCTGGGAGCTGGCAGGGCCCGCGCAGCACTGGGCTCCCCGCCACCCCCGGCCGGAGCCCTGCTGTGGCCTCTCACCCCGGCTCCCTCTCCTGGGGGCTGTCCCCCCGGGCGGCCTAGGCCCCGAACCCTGCCCTACGTCCCCTCAACCCCATCGTTCCCCTGAGTTCACCCAGTTTCCTCTCCCGCCACCCCCCGGCTCCCTGTGGGCCCCGTCACCCCCTCAGCCCTCAGCCCCTCCTCGGCGACGGAGTCCTGCCGGTGGGAGACCTGAACCCCCGCCAGCCGCTCTGCCTGCCCCACCGCACCCCGCCCCCGCCCAGAGCGGAGCCAGGGGAGGGACGGGCCTGGCCCCTCTGTCCCGTCTGTGGGTCCCCAGGGCCTGCGAGAACGGGCCAGCCAGCCGTGGGTGCCGGAGGGAGCGGGGGGACCGTGCCCGTCTCTCCGCCCAGGTGCTGGACTACGACTACTACGGGGCCTACGGCAACCAGCGGCGCGGGGGCGACGCCTACAGCCAGCTGCTGGGGGAGGAGTACACCTTCGACTTCCCGCCGCACCACGACGTGGTGGGTGCCCTCCCCGCCGGGTCCCGGGGGCTGCCCCCAGCGCGGACCCCTCATTCGCACCCCCTTGCCTGCCTGCTTCTGCCCTCGCCCCCCACCTCTGCGTCGTGACTGCTGCGGGGGGGCTCTGGCTCGGCTGTGTGGCCTCGGACCAGGCCTGCGCCCCTCTGAGCCTGCAGGGTCCGGTGAGCCCAACTCCTCCGGCCCAGGGGCTCTGCAGCCCCCCGCAGATGGGGCAGGAGCAGCCGTTCCGGGGGCCCCTCCAGGAATCTCCTGGGGCGGGGGTGGGGGAGACCTGGGCCTGCTCGCTGCCCCTCCTGAAGTGGGAGGGTGAGGCAGGGCAGACAGGCCCCCTGGGGGTTCCTCACCCCGTGCTGGCTCCCCTCCTGGTGACGGTTCTCGGGGCAGCTCTCTGTCTGCCCCACACAGAAGTGCCCTCGGGGGGAGCTTGCGCCCTTGTCTGCCCTTGTCTGCTGGCCGGGTGGAGAGGGGCCCCACCTAGACCCTTGCTGCCAGGAGGTGCAGATCACCAGGTGAGGGGCGGGTTTGCTGCTCCTCGGACACGGGAAGAGCCAAGGTGTGTGCCGGGGCCCCCGCCCAGGCGGCCTACGTGGGCTGCAGCCTGAGCAAAGTCACGGGGCCCCACGGGTGGTCTCCGTGGCTCGGTGGCCCACCCAGCTGCCACGCTGGAATCGCCCAGCCGGTTCTGAACAAGCACCCACAGTTCATCTTGCGCTGGGCCCCCCCAATCCTGTAGCTGGTCCCAGGAGCCCCCAGCAGGCTCTGCGGCAGAGGCGCCCCAGGAGGCGCTCGGGAAAGGGACGGAGGCACGCGTGCCGGAGCCTGCGGCGGGGCGGGCTCCGTCTGGCACCCCGCATCCCTGGGCCCGCGGGAACCTGGCCCCAGGCTCGGGCGGGGGAGGGGTGCCGGCTCGGCTCTGTGGCTCCATCCGGCCTCCGCAGCCGCCCGAGTGGTCCCGAAGTGTGAAACACGCGCCTGTTCTCCGCTCTGGCCGCTTCCCCAGCCCGCGCGTCAGCCCGGAGCAGCTGGGCTTGGCTCTGCACCCCACAGCGTGAGCGAGGGGGCTGCCGTGCTGGGCGGGAGCAGCTGGCGCCCCAGAAAGGCCTCGGTGCCTGGAGAGACCGGAGAGGCAGCGTCTGGCTTAGGACCTCCCTGACCCCAGGGTTGTGCGCCGCCCGCTTCCCTGTGCAGACCTCTCCCCCCAGGGCCCTCGGGTTCAGCCCCCCATCACGAGGCGAGTCTGGAGAGGCCTCTCCCGACCCCGCGCCACCGGCTGGCCGCCGTTTCCAAACATCCAGCCCCCACAGGCCCCGGGGCCTCCGGGGCAGGCAAGTGTGAGCTTTGCTAATCAGCTGCGTCCTTGGGGGGGCGGGGTGCCTTCTGCGGGAGGGGCGCGGGCCTTGGCACAGGCCGGGGGCAGGGACAGGAGACCTGGAAGCCCGCCTTGGGACACCCCATGGAGGGAAGGAGGAGAGAGGGGTGCCCTTGGCTTCCGAGTTTTACCGAGACATGCAGACACAATCCTCGCTGAAGGCGCCGGGCGCTGCCTGTCAGCCGGTGCGGGGACACGAGCGGTCACGCCAGACTCTGGTTTTAGAAGGTTCTGTCTCCTCCCCAAAGAAGCCCCTGCCCTTCTCAGTTGCTCCATGCCCTCCCCAGCCCCCCACGCCCAGCCTTTCCCCCATCGCGGCCCTAGTCTGGAGTCACACAGCGTGCGGCTTCTCTGACTGGCCTCTGCTGGTGCCCACGTTTGCCCTGCCCTGCGCCGGGGCCCGGCCTGCACCCGTCGGCGTTTCCACCTCTGTGATACCCGGGGCCGGCTCCGAGCTGCTCCCCAGCGTTGTGGGAGGTGGTGCTGGGTGGTCTCCGCTGGGGCTGTGATGAACACGGCCGCTGTGTGTGTTCGCACGCGAGCCTTCGTGTGGACAGAGCGCGTCGTTTCTCTGGGGCAGACGTGGGCGGTGTGGCTGCGCCGGGGGTACCTATCAGAATGTGCCGAGACCTGCCCACTGTTCTCCCAAGTGGCTGCTCCACTCGACGGTCCGCCGGCAGTGAGCGGCCCGATCCTGCACCACCCAGCCCCTCCGGCCGCAGCCCCTCCTGCCTGGCTCTTGGATTCGAGTCCTCGGGGGTCAGCTCCCTGGCCAGGGATCGCGCTCAGGCCGCAGCGGTGACAGCCTGAGGCTAACCCCTAGGGAAGCCTGGCATCGCTCCCTTTTAATTGGGGTTGCCTTTTTACTTGACTTAGGAGAGTGCTGCGTGTATTCGGGTGCTAGTCCCTGATCGGATTTATGATTGGCAAATATTCCCCCTATTTTGAGGTGGCTCTTTCACCTTCTCGACAGTATTGTTGCAGCAGGAAAGTCTTCCGTTTTGATGAAGAGCGACACAGGTGTCCTTTCTTCTGTTGCTTGTGCTTCGGTGACCCCAGGCCCTAAAGACTCACTGTGTTTTCTTCGAAGGATGTGACAGTTCTCAGTTCTTCGCGGTCTCGATCTGTGCCCATCAAGCCGTCTGTGTGGCGTGAGGAAGGGCTCCGGCTTCATCCTGCCTGTGACGTCCTGTCCCTGACCCATTGTGGAAGATTGTTCTTTTCCCCCGAATGGCCTCGGGGCCCTGCATCATTTGAGCATCCCAGGGAAGGGTCATTTCAGGGCTCTCAACTGGACGCAGCCCGTGTCTCCACCCACTCTGGCATAATCGCTGTCGCTTTGTGGGCTTGGAAATCACCAAGCGTGAGCCCTTGTTCCTTTCAGAGGCTGTTCTGAGGATTCCGGGTCCCTTGCATGCACCTTCATGTGGGTTTTAGGATCAGCTTGTCAATTTCTGCCGAGAGGTCAGCCAGGGTCCCGACGGGGGCTGGGGTGACTCTGGAGAGGAGTTCGGGGAGTATTTTTGTCTGATAGTTGGTCCTGGGCTTTGTAAGCCGGAGATGGCTTCTTTCCATTTACTGATGACTTCATTTCTTCACAGAAATATGTTCTCATTTTTAGGGCTCAAGTTGCAGTCTTCTAGTGCGCGATTTATTTGTGAACATGTGATTATTTGGGATGATATGTCCCTGGACTTCCCATTTCCTTTTTGAATGAACTGTTGGTGGCTGGCGGATAGAAACGCGGCTTTGCTTGCCGTGCCGGCCTCGCGCCCTGCAGCCCGGCTGACGTACCTCCTTAGTCCTGGTCACTCTGCAGAGGCCGATTGACCGTCTTCCGCGCGCCGGGTGACAGCGTTGGCGCAGACGTAGCTTTGCTTCTTTCCAGCCTGGAAGCCTGTTTCTTTCTCCCGCCCGGCTGCCCCGGCCAGGACCAGTGGTGCAAGTGATGAAAGCAGAGCAGGCAGCTTGGCCTCCTCCCGCTTTATTGCTGGTCTTGGGGGGCCGTCTCCCACATTTAAGTGTGATGTCGGCGGTGGGGTTTTCACGGCCTGCATCGGGCTGAGGAGGCTTTTGCTGCTAGTTACCCAGCGCCGCAGCCGTCAGGTGTGGGACGTTGTTCTAACGAGCGAGCTGGCCGTCCGGTTTGCTCTGACCGTGCGGTGCCCCCAACCTCCATTCCGGGGCTAATCCGGCTTCATCGGGTGTGTAAACCTTCGTCTATGCGGTTGGATGCGGGGTGCTACTGTTTCGTCGGGGTTTGCGCTCTGTTCACGAGGGACAACGGCCTGCGGCGCCTGGGAGCCTGGCCTCTGCTGCGGTCCCGGTGACCGGCGCCTGCCGGAGGGGTTTGTGAAGAGCGGGTGCTCCTCTGGGAGCGCCCGGTCCCCGTGGGGCAGCTCGGCCGGGGCCTTTCCACAGCTTTAGCGGCCCGTGTCCCCCCACGCCCAGCTGGGAGGGTGTCGCGCGGGGTGTCCCGAGTCTCCTGTGTGTGGGGGGGGGTCGCCGCCCCGGTGCCGCCGAGCCCATCTGGCCTCTCAGGCGTCCCTGTCTTTCCCTTCGGCGGTTCAAGGTTTGCAGCTTTCCTTGGTCTTCACAAAGAACCAGCTTTTGATGTTGCCGACTTTCTCTTCTCGATTTCATTAATTTCTACCTAATCTCTAGCCTTTCCTTCCTTCTGGGCTGGGTTTGCTTCGCCTTCTTTTTCCCGGTGGGGCTAGGTCCCTGGGCCGCGGCCCCCTCTGCCCCCTCTCCAGGGAATTGGGGCGCTCTCGGGTGCGGGCCGCGCATGCCTCCCCCTGACCGTCGCTTCCTTTCACTCACCTCAAAGCTTTTCTGACACCCCTTGTGATTTTGTTGTGATTTGGCCCATTGGTTACATAAGCGTGCCCTGGAGTCCCGCCTGTTTGGGGGTTTTCTGATCTCCCCGCTGTGACGATCGCCCCTTTAACGCCTCCGTGGTGAGAGAACACAGCTGCGGCCCCGCCCTTTGGAGGCGCGCTGGCCTGCAGGTGCCCCCCGAGCTGAGAGACCCTCACGGGGTTCCTGGGAGGGGCGGGGCCAGGGCAAGGGTGTGGCAGCGAGCCCTGCACCCCTGTTCTTGAGGAGGGGCACAACTCACAGGCCCCTGGCTTCCCACCTCCCTGGAACTTTCCAGATCAGGAAGGAGTGTCTGACCTGCCGGGGGGCCGCTGCCGTGTTCGACATGTCCTACTTCGGGAAGTTCTACCTGGTGGGCTTGGACGCGCGGAAGGCAGCCGACTGGCTCTTCTCTGCAGATGTCAGTCGGCCTCCAGGTAGGGCCCGCACTGCTTGTGCTCCGGGCCGTGGGCTCAGGGGCGCAGCCGGGCACTGAGGTCTGACGGCCAGCCGAGCTTGACCTGCCCACCCGCTGGGTCACTCAGTCCCAGGGCCTGCGGGAGTGGGGGCCCCACAGGGGATCCCGCCGAGTGGTGACTGGGCTTGGCGGACACCTGTGCTGACAGCTCACGGGCCCCGGAGCGCCCGGACCCGAGGTCCTGCCCCAGGCCCCCAGCTGGGCCTCCCCCTGCCCCAGCCCCTGACCCGGCCTCCCCCGCCCCAGGCTCCACGGTGTACACCTGCATGTTGAACCACCGTGGGGGCACGGAGAGTGACCTGACCGTCAGCCGCCTGGCCCCCGGGCCCCAGGACTCCCCCCTCGTCCCTGCCTTTGAAGGTGAGAGCTGCCGGTGGGAGCAGCGGCGCTGCCCACGCGGTGTCTCCTGAGACCGCGGCACTGGCGCGGGGTGGGCTGCGGGCAGCTCTGTCATGACCTGCCGCGCCGCCCTGGTGGGGCCCGGGGGAGAGGCCTCGCTCCGGGCTGCGGCCCACGCGGTGACCGCGCCTGGGAGCCTGCCCCGCCCGCGTCTGGAGCGGCCCCGGGGCCCCGGCTGCCTGTGGGACGTGACCCCGCAGGGATGGCGGCTCCCTGCCACCGACCCCTGTGCCGACGGCGGTCTGGACCCACGTAGCCGCCCTCCCGGGCCCGGCAAGGAGAGACCCGGGCCCTGGACTGCCCCGGCGGCCCCTCCGCCGCTGCGCACAGGCTGTGCGGGGGCTCAGCTCCGGCTTCCCTCCCGCCTGCGGCTCCTGAGCTGCCTCCCTCCCCGACTGGCGAGGTGTGCAGGGAGTGGGGAGCCTTCTCTTCCCCAGGAAGGGCCCCTGGGTGTCCCCGTGCTCGCGTGGGGGCCACCGGGGGAGGGTCACAGGCAGCCCGCTCAGAAGACCCGGTGGCCCCGCGGCCCCCAGCCCCAGCCCCGGCTCGTCTGCAGCAGTTCAGCTGCCTCCTCAGCGGGACTCAGTTGCCCGAGGAGGGGGGCTGAGCTCTGCCTGGGCGGGGAGGGATGGAAGGAGAAAGCGGGGATCATTAGTTAACCAGGGCAGCCCCGCAGCAGTCCCCGAGCTCCCGCTGCGGCGTGCAGGCTCCGAGGCTCCGGGAAGCAGCCGGGGCCCAGCAGGGGGTCCTGGCTGTGGGGGCCTGTCTTGGGGGCCCGGGCAGTGGGCACGTGGCTTATATTCCAGGCCCTTCAGGGTGGATTTGGGGGTCGGGGGCTGGCGGGGACCCCGGGCTGCTGGCTTCGGGAAGCAGAGGGTGCTTAGCGAGCGAATGTTCGTTCTTTGCCTGTTTCTTCTGTCGCCATTTGCTGAGCCTCCGCCTTACGGTGGCGAGGGTGGGTCGGGCCATCCAGGCCGGGACCCTGCAGCACCGGTGAGGCCCCGGTGGGAGTGGCACGGGGAGCGCCCACCCTCGCCACACTAGGACCCTCTGAAGAGGGCCCCAGACAGGGCTCCCTTGGGTGGGGGCCCTCGGGCGCCTGGCTGTCTGCCCCCCTGCCCCGCTCAGTGGGCGCCTCTCTTCCAGGGGACGCCTACTACCTGGCCGTGGGCGGCGCCGTGGCCCAGCACAACTGGTCCCACATCTCCACGGTGCTGCAGGACCAGCGGCTGCGCTGCCAGCTCATCGACAGCTCTGAGGACCTGGGCATGATCAGCATCCAGGGCCCGGCCAGGTGAACAGGGACTGGACAGTGCCAGGCACAGCAGGGCCCAGGCCGGGCGCTCCAGCTGGGACCCCGGGGGCAAAGCCACTTCCTGGTCCAAACAGTGCACTGCCGTGGACGGGCGCTGCCCAGACGACAGTGCTTGGAAGCTTTTCGGCCAGGTCACCCCACGCCCCACCCCTGACAGAGCACACGTGTCTGCCCGCCTTGCTGTATCCCTGGTCCGTGTGCGCAGACCCTGGCGGGGCCTGTTCCCCCGTGTCTTGGAGCAGGCCACGCAGCAGCTCCCGGCCGGTCCTGGACCGGCTGACCCCCTCCCAGGGGAGGGGTAGCAGTCTTCGGTCATGTGGTCCTGGGCCAGGAAAACCAGTGCTATCGAGGGACATTTGGGGGAGGCACGAGGGCTGCAGTCTGGGAGCTCTCTGGAAGGGCGGGGGGCCGGGCAGCAGAAACGACACCCGCAAGGCCCTGTGGCAGGAGTGTGCCGGGTGTGTCGGGAGCAGCAGCAAGGTCTGTGGAGAGGGGTGGCAGGAGGTGTGCTCAGAGGGTCGCAGACAAAGGATTTGGGTTTTACTGGGGTCCCTGATGCTGGCCAGCAGGCGTGTGAGGAGCCTTGGGGGCCAGGTGAAGCAGGCACTTCCAGGAGGGGCAGAGGCCGGGCCTGGATAGTCCACAGCCCAGTGGGACGAGGACTGCGAGTTGCGTTTGGCGAGCTGGCAGTGCCCGTGGCCTTGGCGGGAGGCCGGCTGGCTGGGCGGGGCTGAGAAGGGGGCAGGAGTAGAACGAGGCAGGGAGCACCGTGAGATTTCGAAGGCGAGGGGCGGGGTGAGCCCCACCTCCACATCTTGGGGTGCAGGCAGCCTCGGGCAGGGAGTAGGGTTTTTTGTGTGTGGGAGGCTGCTGGGCAGGGGAGGGGGCGCCAGCCAGGCAGGTCAAGGCGTGGCCCCGGGGACGCCGGCCTCCTCCGGCCTCATTAAGGGCTGCTCCAGGCGGGCGGACAGGGCCGCTCCTGGAAATCTTAACTCTCTCCTTCAGAGTGTCCTCTCTCTCTTTCAAAAACAACCCGCGTCTCTGGGGGGCCCAGTGATGCGGCCACGTCGCAGATAAGGGCGGCACTTCCTGAGCTCTGGCCGGGGGGCTCTTAGCCTGACACCTGGGCCGCATCGGGTGGCCCTCAGGGTGCCCCCGGGCCTGGTGGTCAGGGCGGCTGCCGCGGCTGGACGCCTCCTCTGCGTGACTCAAACCCAGGAGGCCGTGTGAGGCTGACGAGCCCTGGGGCACCGGCTCTGGCCCCCACTGGCCAGCCCACACCCTGGGAGGCCTCACTGTTGGGGAGCGCCAGGGCGCTGAGGCTGGGTGGGGATGTCGATCTTGAACCTGGGTCTCTGATCAGGGGCCTGTGGCCACCAGCACCTCCACTGGCCCCTTGGGGCGGGTCGGCCACCCTCCCGGGACCTGGGGTTCCCCTTAGCCTTCCCACCCTGGCTGAGCGGCCCTGGCCCGGAGCCCCTGGGGCGTGGGAGGACGTGCTCCTGAGGCTGGGCTGGGCTCTGTGGGGGCCGGCTCCGCGCGGTGTGGTGGGGGGCGGGGGCTACATGGGTCCTGGCAATCACAGGCGCTGGGTCTGCTGGCGTGGGCGGGAGCTCCTGGCACCTGGTGGGGTCGGCAGGCGAGAGCAGCGGTCACCCTGCAGCCCCAGCACCCGCAGGCCCCGCGGGGTAGAGGCGGGGGAGCTGTCTCCCCACGGGAGCTCACCCACAGGGCCAAGCCAGGCTGTTCTCAAGCAGCCCTGCTTACTGCGTGCCCTCCTGTGTCAGGCACGTCGGGATGGGGGGCCTTGGCACGAGCTCCTCGTTTCCTAGGGGGCTTCCTGGGGCGGAGATGTCTCCAGACAAGGGGCCCCTGACCCAGACTTGGGGAGTCACGGAAGACTTCCTGGAGGGGGTGGCAAGAGGGCTGGGAACCTGGGCAGGAATGCAGGGAGCCCCTCCCCTTCCTGGGTGGGGGTGCAAGGTGCCTCGGGAGTGCAGGTCTCCGCCACACAGAGGCCAGGCTCCGGGTCTGTGGGTGGTTAGACACCTGCCCCAGCCTCGGTTTGAGCAGGGGTGAGCTGCCCAGGGCTCTGGGTCTTGCCGTGGTTCCCGCGGAAGACTGTTTCCTACCTGCCCGTGTTGGGAGTCTTCGTCGTGGTGTGCTCTTATTATACTTGTTCTCGGTCTGCCCCTCAAAGGCAGGCGCTGTCCTGCTCACGGCGGTATCTGCAGCGTCTCCCCAACCTGGGGCTGCACTAGGAGGGCTTGGCGTTTGTTGACTGACTGACTGATGGACTTTGTTCTTGCTCACAGCCGGGCCATTCTGCAGGAGGTGCTGGATACAGACCTGAGCAACGAGGCTTTCCCTTTCTCCACCCACAAGCTGGTGAAGGCCGCTGGGCACCTGGTAGGAGGCGCTGCCCCTGGGCTGTGGTGGCAGGAGCACGCAGTGAGGGAACACGCCCAGGGTTGGGACTGGAGCTGGGACATCCTGGGGCGCGTTTGCTTCCCTGGGCCTCGTTCCCCATTGTGAAATGGGGACTGGATGGCCTTGCCTTGCAGACGGCTTGGACCCCTGCGGGGTGACGGACGAGGTCAGCCTCCCTGTGCTCTGCCCAGGATCTGGCACCGCTGGGGGCCCAATCTCCCCTGCCAGGCGGGCCAGCCTCGGCACAGCCGCCGCTATGTCCCCTGCTCACCCTGTGGGGCGTGTCCCCTCAAGTCAGGGTGACTGGTGGGCCCCTCCTGGATGTGACAAGGCTGGGACCCGGGCAGCCTGCTGCTCCCCAGCTGTCCCTGTCCTCTGAAGTGACCGCTTATCCTTCCCTGGCAAGGGAGGGTGGAAGGGAGCTGGCTGCTCTGGGGGTGCTCCCCTTCCCCGCCCCAGCCCTACAAAGTCTGGCTCCCAAGAACTGGGTCCCCTGCTGAGCCCAGGTGGTGTCAGAGCTCCACAGGACCCAGCTTCGCAGTGACCCTTGGCCAGGACCCCGGCTGCCCTCAGCGTCCTTGCTGGGACATAAGCCCCGTGACGCCGCAGCCGGGAGCCGGTGGTGAGGTAGGGTCACCAGTGGGTGCCCCCGCTGGCCGGGTACTACTGGCACTTGGCAAGAATACTCTGGGGGGCATCTTGTGCTTTTTAGGGTGTTAGCAACGTCCCCGGCTTTACCCACCTGAGGCCAGGAGCGCCACCAGCTGTGGCAAAAACATGTCCCAGTTGTCCAGGGGCTGCAGGACCAGAGCTGTCCCCAGGAAGGCAGGCGTGTGGCTGTCCCCGCAGTCAGCGGGGCCCATCACGCCCAAAGCAGGATGGCCAGTGTGGCGAGCCAGGCGCTGCACCACCTATGACCCCCAAATGGAGCTCAGAGAGATACTGGCAGACTGTGGGTCCCCAGCTAGTGAAACAAAAGACAGCCAGCGGCTGAGGGCGTGGACAGTGGCTAGGTAGGGGTGTGGACAGCGGGGGCGGGGGGGGAAGCATGGACTGAGGCCTGGAGCGTGGACAGCTGCAGGTGGGGCATGGACAGTGACTGGGGTTGTGGACTGAGGCCTGGGGGGCGTGCACAGCGACCTGGGGGTGTGGACAGCAGCCTGGGGCGTGGACAGCGGCCTGGGGCATGGACAGCAGCGGGGGACGTGGACGGAGGCCTGGGGGTGTGCCCAGTGGCCTGGAGGCGTGGGGGGACCGTGGTGGGGGGGCACGGACAGGGGCCTGGGGGCGTGGACAGAGGCTTGGGGGCCTGCCTCACCTCCCCTACTTCCTGTGCACGATGGGGGTGGGGACAGTGTGGGGGCGCTGGAAGGGGACAGGACCTTGGCCTGCGAGGGGCTGGAGGTCCAGGGCCGAATCTGCCCTGTTAGCAAATAAACAACGTGGTGAGGATGGGCAGAGGCTGCGGGCTGCGGAGACGCTGATACAAACGCTGCCGAGGCTGCGGGCGCGGGCAGCCAGGGTCTGTCCAGTTTGCTTCCTGCCCCTGGCGCCGGGCTGCCTGTGGGAGCCGACGAGGGGGGCGCTTGGGAGCGCAGCACAGGGGGACCCCAGCCCGCCGTCCTCATGCCCGGGGTCGTGCTGGGTCCTGCCTCCTCAGGCACGGGATTCTGACCGGTGGATGCAGGAGAGGGGCGCAGAGGCTGGCAGGGCTCAGCCCGTGTGAGGTTTGGGGGTGGGAGGGGAAGACCAGGGGGCTCTTCCCTCCAATCCAGGCACCTGGCACTTGGGCTTGTGAGGTCCCTCCAGCTGCCTCCCCTCCAGGCTGGACGTCCTGGCCAGATTTCCAGGATGGGCCTCTCCCCGGGTGAGGGCGGCCAGACCAGGTGGGAGGTCCTGAGGGGCCGGGCGGGCGCGGTGGAGTGCGGGCTGCCCAGGCCGCCTCTCCTCCTGGCCGCTGCTGGGCGCCTGCCGCTTTGGGAGAGGGGGTGTGGCTGCTTGCTGAGCCTCGGCTGGTGGTGGCGGCCTAGGCGGCCGGTGCAGACCTCACTGCTGGCGTCACCCTGGTGGGCCCTGGGCCGCCTCAGACTTCTTGTTCGCCGCCTGACAAGGTGGCCTGGCCCGCGGGAAGCCCAGCCGTCTCAGGACACGCAGACCTCCCGGCACGGGCTGAGCCGTCGCAGACAGTGTCGCCCCTTTCTCCCCCTGCTGTCCCAGGAGCAGCCTGGGGAGGGGGCGTGGGGCTGGCGGGCAAGTCCAGTAACCCAGAGGTCAGGTCACTGCCCCTGCCTGTGGCCTGCTGGGACCTCCTTGTCCTGCCCCAAGGGGACTCGAGTCTCTGCTGGGCCAGGGGATAGGAGCTGAGGGCAGAGGAGTCAAGGGTGGGCCTTGGCGGAGGCGGGATGGGAAGGTCTTGCCCTGCCGGGGTGACCCGCATCTTTTCCCCAAGGCTTCGGGGGGTGTTCACTGAAAATTAGGCCTCGAGATAGGCAGATCAAGTGCTTATTCGAACCGGAAAAGCAGCTTGAATTCAGCTGTCATAGGTGGGAACAGAATGTAACTGTTCTTGGCAGGAGGGGCCCCAAGTTCTCAGTCGCCCCGACCTTATGCTTTTCTGATGCAGAGCCGCCTGGGCAGGATTCAGCCCGCCTGGCCCGGTGGTCAGCAGCAGGGTGGCCGGCAGCAGGGGGGTCAGCAGCAGGGGTGGAAGATTGGCCTTACCTTGGGGCAGCGATCTCTGCGCTGCACGGTGGTGGTCGTGGGAGGCCTCCCAGAAAATTTGATGATATGTTCGCGGGGCGTGAGCCAAACGCACCGCCACTGGCTCCTTGGGGCCGATGTTAAAGTTTAGCTGACTTCGAGTGGTCCAGGCCACCCTTCCCCGATGGCCCAGGCCCAGGGCTGGGTGGTCTCCCCTTCACTGGCCAGCAGGGGCGTGGGCAGGCCGGCTGCCAGCAGGACCTCAGCTGCAGGTGGGAGCTGGGTCAGTACAGAGCCTGAGGGTCTTGGGTGCAGCAGAGCAGGGAGCCCACGGGCCGGCGCCTATAGGTCAGAAGAGGCCTCAGCCTCCCCCTTGGCAGCACAAAGGCTCAGCAAGGCAGACATCCTCTCTGGACCGCCCCATCGGCCTGCAGACATCCTGCGTCCCCAGTCATGGGAGTTTCGGATTCCCCTGACCACACCCTTCCTGGCTCCTTAGTCCTGACACTACCCCCTGTGGCAAGGATTCGTCCATATGCCGGGTCCAGAGGGCGCTGGTATTTATAGGTGATCTTGGGGAGAGGGGTGGGTCTGGGTGGCTCCAATGCCCAGAACACAGCCTGGGCTCAGGGCAGGGCAGCAGGACCCTGCTGGTGCCCACTGTGACCGACGGAGAGGGGGGTGGCGCCCCCAGCCGAGCACCCCCAACTGAGCGGGGTGGTGGTTTTGCAATCAGTCCTCTGAGACGGGCGTGTGGCGACGGGCGTGTGGCCCACACTCCGTGATGCCTGCATTCCTTGAGGGAGGGGCGGTGCAGCCAGCGGGCGGGATGTCCTCCAGGCCAGCGAGGGTCCCGGGGGGCGCGCTCCTGGCCAGGTTACGGGGAGACGCGATGTTCTCGGGGCCTCGGCCTGGGACAGCGCAGGCCGCAGACTCCAGCTCATCATGAGCACAGCGGTAAAGTGATTTTCTCCCGAAAATTAATTTTAGGTCAAAAGGAAATTGAATTTCCTTTCCTGATGGTGAGAAGGCCTGGCCGTGGCCGTCAGGACTGGATTAGCTCAGGATGGAGTGTGCGCCCAGCCCGCGCCCAGAGGCAGCCGGAGCCTTGGCGGCCCTGCCCGGAGCCTGCAGTGGGAGCCGCTGCCTGACACTCACTTTGCAAAACCTGCAAATTCAGGGCAGCCTCAGGGATGCAGGGCCTGATGGAGCCGTGGGTGCCTCAAGGAAGATGTGCTGGCCACGGCTACCACCCAGGGCACACGGGTCCCGCTAGGAGACAAGCCGTAGCTCTGCCAGCGGCAGGACAGTGGCAGCTCTGGCTGGCGGGGTGCGGTGCCTCTGTGCACGCCCCCAGTCTGTGCCCCCCGGGGCTGGGAGACGGGAGCAGTGGTCAGGCAGTCTCTGCAGTTGGTGGATCCTCAGACAGGGTCATGCGTGTGCGGTGCGGTGGGAGCCTCACGTCTTTGGTTTGATGGCTGGAAAACCGGGTATGGGGTGGGGGGACAAAGATAAAAATTAGTTTCCAATCCCATCCCCTCTACACCGGTGGTTCAGGGAGCTTCGTGGTGGGTTTGGAAACCAGGAAATGCAAGTAAGTGCCTTGACTTTGTTCCTTGCAAGGTTATTTTGGTCTCGTGAGAGTCCACGTGAAATGTTTCTGCGTCTGCTTCACGCTGCTGGGATTTCGTAAAGGTTGTACCAACTCCGTGATCACTGGGGGCCGCAGGGACCCCGATGTTAGGCCTCTGTGAGCACAGGTGTCCCCGTCTGCAGGTGTCCCCCGTCTGCAGTCTGCACTTGCGGCCTGCAGTCCCTGCGCAGAGCCTCCCCTCCGTGGTTGCTCCTAAGTGTTTTGTTCCTTTTGATGCTTTTGTTTTTCAAATTTCCTCATTGGATTGTTAGTGTGAGAAATGCAACTTGCTGTTATCTGTTGCTCCTGCCCGCTGTGGCATTGCTGAGTTTGCTTATTAGTTCCAACAGTATTTGGGGAGTCACTGGGTGAGAAGAGGGGTTTAAACGGAACCCGGCTGAGGTCCTTGCTATAACCTCTCGCCCGCTGCCTGCGGGTCCCAGGAGAGTGAGGGGCTCTGCTTACAAGGGGCCCCTCCTTTTCAAGTCCATCTAAGCCAGCACTCCCTGGCAGGGGCTGTGTGCAGGCCCTGACTCCTGTGAACGTGGTGCTCATGGGCACAGTTATCAGAGGGGGGCACTGAGGCTGGGAGAGCCAACCCCCTCACTTCATACCCCTCATACAGAGGAAATGAGTCCTCACTGCTTCAGTGGAGAAGAACATGGCCCCTTGGGGGGCAGGGGCTGTGGGCGCCTGGAAGTGCCAGCTTCCCCATCTGTCCTGTCCAGCTGCCCCTTCCAGGGGCCCACTAGGCTCAGGCGTCAGGAGGCAGCCAGACACAGTCAACCTGCCCCAGCGGGGGCTCCTTCCCACCCACGCGCCACCTCCCCCCCAAGCTGGGCACATGTGTCCAAGGCCCCTGCAACCCGCACCCTTGAAGGGGGAGCACGGGTGATGCTTCCCGTCTCCAAATGAGTTGGCTTGGAGCCCCAACCCAGCTCCCCCGCAGGCTGTCTAAAATTAGCACCCCATTGACAGGCGTCTTTGTCAGGGGCCTACAGCTCAGCTTGCACCAAGGAGGCAGGCAAATGTCAACAGTGTGTTTTCAGTGTCAACTTTGAGGCTTTTGAGAGGCCCCGAGGATGGCAGCTCAGCGCAGATCTGCACTCTCCCAGGCCTCCCTGGGTCCAGCGCTGGCCCCGGCGTGGCTCCAATGTGGGCCTGGTGAGCGCCGCTCCCTCGTGGGGAGAGTGGCCTGTCCCCCTGCTGCCCAGCGGGGATGGAGCCGCTCCGTGGGGTCGGCGGCCCATTGTGGACGCCCTTCTCTGTGCGGGTGTACCCCCAGGGTGCTGTGGGCTCGAGGGTGCGCCTGGGTCCGGCAGGCTGCACCAGCTGCTGGGCATAAGCCTCCTGTGGGCACAGGTGCCCTCCCGCAGCCAGCAGCCCCAGTGCACAGGTGTGCAGGGCGCACGCACCGGGCCCTGCTGACCCAAGCAGGGTGTGGAGCTGGTATCGGCATCACCCAGAACACAGCACTGCACGGAGCCCTGAGTGGCCAATGAGCTCAGCCCAGAGGCGCCCCCAAACCAGAGGGTCTGACACCTTCAGTCCCCTTCTGGCCTTCAGTGCTTGAACCTGTGGTTTTCAGTCACATCTGCACAGGACGGCAGACTGTCCCGCCGCCACGGACTTTGCTGGCCGCTCTCCCGCCCGCCAGCCCTGCCCTGCTCCTCTGGCTGCCCAGACTCACCCAGCCTTGCAGCCGCCACCCCCGCCAGCCCTGCACTGCACTGCCCGCCCAGGGGTGCCTCCTGGGCTGCCTTGTCCTCTGACTGAGTCCTGCTAAGACTGGAGTCCAGGTGCAGAGGCTGGGCGGGCTGGGGGCAGTGAGGACAGACTCGGGGCTGGCTGCCTGCCCCCCAAGCCTCTGAACCCCCACAGCTGCCGCTTCCCAGCTCAGCGCAAACCACAGAGCAGCTCGGAACAAACCCAAGGTCCCACATACAGGCTGTCCAGGGCGACGGGGGGTAAGAGGTGGCTCAAGGTCCCTGCACTGGGGTGAATGTGGCCCCTCCAAAAAGAGATGCCCTTTCCTGACCCCCAGAACTTGTGGAGAGACCTGATTTGGAATCGGATGTTTGCAGAGGTAGTTAAGGCCCGTGAGCGAGATCACTCAGGCCTGGGGAACCTGAACCCAAAGCCGATGCCCTGAGGACAGAGCCAGACCCAAGGCGGCTGGGAGGACTGAGCGGGGGCTGAGGGGACCAGCCGCAGCCGTGGGCACTGGCAGCTGGCTCCTGAGGCAGGAGGGGCCTTCCTGGATACAGGACCCCGGAACCAGGAGAAAAGACATTTCTGTGGTTTCAAGCCGCCAGCTGTCCTGGTGGCCCCGGGACACACACAGAGCCTGGAAGCCGCCTGTCCACTTCACCCCTCCATGGGACACCCCTTCCTCCCCTTCAGAGGTTTCTAGCACGATCCTGAGAACTCCCCTCGGGAGACCCCGTCTTGGTGGCCACCTCGGGGCCAGGCCAGCTGGCACTCACGTGGCAGCAGACACTGCCTGCTAGCAAGCGGCCACCCTGCACCATGCTGGACCCCCTGGCCGTGCTGGCCCCCACCCGGCCGTGCTGGCCCCCCCCAGCCATGCTGGCTCCCCCCACCCCGGCCATGCTGGCCACCCGCTGAGCCGCACCCTTCTCTCCAGGTGCGGGCCATGAGGCTGTCCTTCGTGGGGGAGCTGGGCTGGGAGCTGCACATCCCGGGGCCGTCCTGCGTGCCCGTGTACCAGGCCGTGATGGCAGCGGGCGCCAAGCACGGCCTCGTCAACGCAGGCTACCGGGCCATCGACTCTCTGAGCATCGAGAAAGGTGCGTGGGATGGGCGGCTGGGCCTCCAGAGCGACACGGGGACGGGGGCCACAGCCCCCACTGCCTCCCCAGGAAGACCCCGAGATGTGGGCATTGTTCCAGATAAAGCCTGCTCCCTCTGCAGAGAGTGGGGGCCCAGAACCCTTTGGGGGGCCCTCTCTGAGGCCTCAGGCTGGTGGGACTGAGGCTGGAGTGTTGGGGGCTTCCGGCCAGCGGGCGTCTCCTGGAGGGCTCGTCTCCAGCCCCGCTAGGCGCTGACCCCGGCAGCCCCACAGGCTACCGGCACTGGCACGCGGACCTGCGCTCGGACGACAGCCCCCTGGAGGCGGGCTTGGCCTTCACCTGCAAGCTCAAGTCGGCTGTGCCCTTCCTGGGGCGCGAAGCCCTGGAGCAGCAGCGGGCCGAGGGCCTCCGCCGGCGCCTGGTGTGCTTCACGGTGGACGAGTGAGTACCGGCCATGGCCAGCCTCCAGCTCTGACCGCCCACCTCCGCACCCGCGGGATGCCCTCGGGACGCCTGCACTGCCGGTTCCGTCCCGCAGGCCACCTGTGCATCTCTGGAGCAGCTCAGCTCTGCTCAGGGCTCCGAGGGCGGCAGGCAGACAGCGCTGAGGTCCACAGAGCCCCTCTGCTGCCTGGCCCTCCAGGAGGTGCCCGCTGACCGCCTCAGATCACACCTGCCACGCCCCATCCCCTCGGCGTCCCCAAGCCACCGCGGCCCTGGCCCACAGTCTGGGCGTTGACCCCCAGGGCACAGCCGGGCACCGGCTCAAAGGGCAGGGTCAGCTGACCTGCACTCGGGGCCGGCGAGGCAGGTGACCTGCTCGTGTGGAGGCCACAGGACACAGTCTACTTGCAGACCCCGCGTCGCCAGGATGGTGAGCTCTGGTCCCAGAACAGGGGCCCCCAGGCCTGTCCAGACCCTCCCTGAGTGCAGGGGGCCTGCCAGCCTCGCCTCTCCCCACCGGCTTGGCCCTGGCACCTGGGGGCCCGCGGGGAGAGAGGTGGCACCCAGCATCCAGACCAGCCCGTCCTGGGCCCCGGCACGCGACGGGCAGCAGGAGTGAAGCCAGGGACGAGCGGCTGAGGGCGGCCTCGGCCCCAGCACCGGCCCCACGACCCGCCGGCCTCCCGCCACTCTCGAAGCTTTCCTTGTTTTCTGTTCCGAATTTTCAAAATTTAACCGTGAGCATTCCCGCCTCAAGGGACTCAGGAAAAGCACTTCTGCAAAAAAGTTCTTCTGTGAAAGGGGCCAGACAGCAGGCGGCCGCCTCAGGGCCATGTTTCAAACCACACACAAGTCAAAAGGCAAAGCAAGGGGCGCGTGCCCTGGCTCCAGGGCCAGGCCCGGCTGGAGGGTCCTGCTCATTCATGGCCATGCCCAGAGCTGGGCCCTGGGTCCCGCCGGGCCGGGCGCCTGCTGGCTCTGGGTCCAGCTGCCTCTCCTGCTTCTTCCAGGAAAGTTCCCATGTTTGGGCTGGAGGCCATCTGGAGAAACGGGCAGGTGGTGGGCCACGTCCGCAGGGCAGACTTCGGCTTCACCCTGGACAAGACCGTTGCCTACGGCTACATCCGGGACCCCAGCGGTGGGCCGGTGAGTCCCCCTACCCGGCTCCACCATGGGGAGCCCCTGACGCCCCCAGGCCTCACACCAGCACCCCATGCTGCACCCCGAGTGCGGCCAGGGCTGCGGGAGGTGACTGAGTGATGGGGCCGGGGCTGCTTCTGAGAGATTCGGATTTTGGAAGCTCCAGGCTCCCTTTGGTCAGACAGGAGAACACCCCCTTCCCCAGCCTGAGACCCAACCTCCACCCGCTGCGTCCAGGGGTGGCCTCTGGGGTGAGACAACCCTCACCTCCCTCCCTTCCTTCCTCGCTAGAGATGCCCGAGGCTGGGGCGGGGCGGGGGCTGAGGCTCGGGCAGGGACTCTTCTCTGAGCCTCAGTTTCCGCGCCTGCGCCAGGGCCAGCCCTCAGGCCACCCTCGGAGTGGGGGCGGGTGACGAGGCCCTGCGGGCCACACTGCCCGGGTGTGGGCCAAGGCACAGCTCCTGTCAAAGAGCAGTAGCTCCTGCCCACTCTGCTGGCTCAGGGTTTTGTCAGTGCGACCAGAAAGGAAAACCGGCTCATCGCAGGCCGTGCGGGGCGCCCTCGGGACGGCCAGGGCAGGGCGGCCGGCTCAGCTGAGGCCCGGGATGTGCAGGTCTAGTTACTAGAACAGGTCTCCTCGACGGCGGGGCGAGGGGCGGCTGGACCATCACCGAGAGGCTGCAGCTGGGCACGGGTGTTCCTCTGTGAGGGCAGAGCCTCCGCACTCCGGCTTGAGCTCAGGTTACAAAGGGAGCGGCAGCGAGTCCACACAAGAGATGACAATATTCCTGACGGGGGCTGGGCAGGAGCGGGCAAGTCCTCGCCCAAGTTACCGGGCCCAAGACATGCTGATGCCGTCAGGGCGGGGCAGGGGTTGGGGGGCAGGCGGCCCTGGGTTCCGCTCCCACCTGCGAGGCTGCCAGGCTGGTGCCTGTGTTAATCCCCCTTGTTGCGGGACCGAGGACTCGCAGGTCCTCAGTGGGGTGAAAGGCTGGTCCCTGCTGTGCACAGCAGCTCCACAGACTCCCAGTCCGCAGATGGCTCTGCTCTGTCTGCTGGGGTGCAGGGGGCCGGGGGAGAAGGGGGTCAGGACACCCTACAGGATGCTCCCAGTATTTACACCATGGAAATGGGCAATCGCTGCAAATTAGACCCCCCCAAGATGGCTGTTAACCACTCTCCAGCACCCCTTAAGGTTGGAGCCCTGTTCCTTGCATGGGAAGGCTCTCAAGGTGGCAGCTGAAGTTGGGGTGCTTATTAGCGAGGACCCCAAGAATCCCGCCTCCTGCGGGCATGGGGAGGCCCCATTGGCCTGTGCCACCAAGGGGGCAGCACTGCACCTGCCCACCTAGTCCCAAGCCCCTCTCTCCTAGCTCTGCGGTCCCACAGGAAGCCTTTATATTTGGGGAGGGTCCAGTCCCGTGTTGCCAGGGGCCCCGAGGAGTCCTCTAATTCCCAGAGCAGAGGCTGAGACCCCTCCTTAGCAGCCCAAGGCACCCCCTGGCTGCAGCCCCCTACCAAGGCTGACCTCAAGGTTGCCCAGGCCGAGGGGGGACGGAGGGAGGACACAGGAAAGTGTCTGGCTGCTTGCGCGGCCACCCGCCCCGCAGGACCGGAGGGGCCTCTGCCTGCAGCCGCTCGTGGCCAGGGCCAGGGCCGCGGGTGGGTTTCTGCCCCTGCTCTATCCCAGGGGCCTGCCGCTGCTGAGCCAGGAGGGTGCTGCCCTGTCGGGGTGCTAGAGCTCGGGACACTGGCTCCACCGGACCTCCGCCACCCCAGCCCCCTCAGGGGCACAGGACGGGCCTGCTGGCCGCCCTCCATGGCTCCCTGTGGGAGGCACGGAGGCCTGCAGGGGACGCGGCCGCGTGAGCCCAGCACTACTGAGCCCCCTTTGCTGCAGGTCTCCCCAGACTTCGTGAAGAGCGGAGACTACGCTCTGGAGAGGATGGGGGTGACCTACCCTGCCCGGGCGCACCTGAAATCTCCCTTCGACCCGGACAACAAGCGAGTGAAGGGGCTCTACTGAGGGGGCCCAGCGCAGGACCCGCTACCACCCCCCACACCTGCAGGGGAGCCCAGGGCCTGGGCCCGGACCTCGGCCTGGCCACCACCTGGGTCCTCCGTGCCTCGGTCCAGGCCGGCCGACCCAAGCAGACGCGGACAGAGCAAGTCAGAGGACCCAGGCCGCCCATCCTGCAGGCGCTGACGAAGGCTGGTCTGCAGCGCACCCCCCAACCCGGACAGCTCGCCTCAGGGACTGCTATGTAACCCTCCCCGCCCCGGGAGGGGGCTCAGTAAACACGGGCACCCCGAGTGCAGCCAGCACGGCCGGCTCCACTGCTCTGTGGGCTGCTGGCCCCGGGTCAGGGCCCCGCGGGGCCAGGGGTGCCGTCTGCTCTGGCTCAGCTGCGCGCCTGGAGGGGAAGCTGTGTGCACTGCAGGAGGGAGGGGAATCCAGAAAGTTCTTCCTGCTGGGACCACTCATCTCTGCCCGGGGAAGGCCTCTGAGCTTTCAGTGGGAAACATGTGAGCAGCAGGGGGTGGGTGGCCTCTCGGCCAGTGACCCCGGGTGGGCAGAAGCCCCGTCTCCTGCCTCGGTTTCCCTGAGAACCCCTCACGCACTACTACTGTGGTGAAAGCATCGCAGAAAGAGCCTCTGGCTTTTGGGGAAGTCTTGCACAGCACCCCAAGAGGGAGATGCCCCTCTTCCCTCTGCTGGGCCTCTTCTGCCTCTTCTGCCAGGGGTCTGGCCGGCCAAGTGTCGGGGTCCCTCCCTTCACCTCACCCCTGCCCAGGGCCTGCTCCCCAATGCAGCGCCCCACGCCCAGGCATGCCCGGCCTCTGGGCAGCGGAGGAGGCAGGAGTCAGGGACAGGGGCGGGCAGGACGGGGTGTGGGCTGGGGCGCTGGCAGGCCCCCACTCCTCTGCTCACACCGGTGGCCACTGTTGCTGCGGGGCAGCAGGCAGGCTGGTGAAGGAAGTTGGCTGTCCTGCTTCTCCAGGCTTGTGGTTTGGCCACACACACACTCGGGGGGCCCGTGAACACATCCCTTCCAGCCAGGCCTCTGGGGCCCAGGTTTCCCATGGCCTGGTCTCAGAGACACCCCTTCCCCCGGGCCTGCTGCCCACACGCTCGTCCTTTGCCCCTGGGGAGGGGCCTCGAGCCACCACTGTGAGTGGGAGCCCCGAGCTGCGCCCCAGCTCACTGCTCCACCCACTGGCTGCGGGGTGCTGGGTAGCCCTGTGGCCCCTTCCTGCCACTGGTCACCGCCCCCCACCGCCCCCCGTAGCGGCAGGGTGGCACAGGGCGGGATCTCTATGGCCCGAGCAGACTGGGTAAAGGAGAGAGTCCTGGAGTCCTGAGTGGCTTTTCAGGCTTTTATTGGGATTTACCAGGCACACGGCAGGCAGAGGTGCCGGGGGGCTGGGGGCTGGCAGCCTCCCAGCCCCCAGCAAGTCTCTCCCTCTGGGCTCCCCGGCCTTCTCTCGCGTGCCCTCTCCTCTCTCCTGCTTCTCCCATTCGCTCTGTTCTCGTGGTTCTCCTGGCGTCCCGGTGACGCCGCCCTTAGAGGCCCCGTCTCAGCCCAGGTGAAGCCCATCCACACCCGCCCGTCCCCCAGCCCAGGTGCCGCCATCAGGCATCACTCAGGTCCGCAGGGATCTGGAAGGCAGAAAACCTGATGCTTTTTATTTACCCTACACGGGTAAGGGAGGGGCCTGAAGCCCTCGGTGGCTTTTTCAGGATTTTATTGAGTTTACCAGGGACACGCAGGCAGAGGGGCTGGGGGGCCGGGGGGCTGGCAGGCCTCCTGGCCCCCAGCAAGTCTCTCTCGAGATTCTCCGGCCTCTCATGGCCTCTGCTGCTCTGCTCTTCCGTTCTTTTCGCTCTGCTGGCGTCCCCGTGACGCCGCCCTTAGAGGCCGAGTCTCAGCCCAGGTGAAGCCCATCCACACCCGCCCGCCCCCCAGCCCAGGTGCCGCCATCAGGCATCACTCAGGACCGCAGGGTCCATCATCCCTCCCAATGGGGGGAGGGCAGAAAAGCCTGACGCTTTCCCTTACCCTACTCCCCCCCTTACCCTGAACCCGGAGTGGCCCCGAGGCATGTCCAGAAGGACCGCAGGCACCACGCTGTGTCAGGGATCAGGGCGCCCCGGCAGGGCTGGGTGGGCTAGGAGAGGGTCCTCGGTGCCCTCAGCCGCAGCCGGTGTGAGGCCAGCAGCACCTGGGCAGGTGCTGGCGGGGCCCAGGGGCGAGCAGGGGCCAGCCCCATCCCCGCTCTCCCACCAGCTCCTGTCTGCCCGAGCAGGCGGGCGCCCCTGGCTTCACCAGGAGGTCAGAGTAGGGGCCCAGATCAAGCCTCCACTGGTCAGAGCGAGCCCGGGATGACCACGAGTCCAGCGTGGTCATCCCGTGAACCGGGGCCCTGGTGTAGAAAGTCAGCTCCATGCAGCCCCCTTGCACCTGGCCACGGGGGCCGGGCTCCCCCCAGCATAGCTGAGAAAAGTGGCAGGAGCGTGCTGGGCAAAGGAGAGGCCCCGGGGCAGGCAGGAGCCCAGCACGTGCTAAGGTCCTGGGGGCCTGACCCCCATGTGACCTGGGCTTTAGCCACCCTATCTGCAAAGTGAGATTCGGGGGCACAATCCTCAGCTTGGGGACACTTTCCGGGGGGCTTCTGCCTGCCAAGGACCCTCCCTGTCCCCTGAAAGTGCTGTCCAGACTGGATGGGCCCAAGTGCTCCTCTCGCCCCCAGGAAGAGGCCAGAGGGCAGCCCGGGGACAGCCGCCTGGCCCTTCCCGGTCAGCGCAGGAGAGGCGGAGGCCGGGCCCCGCTCTGGCTCCCTAGGAACGAGCTTGCGCCGGGGGCCCTGGCCAGGTTCTCGGGCTCCCGGGTCCTCACCAGGCACCACGTGGGATAGAGCAGCACCGTGGGCCTGGGGGCGCCGCAGGGGGCTGCGGGGGCGGGGTGCACTGCCAGGCCCCGTCAGGCCCCACACGTCAGACACGTCACCACCGATGACTTCCCGCCGGGCACAGGCTGACGGGGCCTGCTGGGCCTGGTTTCCTCAGGCCCAGCTGCAGCCCCTGGCCGGCTGGCAGCTCCTGCAGCCTCCAAAGTGCTGGGCCTCGGGGCCCCCCCAGAGCCAGGCCTGCCTTTGTCCCCTCTCAGCTCTGCTCTTCAGTCTCCCCAAATTAAAGGCTGAAAGCCCAGCACCCTCCTCTCCCCGCCCAGAACGGGCTAATCCTGTACACGCTGGCACACTCAGAGCCCTCCAGGCTGCCCGGCGGGCAGCTCCCCCAAGCCTAGCCAGGGGCCCCTTCCTCCCACGGCAGCGGCAGCGCACTGGAGGCAGCGCCTAGCAACTGCGCGGTGGGCCCTAAATAACTGCCTCCTCCCTCCCCCTGCGCCTCCCCTCCCCTCCGCTCCGCTCCCTCCTCCCGCCCCCTCCTCCCGCCCCCCCTCCCGGCCCTTCCCCCGCCCCCCTCCCGTGCAGGGGCTCTTGCGAAGGAGCTTGTCTCCGGGGAGGAAGGGGCAGGGGCAGAGCCCAGCGCAGACTGTGCTTTCTGGCAGGAAGGGGCAGAGGGCGAGGGGCAGGGGCCAGCGTCCTGGGCACAGGGGGGCGGAGCTCCCTGCATCAGCCCCCTGAGGGAGGCCGTGCGAGGGCCCCGCATCTTCTCCCCCCAATTTCTAGAACTTGCCAGCATCTTCTTTCCTCAGCTCCTCACTGCCCGGCTGGCCCATCGCTGTCCCCTCTGCTTCCCCTGCGGTCTGCCCATCTCCCCACCGCACGCACCCCCACAAGGCAGGGCTGCCCCCTGGCCACAGCCCGGGGCTGGTCCAGTGCCGCCACCACACACAGGCTGGACCAAGGACAGAGGCGGGGGAGACCAGGCTGACCCAGCCGCTGGGGAGCCCCGGGTCCATCGTCCTGCCTGGGAACCCACGTCTGTGGGCAGCTTCTAGACCCCATTTTATAGGGCTCCCTAGGTGTCCCCTGCCCCCCTGAAACTCAGAAACACAGAACGCGCCTGCTGGGCCAGGTTGGAATCTTCCCGAAGGCTCCCTAAGTTGCCGTTCGGAATCTTCCACTCGACCAGAAGCTTCTGGCCTGGAATTCACCAGACAGGAGGGCTGCCCTCCCCCGCAAGGGCCTCCTGAACACTTGGGCAAAGGTGGGGTGTGCGGGAGGGTGGGGGCGGGGAAGGGATCTAGAGAGACAGGAGAGCACCGAGCCCTGTGTCCCAGGGAACCCGAGCCCTCAGGTTAGGCCACGCGTGCAGGGCTGGGGTGTGCGTGCAGGGCTGAGGCGTGTGTGCAGGGCTGGGGCATGTGTGCAGGTTAGGGCATGCATGCATGGTCAGGGCGTGTGTGTAGGGTCAGGGCGTGTGTGCAGGGCTGGGGCGTGTGTGCAGGGCTGGGACGTATGTGCAGGCTAGGGCATACGTGCAGGGCTGGGGTGTGCGTGCAGGGCTCGGGGTGTGCGTGCAGAGCCAGGGTGTGCAGAGGGCACTAGGAAAGGCCTTTGCATGGACACACGGTTTTGCTCAATGCAGCGGAGCAGAGGTGGAGGCGCCCAGAGCCCCTGGCCTCGGTTCCATCTCTGCAGGCCAGGAGGGGCGGGTGGGGTGGAAGCCAGACCCCCTTGACGGTGCTGGAGCCCAGGAGCAGTGCCCTGAGCCGGCCTCCACGGGGGCGTTTGGGAGTCTGGGGGGCATCTCCGGTGGTCACGAAGGGGGCCGCAATGCTTGGCCTGGGGGTCCAGGGCGTTGAACCTCCTGCAGCAGGAGGTGGGGCCTGCCGGAAATGTCCCTGTGGGAAGCCACATCCCCTGCGTGGTCCAGGCCTAGGGTGAGCCTGTGGGGTGCAGGTTTGGCCCAGAGCTCGGGGCCCCTCCGCCTGCAGCCTGGCTCTTCGTGGTTGGGGGTGGGGGCACTGTTGCCCCAGAAGCTGGGAACCTCCTCCTTGGCGGGCAGGTGGGGGACGAGGCTCGAGGAGACGGTCACGCAGCAGAGGGAGGCCCCGAGCCCGGGCCTGCGCACTCTTCCAAGGCCCCGTCATTCTAGAGGTGGGCACACCTGGACCACCGTCGGTGGACTCGGCCAAGGGGGGTCTCTAGCCCCAGAAGCTCGCTCTCAGGTGATGCAACTCTTCCCGGGCTCCTCGCCAAGACGGCCCAACAGCGCCGGGGCAAGGACAGGGGTGAGGGCCTCCAGGCCTGTCACCTCCGGCTCCAAGCTCACTCTGGTGGCTGTGGCTAAGCCTCAGTTTCCATGCCCGTCACTGGGAGCAGAAACAGGTGTGTGAGCGGGTGTCTTTGGGGGGTGTCATTCCAGAACTGGGGGGTGTGCAGTGGCCACTACTGACAGCAAGACTGGACGTGACCGCCTTGAGGGGGTTGGGGGGGCAGGGTTGGCTCCCCTACAGGGGGACACTGCCCGTCCAAAGGTGAGTGAGCTGCCTCACTGCGGTGGCGGGAGGTTCTGGAAAAGGGTGTGATGCCCGGTCAGCGCTAACCCTTCGGGATCCTGAGCCGGGCACTGCCCTGTGCTGGGCCTCGTTCCCTCGACCCTGAGGCTGCCTGCCGCACGTCCCCTCCGGGGTCTGGGGACAGGCGAGAGCCTGCAGGGGCTGGGGCTGTGATACCGGCTGGCTGCCCCGGGGACCCCTCGAGCCCTCTCCCACAGCTCTGGGGGGCCAGGGCCCATCCAGACTGGTAGACCCAGGCCAGCACCCTCCCCAGGCTTGCCCTACAGGAAGGGGCGTCTCCTGCCCCTGCCCCAGGCTGTCCCAGGCTGTAAGGAGAGGCCACGCTTTGCCGCTTCTGTTGGGCAGCCTTTCCCAGAGTGACCTTGAGACTTAGGGCCCCGGAGCTGAGATGCTGGGGGAGCTGAGATGCTGGGGGCGCTGAGATGCTGGGGGCGCTGAGATGCTGGGGGCGCTGAGATGCTGGGGGAGCTGCTGAGATGCTGGGGGCGCTGAGATGCTGGGGGCGCTGAGATGCTGGGGGAGCTGAGATGCTGGGGGCGCTGAGATGCTGGGGGCGCTGAGATGCTGGGGGAGCTGAGATGCTGGGGGCGCTGAGATGCTAGACGCAGCTCAGAATGTCCAGCCATTTGTAGCTAGGCGGCAGGAAGGAGAAGCAGCGCCTCCTGACCCTGGGGGGCGGGGGTTGGGGGGATTGCTGCCATCCATCACCTTCTTCCCTGGGGGCTGGCAGCATTTTGCTGAGCTGGCTGAACAGAGCCACATCTTTCACTCTGCAGACGCTGCGGGCATCCGGGGTGCTCAGAGGGGAGCACAGTGGCGACTGGGCCCCGCCGGGCATGGAAAGAGGTGCAGGCACGTATTCTCTCGGGGGGCACCGCCTCCCCAGTTTCCCTTCACGGCCCCACTCCCTTCCCCCTGTGCACGCTGGACCAATGACCCTGAAGCTCAGGGTCCGTTTTCCAGATGGGGAAACAGGTCCGGGCAGTGAATGCCCCCTGCACCCCCAATGAGAGTCGAATTGGACTGCTGACACTGGCCCCAATCCAGAGACTTGTTCCCCTGCCCCCCCACAGCCCCGTGCTCATGATTCGGTTCCGGGGAGCTGAGACGCGCCGCCCATGGGGATCGCGGGGATCCCTGCCCGCTTGTCTGCGGCGGTGAGAGGTGTTAGGGCTTCCCTTCGGGTGGGCGAAAATATCTATTTACCCTGCATGGAGCAATTTCCCCAGCACACCCCTAACTAGTGAATGGTTGCCCTGCCTGTCTCTGCAGGAAGACGCCCACTGAGACGGAGCCACGAGCGGGAACGGCACATTTAAGCAGCCTCGCCCGTCACACACACGCAAGTCACCCCGAGGGCCAGGAGCCGGGTGGGGTCTGTCCTGTGCAGCCTGGTGAGGCTCGGGTCCCGGGAGGGCCGTGCTGGACCCAGGTGAGGGTGCGCCCCACCGTGGGCAGCAGGGAGTTCCCGCGGGACCCGCCCAGCCATGCGGGGGTGCCCTGGGAGACTGTGGCGTGGACTGGATCCCAGCAGGGGGCCTTCATCCTGGGCACGCAGAGCTGTTCCGTGGAGGGTCTTCACAGATGAGGGGTGCAGAGCCAGCGTGAGCCCACAGGGATGTAATGGGGGGGAGGGAGGAGACAGCCCCCCACTCAACCCTTGCTGCCGCCAATGCTGACCACGGTGGGGCCCGCGGGGCTCTGACCCCGGCCAGCTGGGCACCGGGGGGCGGGCTCTTGCAGCTTGGAGAGGATCTTGGGCAGGGGCTGCAGGTCCCACTCGCCCTGCAAGGAAGGGAGCAGGAGGTAAACTGAGGCTGGGGGAGAGAGGGGGCACCATCTCCCCAACACCTCTTGGGTCTTGCCCGCAAACTTGCCTTGTCCCAGACCAAACCCACCCTCGGCTTGCTACTTGAGGGCCTCCCCGGGAGTCCCTCCTGGTCCCTACTGCCCATGCGCCCCTTGATTTAGTCATCACGCACCAGCGCAGGCAGAGACCCCGCCTGCAGGCTGAACACCAGCCGCTTCTCCCCGATGGGCTGCAGACGCCCCGTTACCATCCCTGCCAGCCACCGCCCCACGCCGCGCAGGCGAGACAGCCCCCGGCCTCACGCAGGCAGTGTTGATTTAGCAACTAGCTTGGCTCCCGTGCTCCCAGTTAGGGCCGGCGCCGGATCTGTGGGCTGCTGAGCCTAACTCTGGCCAGCCCTGGCCGCCACCCGCAGCTCTCCGGGGAGTGAGAGGCCGGGAGTCTGGGTCTGAGGCAGGAAGGGGAGCGGCTGGCTTGGGCTGCGTGGTGCTCCCCCCACCATTAGGCTCTCGGGACTGTGGGAGCCCAGGAGAGGCCCGCGCCCCGTCCCATCTGCAGGCTTTTGTCTCTTCCCCGGCCCTGGAAGGGAGCCCTGGCACCCCACGCTGGGGCCCCCCCGCAGAGCTGGGCCCGGCAGCCGGACTGACCTGGAAGCGGACGGCCGAGGACTTGTTGCAGTGCATGGAGATGGGGGCGAAGCCGTACAGGGCCTGCAGCGTGGCGCGGCTGAAGGAGTTCCAGGGCACCGCCGCGAACTGCTCCGGCACGGAGGCCTGGGGGCAGGTGCAGACCTCCTCGCTGTTGAACCTGGGTGGGGCGGGAAGAGCCCAGGCTGGGGTGCCGCGGGAAGGAGAGGGGAGCACAGCAGGGCGGGGTCCCCAGGGTGCCTTGGGGACCACTCCCCACCCAGGCCCCGCCACCACGGCCCCGGCTAACAGGCTCCACCTCTCCCACCCCTCGGATGGGTGGGGAAGGGTCTCGGGGCTGATGTGAGGGGCTTCTCAAGTGCAGCGGGAATCGATCGTGGCCTCGACAACCGTCCCCAGCTGGGAGAGGCCTGGCAGGCGTGTGCCCAAGCCCTGCTCCCAGCGCCCGGCGGCCTGGGACCATCACCTGTTGACCATGTGGAAATACTTCTGCAGGTAGCCGGCGTCCACGGCGCTCTTGCAGAGCTCCAGCTGCGTCTGGGGGTAGTAGTGCACGTAGTTGACGCACATCTCCTCCAGGATCCCAAAGCCCCCCTGCGGGAGAGGGCAGTCAGGGCCCGCCCGCCTGCAGGCCGCTGTCCTCCGTCCTTTCATGGAAGGCCTGGTGCTGGCCCCGGGGTCCGAGTCCCTGCCCAGAGAGCGTGAGTGCTCCCCGCCTGGCTGAGGTCCCGGCCCATATCGCTGTCCTCTTGCCCCGTCCTTCCTGGGCTTGGCTCTGGGAGGACGGATGCCCAGGCCACCTTAGAAGCCCCCAGGGCAGCCCCAGGCTCTCAGGGCAGGAGAGGGGAGCAGGTAGGGTTCCCTGCTCCTGAGCGGGTGCATGGGGAGCCTAGACTGCAGGAAGGGGGGGTGGGGAGGAGGAGAGGGCAATATGAGGGGGGAGGGGAGGACAGCCAGGAGCGGGGAGCAGGAGGCCGGCTGAGGAGCAGAGGTGGGGGGACCAGAGCTCCGGGCAGGCGCTCAGGGAGAGACGGCCCCTCTGATCCCAGCAGGCACTGTCCCCGGGGGTGGTTCTGCTGGAGAGAGGTGTGAGGGAGGTGGGTGGTCTTTGCTACTCCCTGGTGGGACAAAGGGATGAGAACTCTGCTGCTGGGGGGCGGGGGTGGGGGTGGGGGTGGCTCGGACTAAGGGGCCCTCTTCAAAGTGGAATCCCCCACCACGGATCTGTCTGGCTTCTGGCGCAACTGTGCCTCCCGCGCTGACACCTCATCCCCAGGGCGGGTGGTCTGCTGCTTTCATCACCCCGACCCGACCCGACCCGGCTCACACCTGGAAGATGCCCTCCCAGCAAGAGCCTGTGCTCTCCGGAAGCGCCTGTCCTTGCGCTGGGCAGGGTCACACTTCGAAGGCCCCTCTCAGGATCTGCAGGGTGGGAAGCCCCTCACCAGGGGTGTCTGGGCAGGAAGCTCAGTGGGACCCTCTCCAGGGGGCTCCCATCTGCCCTCCTCTTTGGTCTGCCCTGTGGGGGAGGTGGGGGAGGGGCAGGCCCCACAGCCCCAGTCCCGGAGGCCTTAGCGCCTGCTGGCCTAGGGGCGGGTCTCCCCTTCACTGCTGGAGGCCTGGCCCTCCTGGGTCCCTGTGGGCCCACCTGCAGGAAGGGGTGGGCCTGCCTGGGCCCTTCCCCTGCAGGGGCTTGCTCCTGCGTCCACCTTGCTGAGTGCTCCCCATCACCGGACGGGTGCCCCTGCACGCCCTGGGGGGTCTCCTCGCTGCCTGGCGGCCCCTGAGCATGCGCAGGGTGCATGCACCTCGTCGGCCTTCTGTGGGCCGCTGCTGCCCCTCTGTGCTGGGACCTCCTCGAGATACAACGAAGGGGCCCTGGGGTCCAGGCGGGGCCATGCGCCCACAAAGCTCGCCTGCTCCGTTTTGTGGTCTTGGACCCAGAGTGGTTCTTGGGGCCAAATCCACAGGGAGGGAGGAAGCGTGGGCGGGAGCAGGCGGGGCGGTCCTGGGCTAGTCCTGGCCTCGGCTGTGTGACCCCAGCAAGGGCTTTCCCTCCCTGAGCTGCCACTTCTCACTTGAGAAAATACAGGCCAAGATTCCCACCTTGGCACTGTGGTCCGGGTGAGCTAGCTGGGCCGAGCCGGACAGCCTGCGGCCGGGAGCAGCTGGGCGCGGGGAGGGAAGCCACCCCCACCCCAGTTTTCAAAAACTGAGATGAGCAACTCGATCCTCAGACACAGAGTGATAGCAGATTCGAGCTCGACCCTGCAGACGGGGGTGGGGCCGACCCCAGCCAGCCAGGGGCACCTACAGGACGGCCCTAGGGGCTGCCCAGCAGGGGCCCACCTCAGGGCCCTCCGTCCCCAGGTCAGCCCTGGTCTGTGCCGCTGTGGGCATAACCAGTGGTGGCTGTCACCCTCGGGGGAGCCCAGCTGGTGGCCCCCCATCCACCTTGGGTTCGCAGGTGCCGCCTGCCCACCCTGAGAGGCCTTCTCCGGGCAGCTCTCCCCTCTCCAGCGGCCACGGCCCAGCCTGCGCCTTACGAGAGTAAATCACGCACCTGGGTTGTTGGGAAAGCTTCTCCTCTGGGCATCCTGCAGGCCCCGCGGCCCCACACGCCCTCCCACAGCCCACCTGAGGCCGCCCACCGCCTGCTCTCGTCCTGGTCACTTCCGTGCAGCCGCCCACAGGCCCCTGCTCCGGGGCCTCCTCTGTCGCTCTTGTCCTGCCCTAGAGTGTGAGAGCGAACGAGTGCCCCAGGCCCCCAAGATCTGCTGGTGCTGCCATCCCACACCCTGAGGATGAGAGAGTGGGGGGCGCCCAGCCTACCGCAGCCCAGTGCTCTGGAGCCATTAAGATGACTGGAGTAGAAGCCCGCATCGGCCCCCCGGGCCGCCCGTGCCATGGGGTGGAGGGGCGGGGACTCACCACCGTGGCCAGCTTCCGGTCCCCCGTGTTATAGGTGCAGGAAGTGATGAGCACGTCGCCCTGGGGAGCCGAGACGCAGGCCCTCAGCGCTGCCGGCCAGGGCGTGGCCTCAGGGTGCAGCCAGGCCCTGAGCACAGGGGCCCGTGGGGGTCCGTCCCAGCCTGCGGAGCCTGGCAGGGGCTTTGGCCCCATGTGAGGGTCGGACCTGAGTGTCCCCAGGGGCTGGCTGCCCGATCCAGGGAGCCCTGGTCCGTGGAGAGGCCCCTGCTGCCGGGCAGGCTGGCAGTCGGGCCCCGGCCCCAGGGTGGACGTGGGTAGGCCCACCTGACTGGGGTGCACAGGCCCCCCAGGCAAACCTCCTGGGCCTCAGGGCTCCTCACACTCTGAGGGTCCATGATCTGTTGATCCCGCCCCCTCCAGAGTGTCCTGCGTCCCAGGGAGATGCAGCCTTGGCCCGAGCTCTGTCTGCCCTCTGGGGCGGCCACTCACCGGGTAGACAGACACGACCTTCTTCAGCATGCGGATCTCCTGGGTGGGCAGAGGGAGCTTCAGGGCATGCACACCCCACTCCCAGTGCCCGCCCCTGCCAACCCTCAGGGGATGCAGGCTAGCCCCAGTGCCCCTGGGAAGGCCAGGGCTGCTGTTGGCCTCCAGCCAGGGGTGGGGTCAGAGCAGTGGGTGGCTGGCCAAGGACAGATGTACCCCGGAGTCCCCCATGGATTCAACACTGAGCGAGGAGTCTCGGGCTGGGGGAGCCCCAAGGGGCAGGGCGGCCGTCTACCTGGAAGTGGGGGCTGTAGTGGTCGTCCCTGTTCACGATCTCCACCTCCCGGCCGGCCCGGGCCAGCACCGTCACCACCTTCCTGCCCGTCAGGTGAGTGTGGAGCTGGGAGGCGAAGATGTGGATGCCCGAGGGAGGCAGGGCCTGCGGGACAGGGGCAGGGTAAGGGCCCCGCCATGTGGATGCCCCGAGGCCGCCCCTACCCTGGCTGCCAGCACTGACACGGGCCACGCTGTGGTGCCAGGTCTGGTCTTGCCCCCATCTGAGCACTGAGGAGCTGCGGGCACCCTAAGCTCACGTCAGGGCCCCTGTCCAGGCACACCGGGGCCTGGACGCCCAGAGGTCCAGTTGGTGCAGATGCCCCTGCTTGGGGCTGCCCTTGAGCTCTGAGGGCTGGTCTCTCATTGGACAGGCCTGTGGGTGACCCTGTGGGCAGGGCCTGCTGGGTGGGCCCCACCTGGCCTCCCACCCTGCAGAGACAGTCCTACAGGCTGGGATCCGGGTGAGGCTGGGGAGCACCCTGGGCACAGAATTGGGGGCGTGACTGCCACCCCCTGGCAGCCAGGCCCCCACTGTCTGCTCCAGAGTCTGGGTCCACTGGTGCCGCCTCTGCCCACTCATCTGGGACAGGCTCCCTTGCGCTTAGCACCCCGCGGGCCCTGCCAGGACACTGGGCAGCATCGAAAGGCAAACCGGCGACCCCTCTGCGTAACTGTCTTTACCAACACTGCTCGTTCCCGCGAACAAGGCGTGTCCCGGGGGGAGGCGGGAAGGCTGGGTGAGGGTGCCCTCTCCAGCGGTGGCCCTGCCTTCTCGTGGGGTATGGGTGCCAGCCCGGGGGGCTCCTGCTGCGCCAGGAAAGGGCAGGGGCGCCGGCCGCAGCCACTCACCAGCTGGGTGCACTTGTCCGAGCAGTAGCCAGACAGCACGAAGGCGTCCTCCTGCGGGGGGATGGCCATCACGGGCGTGTACACCAGCCCCAGCTCCATGATGCCCGCGTCGAAGCGCCGCAGCTGGCTGGTGTAGTAGAGGCGGATGCCGGAGGAGTCGCGCCGGCCTGGGAGCAGGCACAGAGGTGAGCGGGGCCCCGGCGGCCCCACCGGGTCGGGGGCAGTCACCCCACCCCCGTGGTGTGGACCAAGCGCTGCCTTCCCCCCACGCCGCCGACACTGGCCGGCCGCCACCCGCGTGGAAGGAGCCGCTGTTCCCAGGAAGGCCCAGTGGCCGCTGAGTGGGGGCCTCAGGAAACGCCCTGGCAGGATCGTGGGCCCCTGAAGCACACCATCCCAGCCCCACCAGGTCAGCCGTGCGCTGTGTGCTCTCAGGCAGGTCGCCCTCCCTCTCTGGGCCTTAGCTCAAAGGCAAGGGCGTCTTCCGAAGGAGAATTTGATGACTTAGTCCGTCACTGTCCGGCCATGCCTGCCGTCCTCCTGGCACTTGGCTGATTAGAGAGTCCACTAAGCTCCCAGATGGCCATAAGAAGCCAATGGCCTGGGGTCCAGGGAGGCTGGCACCCACAGGCACATCCACGCAGCCACAGGGCCTTCAGGAGCCCCTCCCCTGCCTGCCCAGCCTGGAGTCCAGGGAGCTGAGACCTTGAGCCCGAGGGCAGCGCCCTGGGCTGGCCCCAGGAAGATAGGGGAGGGCCGCGTGGGGCCCAAACCCTCAGAATGGACAGCAGATTGGGAGAGGGGCTGGAGCGTCGTGAAGAATTATCACCCCCAATTTACAGATGAGGAAACTGAGGCTCCGAGGCCGCATTGAACGCCCTGCCGAGAAGCAGGTCTGGAGTGGCCCCGGGAGCCCCGCCAGGGGCGGTCAGGCTGCGTCTCCCCGCACCTTCGCTCCCAAGGGGAACCAAGAACGGGGCTCCTGCCTCTGCCTCTCCTCCTTCCCCCTGCTCCCCCCGCCCCCCAGTTCATCCAAACTCAGCTTGTGTATCTCTGGGTTGATTGCATCAGAGGATAATAATAAAAAGGGAGATGCAATTGGTTAAAATTCACATCGGGATTAAATAATGAAATAATGGCAGGATTTTGATATTTATAGAAAAGCAGCCCATCTCCCGCTTGGGGAAGTGACAGGAGCATCTTTATATTTGGCAAAGGATCCATAAATACAACCCGATAATCGGGGAGAGACAGACTGCCCAGCACTTAAGGAGTTTTCAAAAATCCATTTGCCTTCAGGTTTTAAATGAGCAATAAATCCCGGGGCTGCCGAGGCCCTCGCTGACTGATGCCCGCCCGCGCGCGTGGATCATCCCCCCGTGACAGGTTCTCGTTACACTCCCGCAGGAGCAACGCCGGGGCCACGTCCAGTTGGGAGACCACACGCTCAAGCCTCGGCGCGGCTGTGAGAGGCCAGCAGGCCAGCAGGCTGTGGGCAGCCCTCGGGGTTTGCTGCGGGGAGCCCCAGCTGGGCCAGCCCGGGGCTCGGGTCCCTACCTCGCTGGCTGCTGCTGCCCCTCGGCTCACGCAAATCAAAAATGAGTCTTGAAAGAAAGAGTGAGAAGCAGACTGTGTGGCCCCCAGGAGCGGGGGGTGCCGCTGCCTCTGATCCAGCGGCAGGTGGGGTCGCGCTCGGGGTGACCCAGCAGCTCGCCATGGCCTGGCCCCCTACCCCTGCCCTGCAGTCGGCCTGGACTCCCAGCGTGGCCAGAACACGCTCTCTGTTCGCCCCGCCCTTGCCTGGGCAACTTGTCCCTCCATCTGGAAGGCGCCACCTGGCAGTTTCCTTGTCAAAACCCCCTCGTCCTCACTGCCCAGGTCTGATGCCCCACGAGAGCGCCCGTCTGCGTGGATGTTCCCTTTTGTATTTTCTTAGATTTGCTCGCGTCCCTGTCCTATGCCTGGACTCTTCCCACTCTGTGTGTGTGCGTGTGCGTGCACATTGTATACACATGTACACGGGTGTGTGTGTTGTGTGCATGTGTGTGCACTGCACACATGTGGATGTGTGTACATGGATGCGTGCATGGATGTGTGCACGATATGCACATGTATATGGGCGTGTGTGCCTGTATGCACATGTGCACATATGCATCTTGCACATGGTGCACGTGTGTTTACGTGTGTGTGCACAGTTGTGTGTGCACATGTATGGGTGCACGGGAAGGTGCAGAGGGGCCACTGTGAGGTTTGCATCTGCTGAGTGTGAAGGTGAGTGTGGGCCACACAGCACCCACTCTACGGGCCTCCCCACCAGAGCAGGGGGCCGGCATCACTAGTCAATCTCAGCACGAATCCGGCGGCAGACATCACGGGTCGGTCACGGCACTGCCCAGCTGGCCCAGGACAACCTCACAGGCCTTTCCAACAGGGCACTCCACGCCACTGCTGGAGCCCCAGTGAGAGGAGCCCAAGAGCATCCCTGACACAAAACACCCGCCGGAAATCTCACGACACACTGCTCTGCCGTGACAGCTCTGAAAAAGCCCAGGGGCGGCCCACAGCCAGGAATGCCCCACTGAGCCAGGCTCTCCCCTCGCTCTGAGGACAGCCCCAGGGATGGGGCCGCCATGGCCAGACCATCAGGGCGAGACCACGCTGGCTCCGGAAGGGGTTCCACCTTGTGTCCTGCCGGGTGCCTGGTCCAGGCCCGGCCTCCCTGGGATGCTCCTCGTGAGGGGTCCTGGGAGCTGGCGGGCCATGGGGGAGGGACAGCTGGAGACGGAGTGGCCACCACACGCCCAGGGCCTCGGGTCTGATCTGAGCTCTCCACCGTGCGGACCCACTGCCCACGCCCCTGGCGGGAGCCTCTGCCCTGGGAGCTGCCAGCGAGCAGGTGTGGGCAGGGGGCAGTCTGCGCCTCCTCAGGCCCACCCCGCGTGCCGGCCAGGCCCCACAGGAGAGGCAGCCGCTGAGGAGTCAGGCGGGGTTCAAGGGCAGGCTCGGACATGGAGACCGCCCAGAGCCAGAACCCCGCCCCACCTCCTACTTGCTTTGTACACCTGTTGTCCCCCTTGGCAAAGTGGGCCCTTGGAAACCTCCACCTGCCCTCCCGGGGGGCCTGGTCGGTGCCCATGGGGGCAGCGGGCGTATGCGGACAGAGGCGTCACCAGGCGGAGACCCCTGTGTCGGGGGCAGCAGCGAGCCCGCCCAGTGCGGCACTGCCCCCGAGAGGCCCCAGGCCCAGTAGAGCAACAGGGCAAGGGACGTGAGACAAGGGGCTCAGAGCTGAGCGGCTCCCTGGATGTGGCCAAGGCCAGGGGTTTCCAGGGTGGTGGGGAAGAACCGGAAGCGGATTCCTGAGCCCTACCTTGGATCTCCAGGGGGTTGTGGTAGTGAACTTCCAGGCGGAGGAACCTGGAGGACCCGGCGCCCCCGAAAGCCAGGCCAGCTTCCTCCGGGTAGTAGAACGCCTGGGGGGCGGACAGCGGGCATCAGGCGCCCGGTCCCGACCCAGCTCAATGGCTGGTGTGTCAGGAAAGGGTCCCGGATGAGGTGGAGGCACCCCCCACGGGAGGCCTGAGCTGCAGGGTGGTGCCGGGGGAGCTGACAAAGGGCCTTTCTCCCCCACAGGCAGCCCAGCTCCGGCCCACACAGCTGCCCCCACCACGACGCCCGCCGCCAGCCCTGGTGGCCCCGAGAAGAGCAGAGCCAATGTCCAGGCATGGGGAGCTTTGGGCAGAGGCGGACCCCGGAGCACCTCCAGAACCCTTCTTGGGGCACCTCAGACAGAGCGGGGGACCGACGGGGGCCAGGGCGGGGCACGCACCTTGGCGCCCAGGGCCCAGGCGGCCAGCACGTGGCGGCAGTAGTTGAGCCGGTCGGGCTTCATCTTGGAGTCGCAGGGCCCGCTGAAGTGGGGGACGCTCTCAAACTGGGGGGCGCACTGGAAGACCTCCATGTGGTGGACCAGGGCCTCATTGCCCGCGGTGACGATGGGCTCGTACTGCGTGAGGGCAGGGCACCCCTGAGCCCGCGCCCGCTGCCTGCTCACCCTCATGGCTCCCTGCCCTGTGACCTGGGCACTGCACACCCCTCGGGGCTGCCCCGAAACGGGGATGAGGAACCTTGTGCTGCGCCCCCACCCCAGCAGCTGCGGGTGTTGTTATCGCTCTGGTGGGTGTTTAAAGCGCTTGAGTTCTGAGCGAAGCTGCTTTGTATGGGGGGCTGGGGAGGGCGGGGGACGCCAGCCCGCCAGCCAGCCAGACGGCAGATCCGCTCCCCGGCTCGGGCTGGAAGCAGGACTGGCTGCCTTCAGTGGAGTCTGGGACTGAGGCGCAGGGGCCCCGGGGGCGGCTGGGGAGCAAGAGGGAGCAGGGGCCAGAGAACGTGGGGCTGGACAGCGAGGACTCTGGTCCAGCGGCACTGCGGCCGGCTCTGGCAAGGGCCCGCCCTCCCGAAGGCCCAGGCGGAGGCAGAGGGCCTGGGCCCGGCCCTACCATGACGATGTGGTGCCGGGGGAAGCCGGGCGGGAGCTCGGCAACGTAGCACCAGTACGTGGTCTCCTGGGCCGGGACGAGGACGTCCGGGGCGCGGATCTCCATGGTGTGCAGCTCGGGGGGCAGCGTGGGGGTGGCGATGTCGGGCTTGAGCAGCTGCACCCGCTGCAGCCCGGTGCGCAGGCGCGCCGTGTCGATGGCCTCCAGCGAGCGGAAGGGCTCCTCCAGGATGCCGTAGACCAGGTGCACGGTGCCGTCCTGCCGGGACAGGGCGGGGGTCCGAAGGCCCCGGAGCTGGGCCCTCGGCCGCGGAGGCGGAGCAGGCCCGGCTACCCTCAGGAGGCAGGACACAGGCCGGTCGCTTTTCAGAGAAGGGGGCCCTTGGAGCTGCGCGGGCTCCGGCTGGGATTCAACCCGGGCCCCGTGGCGGGGCCTGCACCGGCCAGGTGCCTGCCGTCCTTCCCGGCACACTCCCGCGGGGCTCGGTGCCCACACCCAGCCGCTCCCTCCCGGGGGTGGCCGGGGCCTGTGGGGTCGTCTCTGGGCTGATCAACAGCTCGGCTGGGGGCGCCCCTGCGCCGGGGCGGACGAGGCTCTGGAGAATGACACTGTTCCTGTCGGGCCTCCGGTCCAGCGTGGACGCCGCCAGCCCCCCAGAGCCATGGTCAGGCCTGCTCTGAGCCGGCGGTCACAGGCGCAGGGCGGGGGCAGGGGGGACGCTTCCCCACCGCTGCCCCAGGTGTGTGAGCCCTGTGCAGGGGTGTGGCTGGAAAGGGCTGTGTTCTGGGCGCCGATGGGTCTGAGTGCGTGTGATGCCGTGAGTGTGCAACGCTGTGTGTGTGCGCGAGGCTGTGTGTGTGAGTGCGCGTGACGCTGTGTGTGTATGAAGCTGTGTGTGTGAGTGTGTGTGTTTATACTCACGGGGCAGTGACACAGAGCGGGTCTCTCCCAAGCGCCTGTCCCCCGCCATGTGCCCCAGGGGCCCCTCCTGGTCTTGCTCTGCACGACTGCTGGGGCCCCTCTTCCCTTGAGCACCCACCTCGATGACGTAGTCCTTGGGGTCGCAGGTGCTGAAGGGCCTCCGGAAGAGCAGGGCCAGGCCCTCGGGGGTGCGCTGCGCCTGCAGCAGCTGGTAGTCCTGCTGGGAGTCCAGGTGGACGTGACCCTTCCCGTCGGTCCAGGCGTCCTGCGGGCACGAGGGGCTCAGGGCGTGAGGGCCCGAGCCGCCAGGCAGAGGTCAAAGCCTGCCGCCCACAGCAGGTCCCAGGACACACCCAGCAGCTGGGGAGTGCTAGGTCTCTCCTCCCTGCAGGGCGTCACCCACTTTCTGTGTCTACCCGGACTCCGCGGAGCTGAGCATGCTCGTTGCTCCCGTCCCTGGCTCTGGAACCCAGGACCCCCCGACCAGGCAGGACTGCGGGTGTAGCTGGCCAGGCAGGCCCCCAGGCTCTGTCTTGCTAAGGAGGCACCCCCACTCCCCCATCCATCTGCAGGGGCTGTCAACGGAAGGCGCGTGGCCTGGAGACCCAGGTGGGAGGCCGCAGAGAGAGCCGGACGGCGGTCACTCTCAGACACCCACCGGGGCCCGCACGCCCTGGGTGGGGTGAGGCCTGCAGCCCTGCTCAGTCACCTCACCCTGGCCCTGTCCTAGCCCTGCACGGAGAGGAGAGACTGTGGCCCAAGGAGGAAATGGACCATTTCCTGGGGCCCTGGTGGGTGGCAGTTCTGCATGAACCCCCGCGGGACCCTCCCCTGCTCCCCTCACCCAGTGGGGCTCTGAGGCCCAGCAGCCCGGGGGCCCCGAGTCCATGGGTCCTGGGGGAGGGCAGGAGACCCTTCTCAGGGACGCAGGCCTCGGTCCCCATGGGGCCTGAGACCCTGCACGCAGAGCTGAGACGTGGCCTCTCTGTTTTCTTAAGTGAAAAAGAACTGGCAAAGGCGGCGCATGTTCTCCCTGGAGGAAAGCACCCCAGTGCGGCCCCTCTGGGGGCCTCTGCCATTGTGCTCAGGATCCATTTTAAACAGAGGCTGGAAGCCTGCTGGGGCAACCCAGCCAAAAACCGAGTCTGTGCACTGAACATGTTGCTCAAGCGGGCACCGGGTCTGGCATCTGCTTGCGTGGAAATGTGTTGCGCAAATGGATCCCGCAAGGTTGGGGGGGGCCAGCCTGGATCCAGCTGAATCGGGGTCTGTTGCTCCTCTGGGAAGGGCTGACGGCTCAGAGCTGGGGCTACCTCGGGCTTTTACTGGGGTGAGCCACTGAGCACCCTGTAGGAGGAGGCGGAGCACCCAGCAGGCAGAGCAGGTCCCCACCAAGCATCTCCCACCTGGGGGTCCCCAGCTGCCCCCCTCCTGTGAGAGTAGTGGGCATGGCAGGGAGGGAGCTGGTGGACTCAGAGGGGCAGGCAGACCCCGCTCCCGGCTCCCGCCTCTCCCACAGATACGCCTGGGGAGTGTCTTTATCTCCTGTGCCTGCATTCCCGGGGGAGCTGGGGGCCCAGCTGGGGAGGAAGAAGGGGGGTGGCTCAGGCAGGGGCTGGGGCCCCCCAGAACTCCTGTCAGCCCGTCAGGCCCCAAAGACGACTCTGGTTGGAGGGAAACTTGCTCCCTCTGGCCACCCTCTGCAGCAGGCATGGCAGTGAGTTTGGGGTGGGGTGTCAGGATCTCCTAACTGCTCCGCTCATCTCCGGGCCTGCCCCCCACCGGGGGGTGCTGCTCAGGGGCCGAGTGTGCCAGCCCGGGGTCTGTGAGCACGCTGGGCGTCTGCCTGTGGGTGTGCCGAGCCCTGGGCAAGGCCTGGAGCCTGGGGAGAGTGGGGAGCGTGGGGCTCACTGGCCAAGGAGGTGGCAGGACCCCACCCATCCCTTGGCCTGAGAGGCTTTCGTCTGTGGTCCTGCTCCTTGGACCCACAGGGTTGGGGATTTGGGGTGGGCCCAGTACCTGTTTTGTCTTCACATTGGCGTCACCCAGTCCCTCAAGCTTGGGACTTGGTTTGGCTGCGCGCGACTGCAGACAGAGAGGCTGCGGGAAGCTGCCTTTGCTGGGCGGAGGGAGGTGGCCAGTGAGGCCGTGGGGGCTGGAGGTGGGGGGGGCGCGGCGCAGAGTCGGGAGCACTCACCGCAAAGTAAGCGCTGTCCCCGTCAGTCCAGAGCACGACCAGGTCGGCGTTTTCCAGCTCGCCGCGGTCCGACATCCCGAACAGCACCCCGGCCTTGAGGCCCCGCACCAGCAACTGGAAGTGGACGGTCTCCTGGAGGTAGCTGACGTTCCAGGAGAGCCGCAGGGCCCCCTCCGGGTCCAGGGGGATGCTGTAGGGGAAGGGGCTCTCGGGGGGTGCAGAGCCCTGCAGCGCGGCCACCAGGATGACCAGGAAGACGGCCACCGCGGTGGCGTACATGGAGGCTGCCTCGCGCGCGCTGGGGCTGGGGACCTGCATGGCTGGCGAGCGGCCGCCCCACCTGGCCATTTATGCCCAGGCTCAGGGGTGGGTCCAGGCTGCTCCGGTAATCACATTTGTCTGGCAGGGAATCTAATTGTCCTGGTGACCCTCCCACCAGCCCGTGCCCCAGGCTAGCACTTCGCTCCTCGCTCTCCTAATGGGCACTGGTGACATGTGGTCGTCAGAGGACGGGAGCGGAAGGAGGATTTCAGCCCCTCTGAAATGTCACCACGGGCTGTCCGGCCGAGGGCGGCTCCTCCCTCCCCAGAAGCCTCCCGGGCACCCCCACCGGGCTCCGGCCGGCCTCCGGACAGCGGCCTGGCCTCCTGGCTGCTGGCTGCCCCATGCTGGCCGGGCGGACGGAGGCCCAGGTGATTTCTGAGAGACCCTGGGTGTTGGCCCCTCCGAGGGGCTGGCCCTGCGAGCGGGCTCCGCGGTGCTGGAGGGGCACCAATTCCAGACTAAAAATAAAAGATGATCCCCAAATAGTGCTGTGTTTAGACACTCTCTCCACGGCCTGCTGTTCCCACTTTTGTCTCCTCTATTTCCCCACAGCTCCAGCTGGTGCCACGGCTGCTCCAGAAGGAGTGGGTGCACAGTGGGGAGTGGGGAGCGCCAGGGTGCTGGCAGGGAGGGCAGGTCCCCGCGTGCACTGCTGCCGAGATGTCCTTTAGCCTAGAGCAGACCCAGCCTGAATGCGAACCTGCCCCAGTCAGCCAGCCCACAGCGAGGCGTCCCTGGCAGCCACCACAGGGCTTTTGCACGACATGTTGAGCCTCACAGCCCCGCCAGCCTGGCTTCGAGTCCCACGCAGCCACTGCTGCTTGTCCAGGGGGCAGCTCAGAGAAGAGGCTCACATGCCTTGCCCAGCTGGAGAGGAAGAGCCAGGTCAGTGACGGGTGGGGAGGCCCCAAGCTGGGGCCCAGGGTTGGGGTCCAGCCCTGGGGTGGAATGTCACCCCGGACGGAGTGACCTCGGCGGCGACTGCCCCTCTGCCTCCTCCCCTACCCTGGTGGCCTTGGCGCTCCGGGGAGGGGTGTGTGCAGAGCTTAGTAAACAGCGGCGCTGTGTACACATGTTTATTTTTAACAGGATTCAAAACACATTCCTTGCTCCAGCTCAGAACCGCGCTGAGCACCGGCCTCCCCTCAGTGTTTAAAAAAACGATTCAGCTGATTTCAGAAATAACAGTGACCGAGTCCCAGTAATTAGCGGGGTCGAGGCTGTGTCCATGCCCAGCCCTTCGCCGGCTCGGCTCTGCCTGCCTTGCCAGGCTGGCCTGGGACTGGCCTCAGTCACTGAGGATGCCTCAGAGAGAATAAGCAGTGCCCCAGGGCGCACAGCGCCCCACCGGGGCAGGCACCGTGACCAGGCGAGGACCCCAACGTGTGCCCTTAAGGCAGACGGTGCCGCACTGGGCGGAAGCCAATGTTGGGGAGGTGCCCTCAAGCCCGCAGGAGGAATTCTGGGTGCAAGCAGGACAGAGAGGGGTAGAGGCCGGGTCTGGGGCGGTTCATGGTTCCGAAGCCACCACTCCGTCCTGGGGAAGCAGCCCTCGGCCCCCCTCCTGCTGCTGAGCGCTCACGCAGCGGGCTGCAGGCCTGCCCGCCTGGCCCTGCCCCAGGGTGAGCTGCCCTCCAAAGGCGGGGGGTGGGTGTGGGTGGGGGTGGCATCCGGGGCATCACGCCACCCTGTCAGGAAATAAACACTGTTCGCTGCTCCAGGCCTGGCTCTCCTCCAAGACGCTTCGACGGCTGACCTCATTTGGAACCAATTTCAGCGTTTTAATAAGCCCTTTGCCTCTGCGCGTCTCCGACGCTGTCATCCTCTGTGGCTCTCATCCCCACCGTCTCTGCCACGTGAGGCCGGCTCCTCCGGCAGCTGCTCCCCGGGGCCTAGACTGAGCGCGGCTGGACGGCAGTGCTCTGGGGACAGAGCGAGACTGGCCAGGCCCTCCCGGAGACCAGGGTGGCTGTGGGCAGTGCCCCCGGGCCTGGGTGTCTGCTCCTGGCAGGACAAAGCCGGCGTCCCCAGTGTCAGGAAACAGGTGGGGGCTGCAGAGACCTGGCCCCGCCCTTACCTCCCTTCCTGTCCTGCCCACCCTGGCTGTGGGGAGCAGGCATAAGAGGCACGGCCTCCAGGGATCTCCCCTAGGTTCGCGTGGCCCCACCCCACAGGGGAGCAGAGAGGGAGTGGGTCCCGGGTCAGACAGGCTGCAGCGACTCCTCCCTGAGGCTCCTCCAGGCACACCCTGCACGGGAAGGGCGCCGGCATCCGAGGTGGCTCGGGCACAGAGGGAGCGCTGTCCCTTGACGCTCAGCTCAGCATCCCCCGGAGGGACGTGGTTCTCCCGCCTCGGAGAGGCAGAGGTGGCGGGAGATGTGGCCACCTCCGCTGCTCCTGGTTTCCTGTCCCGCAGGAGAGCGAGGAGCTGGCCCCGGGGCTCGGGCACGCCGGCCGCACGGCTCTCTCTCCCTCCGCTGTGAGACGAAATGAAGGCCCCAGAAGCCCCACCCAAACAAGCCCACAACAAGGCCTATCGTCTTCCAAACTTCTTTTCAATATTAAAAAAAAATTTGCTCATTATCTGTGACGCGCGTGTTGTGTCTGTTACGTAGCCCACGGCTGACCCCTTCCAGGCTCAAGGGCCAGCCTGCCGGAGCAGCTCACGCAGGTGGCCCCCCCGCCACACGCGGGACTCGCCTTCCCCACCTGAGACTCGCCCTGAGACACTCAGCGCCGCTGCCCCCGCTCCCACCCCACTGGCTCTCCGGGGACCTCGGTCCCCCAGGACTCACCGCAGCCTCCAGCTCATTTCAGTGCCAGGGCGCCCCCCTCGTGAGGCTGAGGCACAGCCAGGGCAGCCCTGGCTGCGGGGCCATCGTCACGCCCAGTCTCCCGCCCTGGCCGCTGCTAATACCTGTCCTGAATTTGGAGGGGCCCCAAGTCCCTGCTACCATTCTTGGTCTGCACCCCAAGTGGGGTCGCAGGGCCTCGTGGAGATCCCGTGTTTAATTTCTTGAAGAACCGTTGCTAGTTTTTGAAAGGGCCCCCTGGACACCGTCCGCCACTGAATTTCCATGCCCAGTGTGAGCTTGGAGCTGTTTTGGGCGCGCATCGCTGCTGCTGTCCCCCCAGGAGCCCCGGCACATGCTGTTTATGCAACCCGCTCCCTGGTGGGAAGCCCTGCACTAGCTTTGTGGTGAAACTGGCCTGCCGCGCATGTCTGTCCTCACGCGTGTCCTGTGATGCTTTGGGGTCCATCCCCAGCACCACTGGGAGGACTGGAACAGGGGTCCCCAGGAAAAGGGGAGGTTCCGGGTCCCTGCCCCACCCAAGGGACAGCGGAGCTGAGCAGGGAGGAGGAGAAGCTGCAGGAGTCTGGGGAAGGGAGGGAGCAGGACGGGGGGCAGGAGGAGCCTGGAGGAGGAGCAGGGAGCGGAGACGTGAAGAAGCTGCACCTGCCTCCCAGTCCTGGACGGGGTCGGGTCGGAGCAGGTGTGGGGGCACGGGGGTCGGGGACAGTGGCAGCTTTCACCTCGATTTTGCTCCTTGAGTCCCAGACGTGCCGGGCCCCTCCCACCCTGTCCTGTGGGACCCCGCCGGGAGGGGCCTTCAGCAGCTCTCAGGCCTCAGCGGCCCCGCTTTGGACCAACCCCGTCTGGCGGCCGGGCAGGCGGTTACCCACGGGGGCCGGGGTGACGGCGGTGCTGGACCTGGAGACTTTATTCTTCCCTCTCCTGCGCTGCTCACTCGTGTTCAAGTTCCTGCCCATTCGTGGGCTTGGGCAGTAGAGTATGTTTGTCTTGACGCCGCGGGTGGCAGAACCTATTTTGAGCGAGCAGGTTTGGGGGTTCTGGGGTGCCCCTTCCCTGCCCTGGGTTAGCTGATTGGAGTCACCCCAGGAGAAGGCGCTGGCGAGGTGCGCCGCCCAGGACGCCTCCCGACAGCCCGTCTCTGCAGGTGAGGGGTCCGTGTCGATGGCCAGACGCGCGGTCGCACCAGCAGCCGCCTCGGGCCACGGCCAGATGCGCCGCGGACATAAAGGCAAATCCAATAAAGCCGAAGGCTCGCCATCTGCTCTCCAGAGATGAGGCTTTAGAGATGAGCAGGTCTCCCGCCCCGGGGCCTCTGACATTCACGGGCACAGGAGGGGGGCAGCAGGGGCCAGCCTGATCCAATTTTCCCACCGCTGATCAAGTTAGGGGAGACGCGTGGTCAATACTGCGCCGGGGAGGAGATGGATTGACGCGGCTGGACAGACGGCCTGTCGCCCAAAGGGCGAGTGCTGGCGTGAGCTGAGCTGGGGGTGACGAGGGCGCTTTCGGAGTGGCATTTGGCGAGCTCTGGCGTGCCAGGCTGCGGGCTGTCCGTCGGGAGGAGGGTGTCCATTTTAAGCGCCCCGTGGTGGGACGGCCGAGGTCCACGGTCAAAGCGCCAGGTCCCCCCTGGGCCACAGGTGGGCCCGGGCTGATCCCTCCAGTCTGGTCGGTGCCCTCTGCTGACCCCCTCGCCTCTGACGCAGCCTCGGCGTGGAGGGGAGTCCTTTTAAGCCTAAACTTCAACGCCCTCCTCCAGCTCTGGACAGAAGGCGCTGCGGCCGGCATCCTGGGGGGCAGGGGCAGTGCCCGGTGAGGGCATCTACTCACAGGGCAGCTGGTCAGGTCAGAGGAAGGCCCCAGGAGCCATGGGTCAAGTCGTGGCTTCCGAGTTTACATTCTTTTCTGTCTTGCGGTCTCAAAAAGTCAAGCGGATTCAAACTTTAGCCAAGATGGCAGCGTGTCCTCCCAGGTGAAGCGCTGCTGGCGGGCACTGGGCGCCTGGACCCGCAGGGACTCAGAGAGGGGCCTGGGGCCTGGGGCCAAGGCTGGGGGCCTCATGACATCAGCTGTTTCGGGCCATGGGCACTTGTGGCCAAGTGTCAGCAAAATGGCCTTAAAGGAAAAAAAAAGTCAAAACTGGGTAGATTGAAAAAACGGAAACTTTGCAGGGGCTCA